ATACAGTAAAAAGTTGTTGTTATACAGTAAAATGCAGTTCTTAAGAAATGAAATCACTGTAATCTTACAGATATTTACCGTAATTTAGAAAACACTACTTTTGCTGTTAATTAACGGGTTTTGGACTTTTTACCATTTTTTATACATAAACCTCAAAACGCTGTGCACTGTTAGAGACATTTGTTCCGACTTCAAAACACAATTCTTATACACTGTGTACACACAGTAATTCGTTCTGGCTGCAGTGGACATTATAGTTTTTGTTTAGTTTTCTTTGTTTTTGAAAATTTTTACTTAGTAATTTTTTCACTGCTTCTTTTTGTTGTAATAAAAGGTTTGCGAACGGTAATAAATCTGGTCTGTACATGCACAGTGTTGTCTACAAGTGACTTTTCCAATCAGAAGCTCATGAACAGAACAAATAATACGTCATTCGTAAACATCTAACGAAGGTATGAAAGCAAGCAATCAAACTGCATTTGTCATTTGAGTCCATCCAGAAGGTATTAAAGCTTGGCAGAACCGTTTTGACTGTATCTTCAAAAGCTCTTAGTCTGCTTTCAGCGTTCCTCCTTTCTTCAGGCCATGTTCTCACAGATGCACCGGCCTCCCCTCTTTCGGTACCATGTGGGAGTCTTTCTCCGTCACGAACAGCTGAAGGAGGTGACGGAGGGTGAATGCGAGGACTTGAAGCCCTCTCAGTTCATGAGAACGTTCCTGGTTTGTATGCCGAGCTGTCTTCCAGTCTTCCGGGTGAGTGAGCGCTAGCAAGCTATTGAGCCTTGGCCTCAGCCCACAATGGCTGGTGCACAATACACTGCCCCCCCATGCACCCTCCCACCCCACCACGTCCCCCACCCTCCATCATCAGCAGCTGTCTTCAGACGGCAACACTTGGGCAGCCACTCCAAACTTCATGGGAAACACTTTTGAAGGGCTCTTGGAAGGTTCTACGTGAGAACTGACCCAGGGTCAGCTTCTGGGGTGGATCCTGAGGCCAGACACTTTGGCTTATTCAGTATATGGGTGCAAGCTTTAAAAATTGGATACAATTTTAGGAGATATTTATGAGAAGATCAGAAATAAAATAATTCAATTGCATGAGGAAAGGAAAGCCAAAAAGAGTGATTAAACAGGAGCTTCCAAAACTGGAGTTCAAAAAATGATTAGAAGATACAGAGAAAATGTGTCTCCTAACAACCACCTGGAAGAGCTGGTCGACCCCAAAACTGCCCCCATCAGATAAACAGCACTTAAAGCTTTCATCTCTGAGAGAGAGGAGAAAAACAAGCTGATCAGATCTGAAAACATCCACAGGTGTTTCTGTCCATCCTTCCACTGTGAGAAGACGACTCAGCACTGTGGGTCTGAAAGGATGTGTAGCTGATCAAGAAGAACCTCACTGAGAAAAGGAGACGGACACATCAAACAAAGAAGCTGAACGATGGACTGACCACCCCAGAGTCCAGACCTCAACACCACTGAATGTGTTTGGTAACTTCAGAAAATGATCAACCAGCTTCTAAGACTGAACTTTGGAGGTGTGTCTGCAGATTCTTTGAGGAACTGAAAGTGAGTCTCCTGAAGAGAATGGAAGCTGTATCGTAGCCCTTCGCTCTCGTTTATACAGCTCGTGGATTCTTGTTACAGTGGAGGCTGTGTCTCCACTTTGCTGTTGCTTTTGTTAGTTTGCTGCTCATTGATTTATCTGTAGTTCTCCTTTGAGCAGTGCTGAGCGGAGTCTGCTAAAGGTGTTGAAGATCTGTTTAAAAGCTGTTTAATCATTCTGTGAATGATTGTGTTTCTGGCTGTGGTTCATCGACTGTCTTTTTGTTGTTGCTGTCCATGCAGGTATCATAGCAAAGTAATGAGCTTAAATCAGCAGATTGAGTAGTTTGCTGCCTAAATCCCAGTCTGGACACAGCAAAACGAATGTTATAGTTTTGAAAAAGGGATGTAAGAAAATATTGATACACTTGAGTATTGCAATATTATATTTTTATGATGCTGTATCGATCCTCAAAAACACAGTATCGATTTTTAATTAACAGTTTACATTCAAAGATTTGTGGCAGACGGTGGTTCATTTTGTGTTGTGTTTAAAACCCTGACCGGTAGATAGCAGTGTTGTATCTTCAGCCACTAGACTTTTTCTTTTACTTTTTCTTCTTTCTTTTTCTTTTATTTTAAGCATGTAGTGGTGTGTTTTTACGCTGTGAGAGTTTCCCTAAAATTAGATTTTTAAAAATTGCAGTATATCACCTTACTTACAGTATCGCAATATATTGAAATATACTGAATCGCAATCCCTGTATCAGGGCTGAAAGATGAATTGTTATTATATTGAAGTCACAGTTTAAGAGAGTGCAATTTTCGAACCGCAAAAGCTGAAATTTTTGAAAAATTTATCCAAAAACATCTTAAGTTTCAAGTGGGGAAATTAAACCTAATAACACAGAGCTTGTGAACTGCCTGTAGATGATTTAGACCAATCAGAGGCAAGCAAACCTCCATGTGTTGTGACAATTAGATATTTTTCCCAAATCGTTTAGCCCTCCTGTATCGTGAAACGTATGGTATCGTCAGATTCTTGTCCATACACAGCCCTGGTTTGACATGCAGTGTTGTAAAGTACTTTAAAGCTGTGACATATATAAACAGCATTGCCCATGTTTAAAAAGGTGTTTGCATCAGATTTCTGAATTAGTTCTGCTGCTAAAGTTAATACAGTAATGGAACGACCCTTAAAACGGTGTCTCTCATTTCAGGACGCTGGTTCGTTCACATTAATAACAGATTTGAATCACTTACCTAAATGAGTCTGAACCATCCTGTGAGAGAAACCGGATTTGAGCAAGAAATCAGATTTGAGCAACAAGGCTTACAATGTGAACATAGACTTTAATGGAAATTCAACTCAAAACAGCTGCAGCACACAGGCAGCTCAGGCTCTACTGTTTTCCTGCTGGCCAGCTGGGCTATAGCTACACACAACTTTAACTTAATACAGCCTGGCGTGTCTGACGCCACAGTATTTAATAACAAAACAAAAAATGGAATGAAACAAGAATATGTATTTGTTCTTGTGTGCCTGTATAAAAATAAATATACATTTATTCTGTTTTGTAGCCTTTATAGAAAAAGCTGTTGAGGTAATGCTGACTACTTTTCAGCCCTTCAGTGCACAGAAATGTGCTCTCAGTTCTGATGTTAGTAGTTGTTAATATTTCATTTCTTTTTATTTTGCAGAATAGTAAATAGTGCTTTTGTAATTTTGTATTTTGTTATTTGTTTATAGAAGGGTTTGAGAGGTTAAAATGTCTGCACTTGCATTTCATCTACCTAGAGACACATTATTTTAATAGTAATTTATCACCTCTCATATTGTCATTGTGATATCAAACAGCTTTATTGAGCATTGCATATTATCAATATCGTGCAGCCCTAATGAGGACAACTGAGACTGATGGACAGTGTGGCTTCATGGCGTTTAAACCACAGCCGCATTGGACTTAAGGTGAAGTTTTGATTAAAAACCACTCAAAAAGTCCTGCTTCTGTAATTACCCGACAGCTTCCATTTCCTTTTTCAGAGCCATACATTGAGTCTTAACTTACGGCGGGATTTGAAACGTACCCCGAGGGCGAGTGAGGACGGAGGGAAATGGGATCTAATGAGCCGAAAGGTCACTCTGGCTGGGAATTCCGTCTCGTGCCTCCATGTTTCAGCTCGATTAATTCGGTAATGAACGAGGTTCAGCCTCAACATCCATCACCTTCATCCAGCGAAGGTTGACGTGCTCTGAGCTCTGCTAAGCGTCGCCTCTGAAATCGTGCGGTTACTAGCTGTAGCTTTCCGACTCGCTGTTTGTCTCAGTGTCTGTGGAAGTTCTGGAATTCTTCAGCTCGGTTTTACTGTGCCTTTGTGATTTTGTGGTCGAGTTAAAAGCTTGCAGATTTGCTAAAGTGGTTTTGTGTGGGCAAATGAGGAGCCCCGCCCCCCATCCCAACCCCCCCATCCTAACGGGCCTCTTCATCTGTGGTCTCCTGATTCCGTGAGAACCCCCACTAGAGCAAAGCATCACCATCACGTACAAGTCGAGGTACTCATTCACTTTGCATTTCATAATTATTTGTGTAATTACAGAATTATGTAATTATGTACATATATAATTACATAATGAGTAACATTTAAATTTGATTTACATTCTGTGTGGACAGATTTGCACTTCTGACCTTCTTTGCGTGTTTGGATGTCAGAAAATGACAGCAACAGCAAAATGTAAAACGTTTTTCTTTCCAGCCAGAAATAATTTAGATTAAATGTAGGAGGCAGTTCAGAGTGTGTGTGTGTAGAGAGAGAGAGACCTTCAAGGGTTAAGGTGTCTTCAGTCTCTCTCTCTCTCTCTCTCTTTCTCTCTCTCCCTCTCTCTTTCTCTCTCTTTCTTCCCCCTCTCTCCCTTTCTCTCCTTTCCCCTCTCTTCTATCTTTGTCTTACTTTCCACCCTCTCTCTCTCTCGCTTTTTCTCCCTCCCTCTTTCTCTTCCTCTCCCTCTCTTTCTCTTCCTCTCCCTCTTTCTCTCTCTTTCTCTTCCTCTCCCTCTCTCTTTCTCTTCCTCTCCCTCTTTCTCTCTCTCTTTCTCTTCCTCTCCCTGTCTCTATCGCTATTTCTCTCTCTCTCTCTGACCTCCTCTCTCTCTCCCCCTCCCTCTCTCTCTCTCTCACCTCCTCTCTCTCTTTCTGTCTTCCTTCCCTCTCTCTCAGTCTCTTCCTCTCTTTCTTCCCCCTCTGTTTATTTCTTTCTCCCTCTCTTCTTCTCTCTCTGTCTCACGGTGGAGTATATTATGGTCTGTTGTGTTTAGCCGTAATACATGCGGTGGAGACATATGGCGCCCCTCAGGGCAAGGGGGGGGTGGGGTGGGGGTAGGGGTGGGGGCGAAGGGGGGTGGTCTCTGTGTATTGTGTTGGGGGGGAACGTGAACCTGCTGCTCTCTCACTCTCTGAAGGACCGTCTGATTATCATTCACACAGCAACTCTGAGCGAACGAGGAGTGAAACAGAGAGAGAGAGAGGGAAGAGGGAGACAGTCGGGGAAAAAACAGTTCTGTGGGAGACGGAGAGAGAGAAAGGAGAAGGGAAGAGAGAGCGCAAGAAACAGAGAGTTGTGCAGAAAAAGGAGAGAGAGAGAGAGAGAGAGAGAGAGAGATTGCAGGAGGGAGAAGTGAAGGAATTTTTGGTGGATGTGTTTTTCGCGCCATGGAAACTCAGTCGGAGGAGAGCCGTGAGCTGAGCCAGGAGAAAAGAGGTACATCCAAAAAAAGCTTCTTCACACCATCACAGCACAGTGATAGGCGGTCTCACTCAGGTCCTGGAGGCAGTCGTGGGCGATATATCATCGATGTGATTAAATTCATCAGGTCATTACTTTGGGGGGTAAAAACTCCATTAGCCAAAATTTCATAACTCACATGGTGCACTGTGTAGTGAATAAGGGGCCACTGAGATTCAGTCATTACTTCACTGCAGTAACAAGACAGGAATACGCTACCCACAGGACCCCCACAGGACCCCCACAGGACCCTCGCAGAGCAGGTATTATTTGGATGGAGGGTCATTCTCAGCACTGCAGTAACACTGACATGGTGGTGGTGTGTTAATGTGTGTTGTGCTGGTCTGAGTGGATCAGACACAGCAGCGCTGCTGGAGTTTTTAAACACTGTGTCCACTCAATGTCCACTCTATTAGACACTCCTACCTTGTCAGTCCACCTTGTAGATGTAAAGTCAGAGACGATAGCTCATCTGCTGCTGCACAGACTGTGTTGGTCATCCTCTAGCCATCATCAGTGGTCACAGGACGCTGTTGGTTGGATGTTTTTGGTTCTCAGTCCAGCAGCGACGCTGAGGGGTTTTAAAAAAAGTGTCACTGCAGTGCTGAGAATGACCCACCACCCAAATAATACTTGCTCTGTGGGGGTCCTGTGGGGGTCCTGACCACTGAAGAACAGGGTAACAAAGTATGCAGAAAAACAGATGGACTACAGTCTGTAACTGTAGAACTACAGAGTGAATCTATACGGTCAGTGGAGCTGATAAAATGGACAATGAGTGTAGAAACAAGGAGGTGCTTGGATGATGCTTGTGAGCCACAGTTTACAAATAATGCCATTAACCTGTCCGTTGTTGTGTTGCTTTGGTCTTGTGCTTGAGATCACTGTCCTGCTGAAACGTGAAGTTTCTCCCAGGTCCTCTTCTGCCTGTATTTGGCACCATCCCTCCTTCCTTCATCTTTAAGATGCCCAGTCCCAGGTGTGAAAAAGCACCCCTGACAACATGAAGCTGCCACCGCCATGCTTCACTGCTGGGATGGTGCTTGTTGAGGAAAGAGCAGTGTTAGTTTTGTGCCATTTTTGTCTCATCTGACCACAAAACCTTCTCCCACATTTTAGCTGTGTCACTCTGACGCTTTCTGGCAAACTCCAGATGTGCTTTGATGTGTTTTTCTTCAGAAATGGCTTCTTTCTTGCCACCCTCCCACACAGGCCAGTTGTACACAGAGCTCTTTATGTGGTTGACTGGTGCACCTTCAGTCCAGTCTAAGCCTCTGAACTCTGAGCACTTTCAGAGTGACAAGCGTTATTACAGTAACAACCATAATTAGTAGTAGATTTAGTCTTCTGTCTGTTTTGGCTGTTCTGTCTTCCCATTTTCACAGCAGTTTAAGTAGATGTTGATGTTACCATGTTGGAGATGGCCATGGAAAAAACAGGGCTCCCTCATCTCTGAAATCCCAATGTGTGTGTGTGTGTGTGTGTGTGTGTGTGTGTGTGTCTGCTGATGGCAGCAGAGAAACACTGACAGTAATAAATGAGTCTCGCTTGCATCTGCACCCCCCCCCACACACACAGGTGTATTCTGGATGTGCGACTGAGAGTGTACTGATTTTCCCTCCTTTGTTCTCTCCTCTGAGAGGGGGTGAGCTTTCTTTGTTTCCCCTGCTTATTATTATTATTAGTAGTATTATTAAGATAATAACTTACTTTTCTTATTAAGTTTGCCCAGCAAGCTAACTTGGTCTTCTTATTCTCCATCTTTTTATTCTATGATCAAAATAAAAAGTTAGAACCACCAAAATATGAAGGATTGTAGAACCTCCACCTGAAAGGTAGTCCCATATGAACGAATGGCGGAACGTTAAGGTTCTGAAACGGAATCCTTCTTAGATAAACCTCTCATTCCACCACATTTTACAGTATATGACCTAAAGTTTGCACGCTCCTCTTATGTCACCATGATGCAAGTACACTAGCAACACCATAGCAACCACTTGGGACACCATAGCAACCCTCTACCCACCATGACAGATAACATAGCAACCACCTGTCAATACCATGGTAGTGGTCAAGACCTATCAACCACACAACAACTACCTAGCGATACCCTGGCAAACAGCTGGAAGACCGTAAAAACCGCATTGCAATACTCAAGCAACCACCTAACAACATCATAGCAACCACCTAGCAACGCCTGTAGCAACCACCTGAAACACTACGGTAATCATCTAGTAACACCCTCATATAAATTACTTTAGCAACCACCCTAGCAACACCCATAGCAACCACCTGAAATCATCTACCAACACCCTCGTATGAATTCCCTTAGCAACCACCTAGCACCACCACAGCAACCACACAGCGACACCTGTAGCAACCATGTGAAACACTACTGTAATCATCTAGTAACACCCTTACACCTTTATATGAATTACCTTAGCAACCACTTAGCAACACACTAGCAGCCACTTAGGAGCTTCTGAGGTACCATAGCAACCACCTGGAATGCCATAAAAACTGCTTAGCAGTAACCTAGCAACCACACGACATAACATACTTTAACACTGATATATGAAATCATTTTCTGATTGTTTACCCTGAATTGTTGCCTCGTTCAGAAGCAGCCTGTGCTGAAACACTCCTTATAACTTCAGTGTGAATGGGGCGAAAGTGCTGCAGGCTGAGTAGGCAGATATATAAACGTGTTAGACTTTAGATCATCATGAAAACACTTACTTTAAGTTGTGTTTTTGTTCAGGCAGTGGTGATAGAGCAGAGGAATGTATGCGCTCACAGCTGAGTGTATGAACCAGTGTCTGTGTGCATCCTCATATCGGAAGCTGGACCGGTCAGCAGGCCAGCAGGAACTTGGCTGAGGACGTAGCTGATGCCGCCTCTTCTATGCCTGAGTTGCATTGTGGGCCGGAAGCCGCTCTGTGGTGAGCCGCGTCTTCTGGAGGACTTTCAGGAAGCGCGAGGCCTCTAGCCGACCCCTTCGGATTCAATAGCCGTCTCCGTGGAGACCAAGAATTGCTGGTGGTCTTTGAGCTTTGAGTGTCCTAAGGCTGGACGTTACGGTGAAAATAAAATGTTGTTGTTGTTGTTGTTGTTCTTGTTGTTGTTGTTTACAAGCTCTCAATAATTGGTGTAAGTCTGTCTTTATGATTCTTGCAGTTGTTCAGTGAAGTACTGGCCACGCCCATCATACTCAGAGTACAGTATTGTGATGGAATTCATCACTAAACGATAACATCTCTTCATTTTGTCCACCCCTGCTCGGCCCCTTTTACTGCCCTGGTTTTAAAGCCGGCGAGTTTTGGGGCAAACTGCATGACTCACATTGGCACTTCACTGAGGCAGCTGGTCAGCCTTATTCCCTCCCTCACTCCTTCTTTCTCTCTCTCCTCTCCCTCTCAGTGTTTACTTCAGCTATCTGTCACTGCCTGAGAGCATGTGAAAGTCATCAGGCAGAGGGGAAAAATAACCCGTGTTCTGTGACTGTGCTCTGCTTGAACTGTTCTTTGGAAACTCTTGATTTGAATTAGTCATCGAATTATACTTAATTAAATTTATACCGTGACATTTTGGAGTTTCGATTCTGTAGAGGACTGTAGACTGCTGGGTCACTGTCACTGCTAAGAGGGCTCCACCACCCAAATGTCTGGCCCCCTTTGTGGGCTGAAATTTTGCAGTGAAAGTTGGACTATAGCCTGTGACAAAGTACGAGATGATGTGTTTCTAATAAAGTGGCCAGTGAGAGGAAGCACACGGTAGGTGTTTCTAATAAAGTGGCCATAGAGACGCAGTGCAAGGTAGGTGTTTCTAATAAAGTGGCCAGTGAGTGGAAGTACTAGGTAGGTGTTTCTAATAAAGTGGCCAGCAAGTGGAAGCACAAGGTAGGTGTTTCCAATAAAGTGGCCAGTGAGAGGAAGTACAAGGTAGGTGTTTCTAATAAAGCGGCCAGTGAGAGAAAGTACTAGGTAGGTGTTTCTAATGGAGTGGCCAGTGAGAGAAAGTACAAGGTAGGTGTTTCTAATAAAGTGGCCAGTGAGAGAAAGTACTAGGTAGGTGTTTCTAATAAAGTGGCCAGTGAGAGGAAGTACAAGGTAGGTGTTTCTAATAAAGCGGCCATTGAGAGGAAGTACAAAGGAGGTGTTTCTAATAAAGTGGCCATTGAGAGGAAGTACAAGGTAGTTGTTTCTAATAAAGTGGCCAGTATGTGTATAGTCCTCCACATTGATAGGCAAATATCTTGCGTACAGTGGATTAATTGAGGCTGGAAATGGCTCAGTCATCAGGAAAAGGACCACAGAGGAGCTGATATTTGGATTAAATGACCAGCAGGACCAGTGAGATATGACTGGCTCAGCTGGGGGAGGAGGGAGTAAACTGGACAGAATGAATAATGTTGCATTATGGCTACTGCCCGTGTCTGTATAGCAGCATTTTAACGGTCCGAGCAGTTCCCAGTTACGAGTTTGCTGCTGTTGTTACACTCACACTAAAAGCTCCAAATCCTGAAGCAGCTCCTGAACCTCAGCACCAGCTGAGAAAACAAATGGGGTGATTTAAGGTGCTGTTAAACTCAGCAGCAGGCAGGTGGTGCAGAATGAGGGTCTTTGTTTGTAGTCTGAGTGCATCAGAATGTTTTACAGGAGTGTGGATGCAGAACACTGTACGGTTCTCTGGTAGACTGGGACCATATGGGGTTAGAAAAGTACTCTGGGCCACTGAAATGTCTTGTTGGTTGAAGAATAAAAAATGTGCCTTTGTAATATTTGTAAACCAGGTCATCCCGGCTGGGGGGACAATGGAACTGACTACCCAGGACCCCTAAATGCACAGTGACATTTGGTATCTTAAAAAGCCTTTCAGTGGATGGTTCCCTGATCATCCTGTACTGTTTGCAATGCTAGTAATATTCTGTCCAGTGAAGACCACAAAACCAGGTTAAAATCAGAGATGGTGTTGGTAAATGAGCTGAGCACTTCTAGTAAAAAGGTTCAGTAACAGTGGCATAAGAAATAAATGTTTGGGTAGGCCTGTGAAAAAGTGGGTAGGCCAACTATATAGGTCTAATTTCCATACATGCTGCGTACAGCAATGTCACATCTATTCCAGCACTTCTTCTCTATGGTGATACAAAAAACAGCCAGACTGTGTATCATCAACAGGAATACTGGGTTCACATAAATACAACCAACACTACACATCACTAAAGCATGTGTCCGATCACCACTGGTAAGACTTGTTCCCAATGAAGACGAGATGTACAAGACAAACCTATACATCCTAGACCAGAGGTCCAAGTCGGGACCCAGGCGCTGTCCTATGCGGACCTGGACCTTTAACCGATAAACTATGGAGAATTATTTAATTTCGGTGGGGTGGTCCCATTTTAATGGGTGTAACTTTTTATAGCATTTATGGTAGCTTTAGTGGCCCGGGAGACTCACAGACCAATTGCATGCGTTGTAAATATCATACGTACGTGAGTGAGTCACACACAGGGGAGGGACGAGGCGAGACACAGCAGTCAGAGAAGAAAGTGAGTCAGAGGGAGGTTATTTTACATGCCGTTCTCTAAAAAGAGAAAGACTGACAAATATTGTTGAAATATCACTGAATTGTACTTTATTTGATTTGACATTCAGTTGTTGACTGTATAAGATGTTGATATTCCTACTAGGCTACTTCAGTAAACAGTATATGGCACTGAGTCATGATGCAAGTCAGACATTATGATCTTCTGGACCTTTGCTTGAGGAAATCTTCTCTAACTGGACCTTATTGAATTTTAATTAAAGACCCCTGATCTAGGCTAAAGCATACTGCCATAGCAAGCATGTAAAACATTAATGGACACTGTTATACTCAGTGATGACTCACATTGAAGTAATGTTAGAGTCCATTTCAGCTTTTGTAGTAAAGATCATAGACCCTCATTCACCAACCGTTCTTAAGAAGAATTTCCATTCTTAAAACCCACAGTTTTCGCAAAGACTCTGTCATTCACCAGTGTTCTCTTATGTGGGATTTGTTCTTAGGTAAGAACAGAATCTACACACACTCAAGAGCACGAAGGTGAGAACGGTTCTGCGCTTTAAGAACACGTCATGAATCTGATGTAGACTTTTTCTCAGGATCTTTCTCAAGAACACACTTAAGAACAAACTTGGGAGGATATTGGAGAATGAGGCCCAAAGTAAGTGCCAAATTCACAGACCACCAACAACAATGTTTTTGGCTTTGGATGTAGAAAACAACGTACTCTACCCTATCGGGGACAGAACGTCTTCTGACTACAGCTGGAGCTTTAAATACGCTGATGAAGAACCGAAGGCTTGAGGCAGTGGTGGATAGCATTGGTTGGGAAGCAGTGCTTGGAGGGCTGAGAAGATAAGGCCGAGCTTGGCTGAGAGTATAATAAATGTGATTGTGTTTGGCTCTAATACAATGAAAGCACTTATAGAAAACAAATTGTGTGTTATTGCTTTAAAAAAATGAAGCTTCATAAATATTCTCTGTCCATTTCATTGGACTTTGAATAGTCTGGGTACACCCAGGGTTACCTGTGGCTACACCTGTTCAATAGTACCAAAAACATGTAACATCACTTATAACGACAGTGAAACCTTTTTGGTTCTGGAAGAACCCTTAAATAGGAACCTTTACATTATAAGGTTCTTCACACTCGTACTCACACTTCTTTTCAGACGTGGTTCTTTCAGTAACAAAAAGTGGTTATTCTATGAAGTCGCTCAAAGAACCTTTTGTGGCACTTTTTTGCGCAAACATGGAAAGCAAATGAATTAGGAAGTACAGTTTAAAGCTTACATTATGCTCCAAAGGGGTCCACGCCCACTGCATGGTCCAGGAATCCGTGGAACCTGTTTGCAAAATCAACTCAGTAGATGAAACTGCAAGAAGAAGCTCTCAGAGCAATCCTTTCAGATTTAGAAGGAATGAAACATCTAAACCAAGAACCATTGAGGAACCTTCATTATCAAAACTGTACATATCTGATGGTGCACAGATGATCAGCCCCGTTCATCGCTGGTCAGTTTCTAACCAAAGGGCAGCTGATGGCCAGGTACTATTTGGGTGGCGGACCATTCTTAGCACAGTAGTGACCCTGACTTGGGATCTGTGAGGTGATGGTCCAACAGTGCTGCTGTGCTTGTGCTTGTGCTTGTCATGCAGGTTCTTGAGGAGGAGAAAGTGGATAATTGTGTTGAGAACGCATCAGCGTTTCAGCAAACACTACAAGTCCAAAGTGCTCCATTATTGTAGCGCTTCCAGAACTCATTACCTCAACTCCTGGAGGCAGCCAGCAGATCTCCCTGGAGATCATAACACAACACTGGACCGTAATGGAACTGCTACAACAGCACTGATTTCCAGCCAGTGAGAGAGAGAGAGACTCCACTGCGGGTCCAGGCACTGGGTTGTGGTGGAACCCGTTGCCGTGGTAACGGCTATTCACCAGCCACTGGACGGCGGACAGCGCTGGCCAGACAAAAGCGGTCTGAAAAGGCCTCTCTCACGTTTCTGTTTTCATTTCCTTTGTCTCTGGAGTGAAAGGCAGCAGCACGGCCGAACTTTCAGGATTACGGCCGAGCTCGAGGCGTTCAGTTGGATCAGCAACTCGCTGCTTTATACCGAAACCATGACTGATCGGATTGCGTACCGCTGATGACCCAAACGGTGTCCAGTCTCGAGCTTGTCCACGTCCTACAAGCTACAACCTTTTTTCTAAAGTTTTTATTGGTTTGGATTATCAAGAACACCTCCACGTTCTTCTGTTACGGCCTGTGATCACATGATTAAAGTAGTTCTTCCTTTCCTGAGTGTGTATACAGTCCCGCGCTGTCGCCCTTCCAGCTGTAGAGATACTTGGAGTTATCTGGGCCGACATGAATTGCCATCGATTTCCATGACACTCACAGTAGAGCAGGTCATTAGTGTGAAAAAGCAGGCTGATAGATGACCAACAGTGACCGCAGCTACCCCACAGCTGCTGGTCAGATTACAATAGAAACAATAGTTGTGATAGTTCTGATGATGCTGCAACTCAAATGAATAGAAAAATGACCAAATAAATATAAAAAAGTGAAAAAACATATGTAATAATATGTATATACTGTATTACTGTTTTTTTTTTTTAAAAATAGGCATTTTTATGTATAATTATTATGTAATATATGTATTAAAAAAATAAATATAATTTAAATGTATATGTAACAATTACTGTTTTTATATTATATATATTTATTTACATTTTATGTGACCTTTTTATAAAAACTATTATTTCAATTATGTATTAATAACTTTATTAAATTAATATGTAAAAATTGTCTGTATATATAAAATTATATATATATAAATTGAAATGATATATAAAATGTTTATATTATATGTTTTATAATTTTTAGAGACTTTTGAACCACAGTTCAGGATTGTATGTAAGAGTGTAGGATTTTTTATGAAATTATAATTTGTTTGTATTTTTCTCTCTGAGACTGGTGTCCTCATTCCATTTCCTCTCTCTCTTAACAGCATATAATAATATAACTGGAGTTTATTACCTTTACGCCTGCGGCACTAACTCAGTACGCTGAAATGGTGTTTGCAGTGACCGTTTAAAGGACGTTGTTTGAGATGTGCTGAATGTTTGTTTTTTTCCTGCAGGTTGTCTGGACTGCTGCATTAAGTGTCTGGGGGGCGTTCCCTATGCCTCTCTGGTGGCCACCATCCTGTGCTTCTCCGGAGTGGCTCTGTTCTGTGGCTGTGGTCATGTGGCCCTGACCGGAACCCTCACCATCCTGGAGACGCACTTCTCAAAGATCACCACTGACCATGCCATGCTCACCGACATGTAAGTGAGACCCCTTAGTGTCATCATGTATTTGAGTATCTCAGAAACAGTGGTTTCCTTTAATCTAATTCTTTTAAGCGAAAAATTAGGCAAAAATCGTATTTCCCCCAGTATCCTCACTTAACCCAGAGGTAATTAATCATCCCAGACATTGCGAGCCTGAGCCGCGACTTGAGTTCACAACTCAGAGACTATAGATGCAACTTGGGCTCGTACCCCAGAGACTCTAGACGCAACTTGGACTCGTGCTCCAGGGCCTCAAGACGCACCTCAGGCTCGTACCCCAGAGACTCTAGACGCGACTTGAGCTCATACCCCGGAGACTCTAGACACGACTTGGGCTCATACCCCGGAGACTCTAGACACGACTTGGGCTCATACCCCAGAGACTCTAGACACGACTTGGGCTCATACCCCGGAGACTCTAGACACGACTTGGGCTCATACCCCAGAGACTCTATACACGACTTGAGCTCATACCCCGGAGACTCTATACACGACTTGAGCTCATACCCCGGAGACTCTATACACGACTTGAGCTCATACCCCGGAGACTCTATACACGACTTGGGCTCATACCCCGGAGACTCTAGACGCGACTTGAGCTCATACCCCGGAGACTCTAGACACGACTTGGGCTCATACCCCGGAGACTCTAGATGCGACTTGGGCTCGTACCCCGGAGACTCTAGACACGACTTGGGCTCATACCCCGGAGACTCTAGACACGACTTGAGCTCACATCTCAGAGACCCAAGACTTGACTCAGACTCACATGAAATGACTTGTGAACCTTTGATTATTGCGAACTGGTAGCCTAATGTAAACGTGAAGGGTTAGCGTTAGATGGTAGCAGGTGGAGTAGTCTGCATTGAGAGCATCAACTTGTTTGAGACATAACTATAGTGAATTAACAAGCAAATTACACTCACATTTGGGCAGCCTATTCATGTTTTTTGCACTGGGGCCCAGTAAGATCTGAATTACACCACACTAGACTCATCCTTCATTATTGTTATGTTATAACGCACTGCAAAACATAAACGTAGGATCACACTAAGGTTTGCCTGAAGAGAACCCTAGACCATTGTTTTCAGTAGGACCAGGGATCAGTTCTGTGGATCACTCCCAGGATCAAAAAACAGTTTTCACACCAGAACTTACCGAACTCTCAGGGCAAATGGGGCTGGATCTGGAAAAAAGCACGAAAAGAAAAAGTGTGAAAATGCTCTGTAGATACCTTTAAACGCCCATTAAGCTACAAAATTTCCAACCATTTTCTCTGTCATCACCCCATGGTGAAGAAAAAGCCACTAATTAATCTCTCCAGCAAATATTAAACTCACTGTTTTCTGAAAGGGGTTTATTCCACCAAACTCCCCACCATCTTTCTGAAAAGAGTTCGTTAAATGCTGCAAAACACCCATTAAAAAGCAATACTTTCTCCAGCTATCTTCTCTCACTCATCACCCTTGGGAGATAACAGAAGCCTCCAGGAATAAATCCCTCCAGCAAATATTAAACCCGCCGTCTTCTAGTGTGCTTGGTTTAAACTGCGAAGGCAGACTTCAGCGAAAGGTCAAGGTGCTGATGGCTTTGTTGTAATTCTTATTTTGTGAGGTAAGACCTAAACGCCCTAATATGGAAATCTTTCATTTGACACCACGACTCCAGAGGCCGCTCACTCACGCCTCAGGGCCCTGATTTGTCCCTCTGCTGCAGAAATAGATTATCTCAGACAGGAATCACCTGCTATCAGTTCAGACGTTAAGCCCCAGCTTTAGGGTTCTGTTTGTTTGGGTTCAGAGCTGGGGTCACTCGGTTCTTTCACATCTGCTTGCCATTTATCACCGTAATATTTACAGTTTCAGTCACACGGGCGTATCATCTCAGAGGTGCCAGGTTTTTAGACTAGTTGTGCCACATGGTGTTCGTGGGGGCTCACTGTCTACCTTATTGGAAACCCTTCCCTCATTATTAGCTCCACCTCCCTTATAGCTCCCCTGTATAGATGTACAGTTACACACTGAAAATTACAGTAACAGTCACTGTCACTGCTTGGTTCAGAGTACCACCACACAGTAATATCCAGCCAAAAGTGGCTCTGCGGTCAGAAACTGACCATTAATGAAGGGCTAAAGGATGGCTAACATTTCACCCCTCGCCCCTACCACTTAGCCCTACCCCTCCGTTTTGCATGTTCACATCTAGGTGTAGGGTGTCGGGATTCTTGTTGAGATAGAGGAGGAGGGTGAAGTGTTGGGGCTACATGACCCTCCAAACTGAGGTTTTTCAGAGACTCCAAACAGAGAGATATGAGAAAAAAAGAAAAACCGGCAAGATGGAGAACAAGAGACCAAAGAAACCCACAAATGTGAGAATTTTCTCTGTTAAAAATTACAATAATCATCATATTATCGTAGTTTAATGTTGTTTCAGTGTATTTTGGTGCTTTTCTTCATACCAAGCATAAAAAATGTAGCCAGCTAGCTAAATTTCCCGTTCCACCTTAAATGGTAGTTACATTCTGTGCCTCAGGCATCAGAACTGCTGCTCCATTTAAGGTGGAACAGGAAAATTTGAACAAGAATCTGGAGAATATCTGACTTCAGCTTCATATCACTGAAGAATTCGGGGTGGGTGATAATAAATAATTGCCCCCCTCTTTGAAGTCATATGATGCCCTAAATGTAACTAAAGCCCAGCAGTGAGGAGCTGAACTTTACCCTCCTCTGCTGTCACTGCAGACTGGCAGGGTCGCCTACAGAGCAACGCTGGTAGCTGTTAATGAAGTGATGCTCTTTTTATTTGAGGGTCCCATTTCAGAGGGAAGATTTCAACCACTCAGTTCAAAGGGGGGATCCTTGACAACAAGGAGTAGGGGTAGAATAAGAAATGGGATTGGGCCCAAGTGTGCATCAACAAATGAGCAACAGTCTCTCACTACATCAGCAAGGTGGAGCTTCAAGAGAGGATTTCTGATAAAGTGGCCGGGGAGCGTACAGCAGTGGAGGACTATGGTGACCGTCTTCTTTTCAGTCTGTTTGTATATGACCAAGTATGGATGACAGTGGAAAAGCAAGAACAGCAGTGAAGCACATTTAATAAACACTCATGTCCCTGAACACATCATGCACTTACACAGCGTCTCTCTCTGTGTCTCTGCAGAATCCAGCTGATGCAGTACGTGATCTACGGAATCGCTTCTTTCTTCTTCCTGTACGGGATCATTCTGCTGGCCGAGGGTTTCTACACCACCAGCGCTGTCAAAGAGCTGCACAGCGAGTTCAAGACCACCATCTGCGGCCGTTGTATCAGCGCAATGGTAAGGCAGGGACCTCCTGACTGATCCTGTCCAGTCCTGACCAATCCTCACTAACCATGACCAACCTTGACTACTCCTGACCAATGTTGAAAAACACTGATGAACCCTAACTAATCCTTATCCTTAACTTATCCTCACCAATTCAAATCTTGACTGACCCTAATAATAATAATAAACCTGAAACCTTAATGTTTTACAGCAATAACAAAATACAAAATACCCTGACTAGTCCTGACCAACCTTGACCAATCCTGACCAACAATAATATTAGTAATAATAAGTTTAATTTAACATCATTAGGTTTGAGCGCCTATTTCTTTCTAATGACGTGTTACAGTAGTAACAAAATACTCAATTTCCTGACTGATTCTGACCAATTCTGACCAACCCTGACCAATCTTGACTAGCCCTGACCAATCTTGACCAATCCTGACAAATCTAATAATAATAGTAATATAATAATAATAATAACAATAAGTTTAATGTTTTGTAGTGTCTTTCTCAAACCTAGATGCTTTAGAATAGTAACAAAAAAAAACACAAAATACCCTGACTAATCCTGACCAGCCTTGACCAATACTGACCAATCCTGACCAATCCTGACCAACCATAATAATAGAAATATGTTTAATTTAATGTCATTAGGTTTGAGTGCCTTTTCTTTCGACTTTCTCTTTATCATGACCCGTTACAGTGGTAACAACACAATATCCTGACCGATCCTGACCAATTCTGACTAACCCTGATCAACCCTGACCAACCCTGACCACCCCTGACCAATCTTGTCCAACCTGAATTTCCGTTTTCTGTTCTTCTTTTTAGTTCGTGTTCCTGACATACATCCTGGGCGTTGCCTGGCTGGGGGTGTTTGGATTTTCGGCCGTGCCGGTGTTCCTCTTCTACAACATGTGGTCAACGTGTGCGGCCATGCGGGCTCCTGTCACCTCTCTGCCCTCCAACGAGTCCATCTGCGTGGACATGCGGCAGTACGGTACGATCACCGCCGCCCCCTAACAGCTGTATGGGGAACTTTGTGAGCTTGGTACACTAACCTTACAGCCAGACACACTTTTAAAGGGGAATTTCATCAGGTGTTCATAACTTTAGAGGCTTAGCGCCCCTACAGGCCTCTGACTGTTACTGCTACATCATTTAAGGTGGAACAGGAAATGAGAATGAGAAGCTAACTTCAGCTTCCTCTAATCTCTGTCCGCTGTATGAGATTCAGCTAACCCACAGAGACTACTGCTCATTACCTTCTCTGGCATCAGGCGTGCTTGTTGGTCCACAGAGGTCCGAGAAGCAGCATGGTTAATTAAATAACTCTTCACCTGTAATGTCTGCTTTACTCCACTGGTATTTAAACCTGTAACACTTGTAAAACATGCAGAAGAAAATCTTATTAATAATGGATTTACATTGAAGTTAAATAACCCAGCCAACCATTTTGCTGTTAAAGTCTAGAGCTGTTATTGGTTTGTTTACTACATTTGCGTCTACATTTAGACGCTCGCTCGGTGTTAGAACAAGATGTTATTATTTCCCAGACAAATACAACAGTTGGGAATATTGGCTAAAACTTGAGCTTGTATAAGAACGGTGAGCATAAACGCACTGTTTTCACTGACTCAAAGAGAAACTGTCGTGGTGCATCTGGTGGTTCTTGCATTGTAAGAAGGAACACACATTTGGGAATCCAACCCCACTGGGAAATATTCTCCTATTACAGATTCCTCTGCAAATATAACAGCTGTGTTGAACATCTGTGTAGCAGGGAGCAGGTCAGAAGTGCTGACAGACACCATTTTCGTGCATCTGCTAACGCATAACTTTTCCTGCAGGAATTATCCCCTGGAATGCCACACCAGGCGTTGCTTGCGGGTCGGCGCTGCTTGAAATTTGTAGCTCCAGTGAGGTAAACCACACTTTCTGCCTGTATTTCTTATTATTTAAGGATTTGATGATAAAAAATTGATTGTTTCAGAATAAATCTCTGCTATAATAAACTCAAAGGCCACAGGGGGCGCTGCATTTCTTTAATCACGACAAACTGAATTTACCTCACTTACCTTCTATAGGTAAAAGAGTTTGATGTAGTGTGTAAACACTTTTAAGGTTTCAAAGTGGCCGGCCCTGTCTACAGCTGTTTAGCTCCGCCCTTCCAGCCTACAGCTGTTTATCTCTGCCCAGGCAGCCTATAGCAATTTAGCCCCACCCATTCAGCCTACAGCAGTGTAGCCCCGCCCATTCAGCCTACAGCAGTTTAGCCCCACCCATTCGGCCTAAACAGATTAGCCTCACCCATTCAGCCTACATCAGTTTAGCCCCACCCATTCAGCCTACAGCAGTTCAGCCCCACCCTTTAAGCCTACAGCAGTTTAGCCCCGCCCATTCTTGTTGTGGTGATGCAGAGTGTTGTTCCTGCAGACAGCCTGAAGAATTCAGTTCCAACAAGAGGCACAGTACAGGGCAGCCAATCAGAACAGAGCTCATTTACATATATTAGTCTTAAGGCACTGTAACAAAAACAGCCTGTATAATTCAAAGGATAAAGAGAGGCTGGAAAACGGTTGTAAATATAAATGACAGCAAGTGAAAAACGACAAAGAATTTCTGGGAAAAATCACGTGAGAAAAATGTAGACGGTATCAGTAAATATGGGTCCCTAAAGGTGAATTACGAGTACCTGATCAGTGCAACATCTGTGGCTAAAACACTGAGTAGAAAGGTAAACTCGTTTGTCCACTCTCTCTCTTTCAGTTCTACCTGTCCTACCACCTGTACATCGTAGCGTGTGCTGGAGCCGGAGCCACCGTCATTGCTCTGGTAAGCGTAGGGAGCTTTACACCATCACTAATCCACACTTTCGGGAGTGTATCTGGTTGTGTGTCATTTGCAGTGTTCTGCATCTCTCTCTCTCTCTTTTCCTTTGAAAGCCACTGACTTTCCCTCATTCCTCTCACCATCCACTGCGAATCCATCTGCTTCACTGTCCTGTTCCCCAGCGGCAGCTTAGCGAGTCAGACGCCCTCTCTGCAGCGTAGCCCGTCTTTCTTTTTGTCCAAATACTCAACACGAATGGACAACATGACTCAGTAGCTCATTAGAACTGTCCCTGGTGAGATCTGAACAAAACTAGTGAGATTTTGATGCCACAGACTCAGACTGATCTAATCTTTAGATTAAGAGACCCTTATTTGTCCCACAGTGGGAGAATTTCACCTCCGCATTTAACCCATCCGTGCAGTGAAACACCGCATACACACTAGTGAAGACACACACACAAAAGGGGGCAGTGAGCACACTTGCCCGGAGTGGTGGGCAGCCCTATCCATAGCGCCCAGGGACCAGTTGGGGGTTAGGAGTCTTGCTCAAGGGCACTTCAGTCACGTACTGTCGGCTCAGGGGATCAAACCGGCGACCTTCTGGTCGCAAGGCTGGTTCCGTGACCTCCAGCCCACAACTGCCCCCTTAATCTCATGAAGCTCGTGTATCTCAGAACCAACAGCATCCAGTAGACAATTTCTCCATACCTCAAAGGTAGTCAGTCAGCCAGGGCTCGCGAGTGGTGCACCCGTCTGAGCGATGGTCCTGTTTTAGATATGTTAGAATTCTGTTAGATATAACTGAATTAGCAGTTAGCATTCTCCTCCAAGCGTGTTGAGCCCCAATGATGTTGCATTAGCAGGAGTTTGAAAAGATATAAGATAATCCTTTTTTAGTCCCACAGCAGGGAAATTCACAGGGCTACAGGAGCAAAGGGAGAGCAAGGCACCCTAGAAAAGAAGTAATAAGAAGAAAATTAACAAAGTAATAAACCTCCAAAATGGTAACTTAACAGGAGAAGGAAAAAACCTACTTTACTTTTAATGTAAGTCAATGGAACCAGACATCTTTCTGTCATTCTGTGCCGTTTCTTTTGGTCCATTCATCATGAAATTTACATACAATGTAAAGGGAAACAGGTATTTTCAAATTGTCAAAAACTGAAAAAGGACAAAAATGGAAATACAAGATTTTCTTCCTACAACAGTGATACACACACACACACACACACACACACACATATATATATATATATACATACATATGTATGTATATATATAAATACTAAAGATAAAAAATATAAACTCTATCCTTCACATAAACTCTGAACAAAAAAAAACAATTTACTACATTTATAATGTTGTTTATTATATATATGTGAAGGAGCCTCATGGGTCTCAGAGGAAGCTCATGCTCCCCAATTTAGTCGTGTTCAGTTCCACCAGTTAGCTAGATCTCCTTCCATCACACCAGGCTACCAAGCTGAGAGGGTGAAGCTTAGCGCGAGCTTCCTCCGAGACACGTGAACCTCCACCACATCTTTTCAAACTGTCGCTAATGCAACATCATTGAAAATGAAAGGACGAATTTTTTATACTCTATATGTCAAATTTAACACTTATTTTTATTTCTAATTAAAAAAGAACAGCCTGCCCTTCTTCATTTGTATATTGTGTTGCCTTTTTGGCCCTCGGCCCACCACAAGCGTCGCACTTTGGCCCCCTAAGACAAAACATTGAACCCTCTGATTTAAAGTGTCAGGTGGACGTTGAGGAGCGTCCAGCCTACTTTAGTGAACTGCAGCCACAGCGCTGGTGTTTTGGTGGGTTTGGTTTAGTCTTCTGTTTTCTCACCTCCCGTTTCCTCTTCTGTTCTTTCCCCCCAGCTCATCTACATGATGGCTACCACTTATAACTTTGCTCTCCTGAAGTTTAAGAGCAGAGAAGACTGTTGCACTAAGTTTTAACTCGAGTTCCAGCAGACGCTGATGATGCGGACTGAGAGACTCGCATAGAAACCAGAAACAACTTGTGCCACAACATGTAAATAGTGAACTGTAAACAGATGTAGCGTTTTAGACACGGGGGCCGGCCGGGCGGTCTCACGCGGCTTCGGCTTCGGTCCTCTTTAAAGAGCACTAGAGAGATTCTTTACCTAGAATAAACTTAGAACAGAGTCGAGAGTTTCTTAAAGAGACTTACTGGACTTGCGTAGATCAATCAGTAGTTGTATTGGAACTTTAGTATTGGGAGAAAAAAGTTGTGCCAACTATAAAATTGCCATAAACACGTTTACAGCTGGAATCATCTCTGTTCGTCTGTAATCTTTTTATTTACTATATTTTTTCGTTGCAAGTCACGTCTCGAATCGTATTTTTCCTCCTCAAGTCTCGAGTCAGGGACATGATGTCATCACATGTCGTTGACATATTGACGTGGTGCTAATGTGTGACATCATCTTACTGAACGTCCCTGCTGAAGGTCCTGCATGTTTCCCAACAGGGCTGGAAATCAAGATTCAATACTTTTATGATGCCGACAAAATTAATATTGAAAAAGTACCAAATTTGAAATGTTCAGTGAGCCAATAGGCACGCTTGCTCCATAATCTGGCTGATTGGTCGTCTAAATTACATTTATTTGCATGTTTTTAACTCGTAGTCTGTAAATAGACCCACTTTCCATTGATTAACCACACCCACTTTTGGTTTGTTATTTAAAAGTATCGATAAATTTCGAAAAATTTCGTACCTGTTTCCCGATATTGAACATAACCTTATGACCTGATTACGCAAAACAGTTATTAGCGAACGCGCTTGGTTGTAAATCCGACATCAGTAGCGCCGTTTTTTGACATTTTTCAAATTATTTCCATCCTTTTCTTGGGATGCGATATGTTAACGTTAATGTTTAACCCGTTTATGTTTTACTATTTAGTTTCTCACAGATATTAACACCAAACGACTGCATGCATATTTTTTCTTTAATGTTTATTTTTACTCAGTATTACACACTTCATGAATATTTAATTCCCTTTTTGGAAAATGTAGCTTTTTTCCTCCTTTTCCGTACGAAATAAAAAAGACTTTGTTTACAAACCTGTCCCAAGGTGGTCTTTCTCATTTGACAGAGACTTTTATTTTGTATATTCATGCATTCATTTTGGCTCACTAACACCTAAAGCTAGCGTGCACCGCTTAACCTGCTGTCATCACGTTCCTGCTGCTTTTGAAATCCCATTCTGTCCTAATGTGTCCTGTTCTAATATTAGTAATAACGGTCAGCGTCTCTCAGTTCAGACGGTTTGCTGGGCCGTGGACGTTGTGTTATCTGTGCGTTTGTGTTGTGTGTGTCTGGTGCAGGACGTAGCTGTAGCTGTAGCTGTGGCTCGCTTTGCCATCGTGATCATGCTCACGGGTCACCTCGCTCGGCCTCTCTCTTGCAGATCCACTACCTCATGATCCTCTCGGCGAATTGGGCCTACCTAAAGGACGCGAGTCATATGCACGCGTACCAAGACATCAAATCGAAGGAGGAGCGGGAGCTGCAAGACATCCAGTCGCGCTCCAAAGAATGCCTCAATTCCTACTCGTAAGGACTCAGGGTGTCCGGCCGGGAGAACATCAGCTCCGACGAAACGAAAAACCTGCCAACAGCACTAACTAACCCTGCTCTTAACACACTAACCCTGTAACGCACCACGGCGCTTCTGTCTGCACTAACATCCACGCAGTTTGCAGGGACTTACTTTTTCTATCGATTACACCATTTTCATAAAAATGTCAATTTTTTGAATGCTCTTTTTTACTGTAGCCCTTTTTTATGATCCAGAATTGCTGGTGAAACGTTGCACTATTCAAAACACGAAGGAAGGCAGCTTGTTGATGGGGAAAAATCTTGGTTCACGAATTTTAATTTAAAAAATTTTTTAATTAAAACAAAAAAAAAAGTTCATCAGATCAACCTAAAAAATTACTTTGTGGTACCAAGTAAATTTGCTAGTTTTATTCAAACTTAATAAATACTTTGAATTAATTATTCTTTCATCGTTATTTTTTGAGTTGAATAAAATTTAATTGCTTGTTACTGCATGAAGTAATTTTTTACAGTGTACTTCTGTTTTCACATTTCCCCCAAAAAACTTTTCCATTAAATAAAAAAAAGTCAGCTCCAATGCAATGGAATTTTGTTTTTCATGCTGATTTAATTTTTGATTTTATTTTTTTTCCCCTTCAAAATTATTTTTAGCTTTACAGCTCCTCACTTTGTGTCCTCACATGGTTTGGTAAATACTGTGTGTGTTTGGTCCACCAGTTTTTAGCTGTTTGCATTGTAGGTTCCCACCAACCTTCAGGCCTGTTCTTATAGGACCTTGTTTCAAACCACCCCCCCATTAAGATCTCCAAACGTCTACCTCAGAAGTACCACAGTGACTGTAGAGAACCGTTTAGAGTTTTTAAGCTACGGAACATTTGGTCTTCCAAGTGATCTGTGAACAAAGTTAACTGATCATCACCACGAATTCCAAACAAAAATTAGTTTGTCAAGTGAAATTATCTTAAATCTAGTCGACACATCAGATATTTCTTGTTTTGATGTTGCTGTGAGAAAATTATTTGTAACTGGCAGATAATTTTAGTTTGAAAGCTGTGAAATTATTTGAAAATGAGATAAAATCACAAGTTAAAAAGTCTACAAATAAGTTACTCTTATTTGATAAGAAATATTAGATATGTTGACACAAGTTAAGATGATCTCATTTACTGGAATCATGGAACATTCTTCACTAGTAGAACCGAAAAGAACCCTATAAATTCTCTATTAATTCCAAAAATTTTCCAAAGTTTCCAAAAACGATCCTCGATATTTTTGAGGTTTCTAAATGTGAAGGTTTTTGAAGATGCAGTGATGAAGGGATGAGATAAAGAACAAATAGCATTTTTCCACTGAAACTTTTTACAAACTTTTTCTGAACAAAGTTTCTGATATTTTTTTCTTATCTTTGGACCTCCTGATCCAGCAAATCCGTCCAGAGTGCGAATATAAACCCTTTCTTTATCCAAACGAGGGTGAAAAACGTGTTCCAGAAGGCTGAACTCTTAGCTGGTAGACGGTGTGTACAGGGATATTTTGATGTGTATTCGTTTTTGCGCGAGAGACACAGTTCTGACAGCGATGCAGGCGACATGTAGTCATTTATTCTGACATTTACAGTAGGCAGCGTTTGCCTGGTTCCCTTTTTTAAACAATGTTATATACTTTTTTTAAATAAAGCACTAGTTTACGTAGAACTTTCTGAACTCTGTATAAAACCACTTTTGTAACCTGATAGTATCCTCTTGGACTTCGAGGGATTATGATAGTTTGTACTTTTGATCACTATTTGATGTGTTATTGATTTAAACATTGATTTTACGATGGCATCCATTGGGTACTTTTATTCTGGAGCTGGACACAGAAAATCTGACGCTCTCTGCAGGTTTAGACAGTGATTTGAAAAGCCTGACCAAAATGTTTTTGTATCTCTTTGAAAATATGGAGCTTAGATGTGGAAACATCACAGACTTTAAACGGCTCTCCAAATGTAAATACATCTGGTTATTAAAAATAAAATTAATTTGCAACCTGGAGATGTACAGCTGTGTTTACAGTTCCAATGTTACACTTAATGATGTTATTAATTTTTCTTATACCAGATACAAAAATAAATAAATAAATAAATAAAGCTACCTATACAGCCAATGGAGCCTGTTTCAACTGTGGATTCCTTAAAAATTCATTAACAAGCTGTTAAATGTTTTTATGGAAAAATAAAGGAAAAATTTTGCAAATTCTGATGTGTTTCTGTTTCATTTTTGTTTTCTGGGGAATAAAAATCCACATTTATTCAGATTTCTAAAGCAAACACACACACACACACACACACACACAGACACACACCTACACACACACACACACACACACACACACAGACACACACCTACACACCTACACACACACACACACACACACACACATACACACCTACACACACACACACACACACACACACAGCTTGAGATTCTGATACTGAATTTAATAAATATAAAACTGCACACAAACTCAAATTCCATTGAATATAAAATACAGAAAAAGAATCTGTAAAAATGAAGAGCGCAGCAGGTGAAGCAGCGACGGCTCCTCATCATCACCAAAAGTCATCATCTGCATCATCATGGGAGAAAGCAGCGACGCTACGGGACCAAGAGAGCCGTTACTCAGAAACACAGGCAACATTATATACACAACATATACAATATGAACAGTATACAACATCTACACATGCTGTACAAATTACACATATACATGACATCCAATGTCATCCAATATATAAAATGAATATGCAACCTGGAGATTAACAGAGTTCTAATGTTACATTTAATGATGTTATTACTTTGTCTTTTACCAGATACAAAAATAAATAAATAAATATTTATTTATATTAAAAAAAATTTTTTATACAATAAATGTATTTTTAAACATATATATCGCTGCTGTTGGAACAAAACTTTGTATCTCCAAAATTTCAGTGTAAGTTAATGGAACCAGACCTTTTCCCAAGTCATTCTGGGTCGTTTCTTTTGGTCCATTCATCATGAAATTTATAGACAATGTAAAGGGAAATATTTTCAAATGATGTCAAAAACTGAAAAGCGACAAAAATGGAGATGGGAGGGTTTGCTCTGACAGCAGAGACAATATTATATATATATATATATACACATATATATATATATATACACATATATATATATATATATATATATATATATATATACTGTAGACCTTTTAAAACAATCATTTAAAAAGAAAAAAAAGCTCTATTTCTATAAAATAAAGTCAAATTAATGACCACAAATGTGTCTATTTTCACATTTCTATATTGTGGCTCTATATTTCTTCCTCCCAGTAACAGTGATACAGTTACTCCTCACCTGTCGTCCCTGTCAGACAGAGCTGCAGCCTCGTGACTCTGATTGTCTGGCTCATCTCTCCCAGAACTCTAAAATAAATAAATAAATAAATAAATATTCACCACTGCACTCCAACTGATGACCGCAAACAATGTGCTCTGGATGAGATGGAGCACATGGCCAATCAAATTTTGGGGAAACCCCCCTCTTCTTCTGAAACGTTCTGTGTGTCACTGTTTTCTGTTGCTCTTCATGGAGTTTCTTTTCAATGAAGTATGAAGAAAATGCTATGAAGAGCAAGTTTGGCCTAAATAAGGTTTTGACAATTTTACAAACTAGTGTGATCAGGCGTGGCCTTATTCAATATACCACCCTCACGGTGATGTGGAGATCACAGCAGCCCTGCATGTCTGTACGTACCGGCTCCCTCTGCTCCCTCTGCTCCCTCTGTTCTCTCTCTCTGCTCTGCATGACCATCATCATGTATTTATGGAGCGAGTCGGTGGGGTTTGGGTTTAAACTCTCGCCCCGTACAGACGACACCTTCGACTCGTCCGCCTCCATAACTCCTCCCGTCTCCATCCTCCTCTGTTTCCACATGTTCTCTTTCAGAAACAGCCAGCTGCAGCTAGTGAGAGAGAGAGAGAGAGAGAGAGAGTGTGAGAGAGAGAGAGAGAGAGAGAGTGAGAGAGAGAGAGAGAGAGAGAGTGTGAGAGAGAGAGAGAGGAGATGAAAGTTTCCAGTATATGGGCCATAAGCCTGTTTTAAAACTGACTGTGCTACTTGTGCCTGACAGACAGACCGATCAGGCAGAACATCATGACCACCTCCTTGTTTCTACGCTCACTGTCCATTTTATCAGCTCCACTTACTGTATAGGTGCACTTTGTAGTTCTACAGTTACAGACTGTAGTCCATCTGTTTCTCTGATACTTTGTTAGCCCCCTTTTACCCTGTTCTTCAGTGGTCAGGACCCCCATGGACCCTCACAGAGCAGGTACTATTTGGGTGGTGGGTCATTCTCAGCACTGCAGTAACACTGACGTGGTGGTGGTGTGTTAGTCTGTAACTGTAGAACTACAAAGTGCACCTATATAGTAAGTGGAGCTGATAAAATGGACAATGAGTGTAGAAACAAGGAGGTGGTCAGAATGTTATGCCTGATCGGTGTAGATAGACAGATAGACAGACAGACAGACAGATAGAGATAGTTAGACAGACAGACAGACCGACAGACAGACCGACAGATAGACAGCTATTCACCAGCTCCTGCTCCAGTTCTCTCCTCTCTCGCTCCTGATCCTCCTCTCTCTCCCTTCGTCTCCTCTCCTCCTCTTCCTCCTCTCTCTTCTGCCGTTTTCTCTCCTCCTCTTCCTCCCTCCGTCTCCTCTCTCGCTCCTGATATTCCTCTTTTTCCCTCCTTCTCCTCTCCTCCTCTTCCTCCTCTTTTTCCCTCCTTCTCCTCTGTTCTTCTTCCTTCTCTCTCTCAATCTGTCTTCTCTCCTCCTCTGCCTTCTCTCTCTCCCTCCATCTCCTGTCCTCCTCTTTTTCTCCAACAGCGTCCATGTTTGATGGAGACACACCTGAAAAAAACAAACAAACATTCGGCTACCTCAGTGGTCACCAAACCCCCTCCTGAAGATCTACTTTCCTGGAGAGTTCAGTTCCAACCTGCATCTAATCCTCTGCCCCGCCCCCTTATCTAACACTAATGCAGCTGATTCAGCCAATCAGGGACTTCTGAAGGAGTTAATTAGCTGGAGCAGAGTGTGGTTCGAACTACAGTCCGCAGGAAGGCAGATCTCCAGGACCAGCGTCAGTGACCACTGAGCTACAGCATATCGGGATACCAGAGAAACCCCACTCAGTTATCAGACACTAGAGGGCACTCACGAGAGTCTGCACTCGGCAATGGTAACCAGCATTCAATAGCAGCAATGATAACCAATCAGCGCTCAGTAATGGTAATGCTAACCAATCAGCACTCAGTAGCGGTAATGCTAACCAATCAGCGCTTAGTAGCAGTAATGCTAACCAATCAGCGCTCAGTAGCGGTAATGCTAACCAATCAGCTCTCAGTAGCAGTAATGCTAACCAATCAGCTTTCAGTAGCAGTAATGCTAACCAATCAGCGCTCAGTAGTGGTAATGCTAACCAATCAGCACTCAGTAGCGGTAATGCTAACCAATCAGCGCTCAGTAGCAGTAATGCTAACCAATCAGCGCTCAGTAGCGGTAATGCTAACCAATCAGCTCTCAGTAGCAGTAATGCTAACCAATCAGCTTTCAGTAGCAGTAATGCTAACCAATCAGCGCTCACTAGTGGTAATGCTAACCAATCAGCACTCAGTAGCAGTAATGCTAACCAATCAGCGCTCACTAGTGGTAATGCTAACCAATCAGCACTCAGTAGCAGTAATGCTAACCAATCAGCTTTCAGTAGCAGTAATGCTAACCAATCAGTGCTCAGTAGCAGTAATGCTAACCAATCATACATTATTTAATAGACTAAAGAGATGTGAATGTACGTTGCTGCTAGCTTGGCGCTTACATAACATGGCAAATCAGATTGGGGTGCTGGTAGAAACTGGTATCTTAGCAATGATAATCAAATAAACCAAACAATAATTTATATCAGGGTGTTAAAACAGCATTAGCATTATTGTGTTAGCATGTCTAAGGTCGGACCTGTGAGCCTCATTAGTCGATCTGAAGGCTTCAGCAGATCATGTGTTTTTGGGAAAGCTGCCAGGTTGTTGTGCCACTTGTGTGTTTACTGGGCTGCCTATATATTATCAAAGTGATACAAGAATTGAGCTGATAAATCACGAATTAAAGGATTTTATTTATACATGTAGTTCACTCACAGTCCTCGCTCAGGTGGCTCTGTGGAGGACTGTCTCTGTTCGGCTGGCTGGCTGTAGAGGAGACCACACGTCCGTCCTGGAGCTGCTCCAAACTGCAGTGGAGGTCTGCAGACAGAACTGAACACAGATCTCCTCCATTAGCCCACAACTGATTACAGCTACATCAGTAAATACATACACTGATCAGGCATAACATTCTGACCACCTCCTCGTTTCTGTGCTCCACTTTGTAGTTCTACAGTTACAGACTGTAGTCCATCTGTTTCTCTGATACTTTGTTACCCTGTTCTTCAGTGGTCAGGACCCCCATGGACCCTCACAGAGCAGGTACTATTTGGGTGGTGGATCATTCTCAGCACTGCAGTAACACTGACGTGGTGGTGGTGTGTTAGTGTGTGTTGTGCTGGTCTGAGTGGATCAGACACAGCAGTGCTGCTGGAGTTTTTAAACACCTCAGGGTCACTGCTGGACTGAGAATAGTCCACCAACCAAAAATATCCAGCCAACAGCGTCCTGTGGGCAGCGTCCTGTGGGCAGCGTCCTGTGACCACTGATGAAGAACTAGAGGATGACCAACACAAACTGTGCAGCAGCAGATGAGCTATCGTCTCTGACTTTACATCTACAAGGTGGACTGACAAGGTAGGAGTGTCTAATAGAGTGGACAGTGTGTGTGCTGTACTGCGTGCGCTGTACTGCGTGCGCTGTACTGCGTGTGCTGCAGTGCGTGTGCTGCAGTGTACCTGTTACAGGTTCAGTCAGGTCCTGAATGCTGATCTTCTCAGGTTTGGGTGAAGACTCCTGAGATGAAGTGATGACCTCCTGCAGTTTTGGGGGACTGGAGGAAAAGAACCAGCAGAAACTCATAACACGGATCATGTTTAAGAACTGAGAGCTGATGTAAGTGTGTATTGTGGCCCAACCAATACGTCAAAACACTGTCTGTCCAAATGTATCCAGACAGTCCTTCTAATTGGTGAATTCAGCTACTTCAAGGTGCCCCCAGTCCTGACAAAGAACCCACACAGCCTGTATAATCTCCCTAGAAAAGCAACACAAACTGTGGGGCAGCTGCACGAGGCTAATGCTGAGTTTACGTTCCTATTAAAGAACATATGTTCTTCTGTGTCTTATAGCGGAACACAACCAATGGCGGCATGGAGCCAGGAAAGGGGATGATTATCAGAGGGGAGCTTTCGCAGTACTGACTGTTTATTTCAAAGTTGGCAAAACTGAACTCTTGATGGAACGTTCCGTTAACCTTCGCTGCCGGATTTCAGAACAATGGAATACTCGTCACCTTTTGACCACACATCAGTGTTTTCGGTCACGGAAAACGGAGGTTCTTGAAAATGCTTTCCATGGTGGAGATCTTTAAGTAATAATGTGAAAAAAATATTTTTTTTATATTTGTATTCTATTTTCTTAAACATAGTGCCAAGATAATAAATCAGAGTATTCAGATCAGTTGATAAAACTGTAATATATCACCAACCTAAAGTAAAAAATATAAAGTTATGCTCAGCCAGCTATTCTTAGACTCAGATTGTAAAGGACTGAGATTGTGAGTTTATTTAAATTTTGGAAAAATGACAACTGAGAACTAATTTAGTCAGAAATACTAAAATTAACTAGAACCATTGGAGTTTATGTTTAATATAAAATGATCTATCGATATTATTCGTTATCGTAATTTTAACACCTTAAAATCGGTATCAGTCATTGTTTCCGTATCGATCCGGTCCTGGCGCGTACCTGCAGTGGTTGCGGGTCGTGCTCTTCATCTGGGGGCTGCTGGGCGGGGTGATGTTTGTGTATTCAGTAGAGGAGACGGCGGCGGCAGCAGGGATCGGAGAGACGTCCCTGTCTGGACTCAAACCTGTGAACGTTACTGCTGACCCGTCCACTCCAGGGGCATCCACGCTGACCTCTGCACATGGACACAAGAACATGACCAGCATAAGCTTATATTTTACAGATTACTCATTCTAAAGATTACACTTTTGATTAGGCAACATCGATACAAATATTAATTATTAATTTACTGAGCACAAAAACATGTTTTTAGGTTGTTCTGGCTTTTCTGCCTGCAGCTTAACCAACAAGCTGACTGGGTCATTTTACTGAAGGGTGGGTCAGACACTGTTGAGCCTTACGAACCCATTCATTCTTCAAAACGCTTAGAGGAGAACACTAACCGCTAATTCTGTTAACTCTGTCTATGTCAGCCAACACACATCCGCGCTACCTAGCATCATGCTAAGAGATCAGAGGAGAGGAAGGCCATCCTGCCCACCCAGAGAGAGAAAACAATCATAAACTCTTGGACGCCTGAAGAAACATGGATGGCTGTGTCAAAACAGGTGATCAATTTGCTAATCCTGACAAGGCAAGCGCTTAGACCAGAGGTCACTAATAGGCGGACCGCGGTCCGAGTCCGGACCCAGACGCTGTCCTATGCGGACCTGAACCTATAACTGATAAACTATTGAGAATTATTTAATTTTGATGGGGTGGTCCTGTTTTAATCAGCGTAACTTTTCTAGCCTTTATGGTAGCTTTAGCGGCCCGGGAGACTCACAGACCAATCGCACGTGTTGTAAATATCACACATGACGCTACTCAGCCAATCAGATCTGTGCATTACGATGAGCACTGGGACTCGAGTGAGTGACGCACACACAGGGGAGGGACGAGGCGAGACACAGCAGTCGGAGAAGAAAGTGAGTCAGAGGGAGGTTTTTTCACATGACGTGCTCTAAAAAGAGAAACTGACCATAAATGTTGTTGAAATATGACTAAACTGTACTTTATCTGATTTGACATTCAGTTGTTGACTGTATAAGATGTTGATATACCTACTAGGCTACTTCAGCAAACAGTATATGGCACTGAGTCATAATACAAGTTAGACATTATGATGTTCTGGACCTTTGCTTGAGGAAATCTTCTCTAACTGGACCTTACTGAATTTTAATTAAAGACCCCTGGCTTAGACAGTATCTTAAAAATGTTAATCAAATTAATTTTCAATTTTAACTCTGTTTTGAAGAGTCTTGCCAACTGAATACTATCTACATGAATACTAAGACTAGTGTTGGAAAGCAACAGCGACGTCCCTCAGCTCCAACTGTCTTCTGTGTTCTCCTCGCTCATTACATATCGTTGATGATGTAATCGCAGAAAAACATTTCACAGTCATAACATCAGCTAACACAGCATTAACGTTGGGCAAATTACTAATATCATGTTAGAAATAACAGCTAGCTGGCTAGCTAAGCTACCGGGTGCATTACTCTGACGTGGGAATGTGTTGCGGCAAAAAGTTGAGCTCCAGCTGAACTTTACGCAAAAGAATTCGGCCAACCTGACGTGTCTAACCAATCAGGAGACAAGTGGTGTTTCCGGTCTGCAGCTCAAGGTGTGAAACATTAGTTCTGCTTTTCAACAATAACGCGCAACCTAGAAGACCAGAGGCGAAAGCTGATATATCTAAACACGACTGTTTACCTCCAAAACTGAAAATCTGAGCGGGAAAACGATCGGTTGGATGGTAATAAACCGAAATGACAGATGTTGATTGCATGTGGTAAATCCTAATCTTTGAGTTTAACCTCATTAATGCTTTGGAAAATATTATTTTAACGACCCATACTACGTTAACTTTCTGATTATTAAAAAAAACAAACATTACTTACAGAAATACTGACTTAGCAAGACTACATTACAACTGGATTTCGCAGTGAACCCTCCATCGTAACACCCACATGCGGCCAACTGAAGGCGGAGGATGCATTTACGTCCACTGATGTGCCGGGGCAGCGTAAAGGCACCGTTAATTAGAGAACACAATCGGCACCTGAGCAGCAGTGGCCTGTTAGCTAACACTACTTAACGAAAACATGCTAGCGGTTTTGAGCCATTTGTCTAGTTCATAACAAATTCACTTAAAATGTAACGTTAAAATTCCGGCACCCTCGACTCTTTAACTCCTTGGAATCACCGGTGGTTCCAAAACGCACTTCGTCATATTCTTTACTTCATAACTTTCATATTTCATAAGCTACATTCTAAAGGTGGGGGTCGTATGAGAGCTGTAACTGTCTTCTTTCCAGTCAAATAGATGGGTGATGTCATTTTAAACCCTTATAATAAAAGAAGCTGAACTTTTTCCAACAAATCTGAGCTGTAAACTGGATCTCAGATGGCGTCTCTTCAGTGATCTGCTCTGTAAAAATTTTATTCTTTTATAAAAAAATACAAAGAGCATCTAAGATTTTTGGCTTTCAGCAGTAAATTGTAAGCATATAACATTATGATCTGATCATAAAACACATTTTCTGTTAATTTAAGGGGAACTAAAAAATAAATTACAGTCATTTCACGCAGTTACTGAATAATTTGCCTTATGATTTGGGCATATACATTCAGATGGAAAAACTGAAATATACCTAAGTGGTTAAAATGTCCCTGAGGCGTCTGGAGTGTAAACCTAACTCAAAAATACAATTCAGACATTTTTCAAAGCTGGTTAAAAAAACATTATTCATGTCTAATCAAACCATCATAAGAACATAAAAAGACTGTAAAGCACCAAAACTGCGGTTTGTTTTACAGTGTCATGTTGGTAAACATGCCGCAATTATGGTACTTCATTTCTTGTTTAAGTGGACATTGAATGTGTGCTCACCCTGGTCAGTGTGCGTTCTGGGTCGGGTTTTGGTGGAGACGGGGGTGGAGGACAGGCGTCTGGGTGTAGGAGAGTGGGCTCTAGGGGGCGCTTGGTTGCTGGACAGTGGAATGTCGATTATCTCTCGATGGCTGAGCTCTCTGCCCATGAAAACAGGGCCCAGAGCTGGCCCGTCCAGGTCAAAGGTTACTCTGTGCCGGGCTGCAGCTGTGGGCCGGACATATGCGGCGGTGGTTCGTTCAGGAGGAATGTGACTGACCGGTGCTCGCACTGCCCTCTGCTGGTAGCTCCTGTAAGCCTCCTCCAGCGTCTCGGCCTCCTTCTCCAGCTCACGGATACGGGCCAGGGCTTCAGCTACCAGCTCCGTGCCCAGCTCGGGAGAACCACTGCGGGGCCACGGCGGACGCTGGCGCCCCCTGGTGTTCAGCCCTGGGTCACACACAACCTCGTCATCATAACCCACAGTGGCCTTAAGTAGAGCGCCCTCCATGTAAAGGTCAGGGGGCACCACTTTATCAGGGTTCAAATCAAGAACGGAACGGTCTACCAGCGAAGGTTTTGGGTTCCGCAGAACCTCGTTCTCCAGAGCTGCGGTCCAATCACGGAACACCGCAGGAAAGAACACACAGAAGAGAGGAAAGGAAAGAGGGAAACGGAAGAATCAGTAACAAGAACAGGCAAAAAGACCAGCCACCAAAATAGAACAGGTATATTTGCAAGTGCTAGCTTGCAAACTGGTTTAGAAGATTCACACACTAAAACTACTACTACTATCTATTCATGGTGGAGGGATACATGCAGGGCGCTGTGAGACAAAATAGTCCCCAAAGAAAAATTATTTCAGATTTTTCACTATTTTCCATCATCAACGTTCCATATAAACTCAGAAGACTCGTGTTGGATAGTAAATAAAATGACTATATTTGCGTTGTAGTGATCACAACCACCACTGTAAAGAAAAGTACGTTTCTCTACGATTAACCCTTTCAAATCCAGCCACTCTGAATGACTTTGTTTACATCTCAACCACCGAATTATGCAGAAATGTAGGGAAAAAATGATGTAATTCCCCTTCAGAATAGTACATCAAGTATTACTTAAAAACATTCCTACAATCTTTCTTTCCTTAGAGAATCCTCTTAGAGTACGGTGCTTTGGGGGAACAGTGTACAGAGCAGATCTTGCTGCTTGGTAAAAGCTCAGTATTTCCCTGAATTCCCTGAGTATTTGGTAAATCCAGCCCAGGAGAGGAAACTGATTGGAGGAAAGAGACTCTACAGTAGAGCTTACAGCACCTTGCTGGGTGAGTCGAAGCTGCTGTTTGATCTCCTCGGCGTTAGCGGACATCCACTTGGTCCTCTCCTCACACTCCAGCAGCTGGGCCTTCAGCTGGGCGCAGTGTTCCACCTGCGTACATCCCAACACGTTAAAAAAACAGGAATGAGGACATTTAACATAATGAGGATATTATGATTACAGTACGGCACTGAAAACTAGGCAAGTTCATTTACAAAGCACATTTCACACCTGCGGTCGTTCAAAATGCTTTACAAATGAAAATGTATCATATTATACTAACATATAGTAACAGGGAATGGAAATTAAAACATGATTAAAACAATATATTTTAAAAGAGAAGAAATCTTTAAAATCATTAAATTAAATATAAAATAAAAAATTAAATTAAGATAATAGTAGAGATTAATATGTATAAAACAGTATATGTAAAACTGCAAGGCTGTTTGTTCATCACTCTCTTCAGAGCATCTCTTATTTACTGTCTTTCACAGAAACCGCTGTCAGTGATCAAAACTAGGCATCTGGGTGCAGCCAGAGAACTTGTGGAGAGGAGGATTTCCACTCTGTAATGTCTTCCGGGTTTCTCAAACGCTAGAGGGCGCTCCTGAGTGAGTCCAAAATGAATGGGTTGATATGGAGCATTTGAGCAAAATCATAGTTTATAAATACTTAAACATTTTTAATGTAAAAGAATTCAATCATTTCCTGAACACAGAACAGCATAAAACATTTTAACACCGCTGTTATATTTTTAAGAGCTTTTAAACTCAAGTTATAGGAGTTTAAAACGGCGCCTCATGTACATTCATGATGTCTGTGAGCGCGAACAGCCAATGAGCTGCTCCGCTCGCCAACCAATCAGCACTCACTAACAGTAATGTTAACCAACAGCCGATTTGGTCAGACTCTGAAGATGAGACGACACTAAATTCCCAAACTGTCATCACCACTGAGCAGCTTTTCAGTCGGCAGCTGAGACAGAAGAACAGCTGAACAACCTGGAATCAGCCAGAAATGAACCCAACACCATTCGCCAAACTAAATGGGCTGTAAGATGCTTTACAGACTGGCTGGAACAAAACAACATTAATACTGATCTGGCAAAAACTGACAAAACTGAGCTGAACTTGATATTGCGGCAGTTTTATGGCTCAGTCTGATTTGGTCAGACTCTGAAGATCAGACTACACGTTTGGCGAATGGTGTTGGGTTCATTTCTGGCTGATTCCAGGTTGTTCAGCTGTTCTTCTGTCACAGCTGCCGACTGAAAAGCTGCTCAGTGGTGATGACAGTTTGGGAATTTAGTGTAAGGAGCTGGAGAACGAACTGCTGGCTGAGCAGCGAGTGGGCGGAGCTCGTTACTCTGACGTAGCAACAAGCTGCTCGTTAAGGAACTATAATTTGGTGAAGGAACTGCGAACATTAAAACATATTAAACGCTGCGTTCACGGCCCAGTTTATTAATTTATTACTTCATTTATTTAACTGTTGTATTAAAGCAGTAGAACACTCGAGGAGTGTGTTATCGCCAATAACATCACGGCTGTGATGATCTACGGCGACCAAATCACAGCCGTGATGTTATTTCGCGATAACACACTCCCTCTCGGGTTCACAACACTACTTTGCCAACTTGGTGAACAAGCAAGCTAGCTTGCAAATTACGTCAAGTTAGGCTAACGTTATTAACGTTAAGTATTCTCCCGAGGTCAGCAGGTCTGAATTAATAACTCAATTCACATTTCAACTTTCCACATCCAGTCCAGCCCATTTACCAATGCAAAGGAGTTCAAAGCACCGTCCACCCCATGTGGAACCAGCCAGACGGAGTGAGGAGGCGAACGAGAGCGATAAAAAAAACATTTCGTGCTGCTGTCGATTTGCAGTCTCTTGAAATGACTGACATTGCATGCCCAGGGAACAAACCCTGCGCTATGATTGGTCGAACTCTTCTTGTTCTTTGGTTCTTCTGAAGGCTGGATGCTGCTTGATTATCACAGCATCACCAGCTTTTTGTGTAGTTTAGAGTGACGAATCTTATCAGCGTACTCTGACATCTAAACGTCACCTTGCCATGCAAGTTGCATAAAGGCTGGCAGGTCTGCTGCTGTGCGCTGAAGGTGCTGATAGCATCTGGTAAAAGTTACAGCTCATGTTGTAACTCAGTGAATGTGTTTGTGTTATTTGGGGGCTGCAGGACTGTCAGTTGCACTTCGCCTCACCTCCTGCGTAAGCTGGGTGTGGAACATTTCTTTCTGGTTTTGGAACTCTTCCTGGTCGAGCTTGCGGGCCGTCTCCAGCCTCCTGACCTCCGCCTGCAGGGACAGCTGCTCCTGAGAGGGTCCACTCAGCTCTGAAGGAGGAGAACATCACAAACCTGGGCTGTTTATTTATCTCACAATAGCTGAGTGTTTAACGGTGTTCCCAACGGTACCAATCTTAGGGTTCTGGGCTGTGGAGAAAGACGTACACTGTCTAATGATCAATCAGAGGATGCAGCAAAAGTGTAAATCATGCTGTCTTACATGCTGTAATGATTAGAGGAGTTGTTGGTTAAAGCAATTCTTTGGCCAAACATCAAATTTCCCCAGTTTCCACCCTAAATGTACTCGGTCAGCCAACACAAACGAGTCTAAAGTTTGCTTCTTTAGTTTTACCACTGGAGCTACAATGTTTACATCATATAACAAATAATGGAAGCTTATGCAAACCTATTGGCATGACTGCAAACAGCAGGGGTTTTTGCTGAAGGATGGTTCTGTCTCAATGAAGTATTTGATGTATTTGTCTCTTGTAAATGTAACTCAAATAAGATCCGTTTGATTGATTTTCATGGAGAACCACAATGCACTAAGGAAGAAAGGGAGATTCTTTGCTGGAAAGACTGCTAAAGGAGTCGATGTTTATTATTTATTCATACAGCACTTTTTACAACAGGCGTTATCGCAAAGCAGCTTTACTAAAAAATCCATGTCCGAGCCCCCATGAGCGTCACCAATGGCGACAGAGGCCAGGAAAAACTCCCTAAGAGCAAGAAGAAGAAACGCTGAGAGGAACCAAGACTCTACAGGGGAACCCATCCTCCTCTGGTCGACACCGGAAAACAAAACAGTAACACAAGAGCAAAATGAATAAGGTTTTAACGTTACTATAAAATATTAAAATACAGAAGAGGAGAGTCAGATGAGGCAATGGCTCTGACTGAATAGTTTGAGGACACTCAATTAGGGCAAAAATCTCTATTTCTAAAATGCTCCGTGGACTTAATGGTGTTTATGTATGAGCGTTTGCCCACAGATGAAAAGAAGCCATGACTAATATTGAAATTAGTCCTAAATAGGCTCAGAATCTCCTCTTGCCATAAACCGAGTGCAAACCTTATGTAGTGCACAGTAAACTCTAAACCAACAGAGTTACTATGGAAAAGGGAGTTTTTGGGAGTGAAAATTTGAAGCTCTCTATATTTGGGAGCAAACAGTAAACACACATATCCAGACTTTGCCAGTGTACACTCTGCATGGTGTCACTGGAGGCAGGACAGTACAGGGTTCTAGACTAAAGGCTCCTCCTGGCTGTCACTGAGCAGAATGCAGCAGATGGAAGAGTCTGACTGATATAAAAATTTGCAACCAATACTGATTTCTTTTTTTAAGAGAATGTCCACCTTAACCCCAAAAGATGGACAGTAGGAAGTGACTGATACAAAAACTGTCATCAATACCAAATGAGTTAAAAATCCAATAACTGATAATATCAGCTGAAAAAGCCTTCGGCTGGTGATGCGCCCAAATCACAGCCGTGATGTTATTGGCGATAACACACTCCTCGAGTGTTCTATTGCTTTAATACAACAGTTAAATAAATAAAGTAATAAATTAATAAACTGGGCCGTGAACGCGGCGTTTAATATGTTTTAATGTTCGCAGTTCCTTCACCAAATTATAGTTCCTTAACGAGCAGCTTGTTGCTGCGTCAGAGTAACGAGCTCCGCCCACTCGCTGCTCAGCCGGCAGTTCGTTCTCCAGCTTCTTACACTAAATTCCCAAACTGTCATCACCACTGAGCAGCTTTTCAGTCGGCAGCTGTGACAGAAGAACAGCTGAACAACCTGAAATCAGCCAGAAATGAACCCAACACCATTTGCCAAACTAAATGGGCTGTAAGATGCTTTACAGACCGGCTGGAACAAAACAACATTAATACTGATCTGGCAAAAACTGACAAAACTGAGCTGAACCTGATATTGCGGCAGTTTTATGGCTCAGTCTGATTTGGTCAGACTCTGAAGATCAGACTACACGTTTGGCGAATGGTGTTGGGTTCATTTCTGGCTGATTCCAGGTTGTTCAGCTGTTCTTCTGTCTCAGCTGCCGACTGAAAAGCTGCTCAGTGGTGATGACAGTTTGGGAATTTAGTGTCGTCTCATCTTCAGAGTCTGACCAAATCGGCTGTCGGTTAAATGTGATCTTAAAAGTGTCCATTTTCTGTTTGTGGCAAAGTAAGAAGTAAAAACTTTCAAATGGCTTGAGCGTCTCCTACAGCTGTCAAAGTTGTTGCTTAGCAACGGCGTCTCAGCAGAGTGAAAAAAACGTGACGTCATGATGAAATAACCGCACAGTTAGAGCACTTCTCAACTAATCATTCTCAAGCCCGAACTAACTGTTATATAATTGGCAACAACAACGAGCTGCTCGCAGATAAATATTTGCTGTAATTATCTATTTATAGGAAATTTTGGTCAAATTATCTGCCTTTTGAGATACATTCAATGGCAAAAATCATTCTGGAAGTTAACTGTGTTTTAATTTGAAGTAGTTAGTCTGAATCATCTACAGCGCTGTATTTATCTTTTTATTTTATATTTTATATATTTATATTTATCTGCCACCATGCTGCTTTTATATTATTGAAAATGGTCATTCTAAAATTTTGAATGGTGAAAAATGAAAAGGAATCCAGTTATTTAAGCGAAATGTGCTTTACTGACTGATACGATTGTGGGTTGTCACATTTCTTAAACTCAAACAGCAGAAAGTCTTAAATAATATAAATATTGCAGAAAGGGGGCAGCGTGCCAGCAATCTTAGCAACTTTGTTTGTTTTTGTTAATTGACTCATATTTTACTTTTTTTTTTTATCAGTTTTCCCCACATACTGATCTTTTTTGTCCGGATATAAATTATTCTCATGCTAAAAGTAACGTTTGGGGGCATTTTAGATGTTTTTTCTGTAACTACGATGGTGTTTTGTGTTTCCGCTTACTAGCTCAGCCTGTACTGCTGTGATAGCAGTGAGCAGGTGGTGACTGTAAGCTATAAAAGACTCACATTCAAGCATGAAACCATTAACATTTTCACATTTGTCCATTTATTACATTATAAAACGGGTCACTTAATATCACTGATCCATCAGCGATATCAATAACTCTGCAGAGCCTCAGCATTGGCTGACCGCAGTGACCGTGTGAAGCAACAGTGTGCTGTTGTCCCGGGAGAGTTAGCATGGGTGTTTGGGACGGAGCCGCCACTCTGTCCCGCTGCCTGACCCTTTTCAGCTCTTTCCCAGCAATCACACCATCTCAGCCAAGAGAGTCAAATTGACAAGCAGAGCACATCCCGCGAGGCCTCCTCCAGCTCGTCCCCGTTTACCCTTCGCAAAAACACCCAACACCTCCGGACCACAAGCTACCACTGAGGAAAAACGCCCCGTGTGCGTTTCAGCAGATTCAGTCTGGCCTCTTTTCCCTTAAAATAGATCCACAAACAAAGCGGTTCTCAAAACTGCCTGAACTTGCTGGACTTTTCTGCAGTTAAATGGACAAACTAGGCTGTTTACTACACTATCAATGTTTGACTTTGAGCTCCAGTGTGAAATTCTTTCTTTCACTAAACTTTATTTATTTATTTACTGCTTTAATACGTATCTCTTATGTGAGTATGACCACTGACCATCACTACTACCGTCATTAATATTACTACTTTGGCATCTAATAGTAATTATTAACTCTATACTATATCTATTGTGAAGAACCCTATGGGCATATTTTTTGATCAAGGTTTTTTATCAAAGATTTCACAATATACACAAGACAAACAGTCCCATACATCCAAACCTACCCATCCCACCCTCCCTCCAGACCTACATCAATAAGACAAAGCTGTATAAATTCCAACACTATATAAAAACTGAGATATTGTAACCTGTACTATATAAAAACTGCAGTTTTGGAGCCACATTTTCAGGTCCATTTTATCCACATATGTCAGGAAGGGCTGCCAAATCCTATAAAATCTCTGTACAGATCCTTGAAGAGAGCATCTCATCTTCTCCAGCTTGAGATATTGCATAACCTCTTTGATACACTGAGGATAATTAGGGGGAAAGCAGTGTTAATCGCCTGGCCAGCAAAGTGCAAAAGGCCAATATGTTGCATTCATAATTATTTAATTGGGTATCTGGCGGTGCAACACCGAATAATGCAACATAAGGAGAGTAGCTCATTGGTTCTTCCAGAATTTTAGAGAGTATAAAAGATGGATTTCCAAATGAGATGATGTAATCTTGGGCCTGTCCAAAACATATGTAGTAAACTTGCAGTGTCTCGCATGTAGAGTCCAAATTAGGTCTAATTCTGGACAGTCTAGCTTTCACACCAATGAAGTCGATGTACTACCTTTGAATTGCATAACAAAATATATCTTGGGCTTTTTGAACATAGTTCTTATGTTCTATGTGTTTACTTGTTAATAAAATATTGATCACAAAAAAATCACTAAATGTTAAATTCAGTTAGCAAATTAGTAAATTTGAGTTAGTAATTATTTCATTTAATAGCAACTCATAGTATTTGATCTTGTTATTAAGGAAACAGCCATGCTGGTAGGTGAGGTGTGACTCTGACTGAGCTCTGATGGAGCTCGTCTCATCACCGTTACTGCAGATACAGCCCTGCAGGAGGATAAACACCAACAACACTGACCAGAATGACCACGAAAACACATGAACAGATATGTGGACGCTTTAGATGCGCCTCCAGAAACACTACGAGGAGAAGATCAGCTAAACTAGTGGACTGGATTGGTATAACCTGCATTTCTCCAGAGTTCAGAACATTCCGATCAGGATTCTGAGGAAGATTTAACAAAAACTAATAAAAATGGCTACAAAAGCTGCCAAAGCTCTTTAATAATAATAAACACAATTGAGGTGGAGTTGGCTTCTTATTTGCCAGTGTCTTATTCTAAATTTCTGTTCCACCTTAAATGTTGCAGCACTTACATTTAGGAGCCTTATACGTAGAATGAATTTCAGAAAACAACCTGGCGAATAAGAAGTCAACAACAATCACGCAACAAAAAAATCACACCAATAAATGCATCTTTGATCAGGAAATACCTTAAAATTCCACATGGAAATGTTTTATGAGCAGCTCTGATCAGGTACTGGAGCTGCTGAACGCGTCTCAGAGGCTGATCTAATGCCGCGTCCCAAACCACACACTTCTGTACTTCACCTACTACACTAATGAGTGCACTTCTAATGGTACTGCCTCATTTTTACATACTATCTGTGCTAGGAGATCAAGCACAACCGCAATGGCTACTTGAATTCTCAAAGGCTTAACATACACAGAACAGCAGTGACAGCTGGAAGAACTGCAGTAAGACGATGAATTATTTTATAGTGTGAACAATATGTCGTGTTAAAATACGAGCTGCTAATGTGGCTAGTAACTTAGTGGAGTAACTGAACATGCTGCATGCAAATTTGATTGTTTTTGAATTGATTCGTGTTACTGTTGTTGCACAGAAATTGCACTATATGGTCAAAAGTATGTGGACACCTATATGAGCCAGTTGGACATCCCATTCCAAAACCACGGGCATTAATATGGAGTTGCACCGCTTTGTGGCTGTAACAGCCTCCACTCTTCTGGGAAGCTTTCCACAAGATTTTGGAGTGTCTGTGGGAATTTTTGCCCATTCAGTCAAAAGAGCGTTTGTGAGGCTCTTCCCCAAACTGCTGACACAAAGCTGGAAGCAGATGACCGTGTAAAATGTCTTTGTGCTGCAGCATCAACATCACCCTTCACTGGAACTGAGGAGCCCAAACCCTGATAAACAGCCCAGCCCATCATCCCTCCTCCACCAAACTGTACTGTTGGCTCTGCGTTCCGGTAGGTAACGTTCTCCTGACCTCCACCAAACCCAGATTCATCATCAGACTGACAGATAGAGAAGCTGATTCATCACTCCAGAGAACACGTTTTACACTGATCCAGAGTCCAGTGGCGGCGCTTTACACCACTCCAGCCGACACTTGGCATTGCGCATAGTGACCTTAGGCCTGTGTGCAGCTGCTCAGCCCTGCAAACCCATTTCATGAAGCTCTCAATGCACAGTTCTTGTGCTGATGTCGCTTCCAGAGGCAGTCTGGAGCTCTGTAGTGAGCGACGCAACACAGGATAGACAACTTTTACACGCTAAGTGATTTAGCACTGTGAGTCTGGTTGGTCTAACAGTTGAGCTACTGCTTCTCCTACACTGTTAGAAATAAAGGTTCAGTTCAGGTACATTTTTCATCCATCAAGGTACAAACAGTGTAAATGTTCCCTCAAAGCTCCAACAGTGGTTTTAAGGTCTGATTGTGAACCTTAAATAAGTTTTTCCAGGTGAAAAGTTCGTATTTGTACCTTTTCATAACCGAATGTTTTAAACAGAACAGTAAAATAAAAGCCTGGAGACGAGACGGGGTGTGTGGAGTCAGTACAGCTTAGAACATATCATTCAGTGGATTATGGTTCAGTTATGTTCCCTGACTAAAGGTACTGAGATGGAGCCTTGAGGGTCCCACCCCAGGGACAAGAGGGGAACTGACCCAGTGACAGTTTCATACCTATATTTCTGAGAGTATAGACGCTTGTATTTCAGAATAGTAGCACTTACAGTTGGCCGGGGCAGACCTAGCAGGGCAGAAATTTCACAAACTGACAAAGGCAGCATCCTATAATAGTGCCATGTTTATAGTCACTGAGCCCTTCAGTACGACCCATTCTACTGCCAGCGTTTGTGTATGGAGATTACAAGGCTATTTACTTAATTTATACACCTGTTTTATTACACCGAGACTGTCAATCAATCTACATAAACAGACAAATGATAATCGTCTGTTACCTCAGTTAAATGTTATTAGCTACTCCTCCTCTGTGCTACAGCTGAGCTCTGTACTATCTGCTGCGCGGTGTGGAGCGTCTCGTCTGGTGTGCGGTGGCCTTTAGACGGCTGCAGTAGTCTTTCTGTTTCCTTCACTGGACTCAACAGATTAAAAAACGTCTGAACAAAACATAGACGCAGCTCTGCACTGCCCTCTGGTGGAGTACAGAGTTCAGACAGCTGAGGGTGCTTCAAAATGAGAACATAAGATGTTAGAGATAAACTAATTTGCTGACCAAAAACCCTAAATTTTTTCACACTTTTCGACTTTTCGAAAATTCTGTCTCATCACTACATACTAACACGCACTTGATGACATTGCTGTAAAGGCCAAAAATGCTCAAACTACATATCATGTAGGTTTCCTGACCTTTGCGGAGTCTCTGGTTCTCCTGCTGTTTCTTCTCCAGCTGTTCCTTCAGCAGATGAACCTCAGCCTGTAGCTCCAGCCGCTCGCTTCGCAGAGCCGTGTAATCGCTCATGGCCTCCAGGCGCTCCCGCAGCAAGGCGTTCTGCCGGGTTAGAGCGCCACCCTGCTCCCGCAATGAGTCCAACTCCACCTGCAACATGTTATCCAGACTACCCTCGCAAACAGGAATACTTCTAGGATTGTTTTTATCCTTAAGATACCCAAGATTTAAAAGATGGTTTAAAAGAAGACTTAAGCAAAAAAATGATTTCTACTCGGTCACATGACACCCATAATGGCTATAGATACCCAGAATGATGTGATATTTGTCATATTCTTTAACTGCTAGCATTATGCTAATAGCACTAGCATTAGTTTTCAAGGTAGCTGATGTGACACTGGTAAACAAACATGGCTTACTTAAGCAATAGAACCTGAGAGGGAGTGTGTTATCGCCAAATAACATCACGGCTGTGATTTGGTCGCCGTAGATCATCACAGCCGTGATGTTATTGGCGATAACACACTCCTCGAGTGTTCTATTGCTTTAATACAACAGTTAAATAAATAAAGTAATAAATTAATAAACTGCCCTGCGATGGACTGGCGACCTGTCCAGGGTGTATCCTGCCTTCCGCCCAATGACAGCTGGGATAGGCTCCAGCACCCCACCGCGACCCAGAAGGATAAGCGGTTTAGATGATGTATGTATGTATGTAATTAATAAACTGGGCCGTGAACGCGGCGTTTAATATGTTTTAATGTTCGCAGTTCCTTCACCAAATTATAGTTCCTTAACGAGCAGCTTGTTGCTACGTCAGAGTAACGAGCTCCGCCCACTCGCTGCACAGCCGGCAGTTCGTTCTCCAGCTCCTTACACTAAACTCCCAAACTGTCATCACCACTGAGCAGCTTTTCTGTTTCTTATTGCGTCAGTTTTATGGCTCAGTCTGATTTGGTCAGACTCTGAAGATCAGACTACACGTTTGGCGAATGGTATTGGGTTCATTTCTGGCTGATTCCAGGTTGTTTAGTTGTTCTTCTGTCACAGCTGCCGACTGAAAAGCTGCTCAGTGGTGATGACAGTTTGAGAATTTAGTGTCGTCTCATCTTCAGAGTCTGACTAAATCGGCTGTCGGTCAAATGTGATCTTAAAAGTGTCCATTTTCTGTTTGTGGCAAAGTAGGAAGTAAAAACGTTCAAACGGCTTGAGCGTCTCCTACAGCTGTCAAAGTCGTTGCTTAGCAACGGCGTCTTAGCAGAGTGATACAGTGTTTGTGAAAAACCCATGATGTTATGGTGAAATAACAGCACAGTTAGAACGCTTCTCAACCAATCAGCTTGCATGGCTGGACCTAACTGTTGTATAAATAGTGATGATTCTAAAAACTGATCGATACGATGTCATAACGTTATTCCAGTTTATATTGTGGTGCACTTATTGGTCACGTGCTAGTGCTTGGTGACTGTATCCTCACTTGGAACAGTTAAAATAACTAAATAAGGCTGATTATAAGCAAGATAAAGGAAAAATTCCAGAGCTCAAATACAAATGTTCACTGTGTATTCTGTGATTATTAAGTCATTCTTATCGTAAGATGATGCAGATCTGCTTTCTTCTGTTATTTGTTAGCCTTATATTGGTAGTGTTGGGAGGGTTGGAGAGCAGCACTTAATGGTGTATCGTGCCACCTGCTGCTTGTCACATTTGCACTTGTTAGTTTCAACCATGGATTTCAAAACCAGTAGCTGCCTGAATTTTGTCCATACTTCAGTCCATTTTGTGTAAGGAGTGCATCAGTGTTTGTTTTTCTGTGATTCGTGTGTGTGATAGGAAACACACCTGCATTCGCCTTAGTTCAGTTACGGTTCGTTCATGCTCTTCCGCCTTCACGTCGAGGATGGCGGCTTCTTTCTGGAGCCTCGCTGTCTCCTCTGAGATCAAGAGAGAGAGAGCACAAGAGAGTCAGACCTTCAGACGCCTCATAGGAATTTGATAGGAATTGGTAGGAACCAGTGATTGACTGCTGTATGAAGAATGACCAACATATATCACATCTATGGTCATGACTTTTTCTGTTTTTCAGGTTATGGTGGTAGATGGACGATGGCAAACCAGAAATTCCGTGTTTTTTACAAATTTCAGACACCAGCAGTGGCGATGGCAGCGGTTAATGGAGTGTTCCAGTAAGAGCTGAGAATTTTCTCAACTTTTCAGTCGGTCGCGGTCGGGGAACATGACGGCCAGGCATAACTGTTAGGCCCAATCCCATTTCTTCTTTTTACCCCTACCCCTTGTTTTCGAGTGTCACCCTAACCCCTTGGAACTGAGTTACAGGGTAGTGGTTGAAATCTTCCTCTGAAATGGGACCCTCAAATAAAAAGAGCATCACTTCATTAACAGCTACCAGCGCTGCTCTGTAGGCGACCCTGCCAGTCTGCAGTGACAGCAGAGGAGGGTAAAGTTCAGCTCCTCACTGCTGGGCTTTAGTTACATTTAGGGCATCATATGCCTTCAAAGAGGGGGGCAATTATTTATTATCACCCACCCCTAATTCTTCAGTGATATGAAGCTGAAGTCAGATATTCTCCAGATTCTCGTTCGAATTTTCCCGTTCCACCTTAAATGGTGCAGCAGTTACATTCTGGCGCTTCAGGAGTCAGAACTGCTGGACTATTTAAGGTGGAACGGGAAAGTTAGTAGCTAGCTACCGAGATATTAGCATGCTATTAGTGATTTTTTATGCTTGTTATGAAGAAAACGACCAAAATACACTGAAACGACATTAAACTAAGACAATACAGTGGTTATTGTAATTTTTAACAGAGAAAATTCTCACATTTGTGGGTTTCTTTGGTCTCTTGTTCTCCATCTTGCCGGTTTTTCTTTTTTTCTCGTATCACTCTGTTTCGAGTCTCTGAAAACCCTCCGTTGGGAGGGTCATGTAGCTCTAATACTTCACCCTCCCCCTCTATCTCAACAAAGATTGGGACACCCTACCCCTAGACGTGAACACGCAAAACACAGGGCTAAGTGGTAGGGGCGAGGGGTGAAATGGGCCTTAATGTACAAAAAAATGTACAAATTTAGATATTTGATTATTCGTGTGAATTAATCGACTAATACTCGATTCATCGGCTTAAATGTGGCCTGCAAATGTGACAGACTAGCTAATGTATGTAATGCTGTGACAGGGTGAGCTGTCAACAGCTTCTTGAAGTTGCTGCACAGCATAAAACATTCCAGTGACTAACGTTGGTATATTAACGAAACACAAAGAGCTTTAGTGACGTTTGGAGAAAGTCACCTCATTCTGACTTACAGTGTGAACTAAACATCCACAGGCAGCAGTTTGGAGTGTCAGAACACCAGCTTGGAGGCAAAGCTACCGTTTACTGATCGTTCTGCTGCGTTGTGCTTCCAGATGTGCATATGCTGTATATGACTACTTTATCTTATATTGTAATAAAATGCTCCCAGACTTCAGTTCTTTTTTAACTTTCAGCCATAATAGTTCTGTTTCTTTTGCTTTCTGCTCACAGAGCTACAACACTACACGTTAATTGAGGCCTTCTTTAAATTAAATCACTGTAGGTTGGACGTCACATTGACAATATAAATGAAAAACTGATAACGTATATCTGTCAACGATTTCTTAGTGTCGACATTATTGATAATGTTGAATAATTTTTTTAGCCCTTGTTCAAAACACTTTTTAGGATAAAATTGTGGCTTACATCATCGTCCGGCACGCGGGCATGAATGCCACTCGATCGAATGTCGATCAAATGGTAAAGAACCCACACACCTTTATTTCTCCTCTCGTTCTCGGTCAGTTGTTCCGTCCTCGTGGCGTAGTCCTCCTTCAGCTCCAGCTGCTGTCTGGAGAAAGAAAACATTCATTTGAGCAGGGATGCTCTATAATATGGGTGCTGTATCAACCACAATTACAGTATGACCAGGACTGATGTTCCTCATGAGCAGACAAGCTTGTGAAAACTGATATATTGAAAATATACAAGTTTACACCGGTCAGGCATAACATTCTGACCACCTCCTTGTTTCTACGCTCATTGTCCATTTTATCAGCTCCACTTACTATATAGGTGCACTTTGTAGTTCTACAGTTACAGACTGTAGTCCATCTGTTTCTCTGATACTTTGTTAGCCCCCTTTTACCCTGTTCTTCAGTGGTCAGGACCCCCATGGACCCTCACAGAGCAGGTACTATTTGGGTGGTGGATCATTCTCAGCACTGCAGTAACACTGACGTGGTGGTGGTGTGTTAGTGTGTGTTGCGCTGGTCTGAGTGGATCAGACACAGCAGTGCTGCTGGAGTTTTTAAAACACCTCAGTGTCACTGCTGGACTGAGAATAGTCCACCAACCAAAAATATCCAGCCAACAGCGTCCTGTGACCACTGATGAAGGACTAGAGGATGACCAACACAAACTGTGCAGTAGCAGATGAGCTATCGTCTCTGACTTTACATCTACAAGGTGGACTGACAAGGTAGGAGTGTCTAATAGAGTGGACAGTGAGTGGACACAGTGTTTAAACACTCCAGCAGCACTGCTGTGTCTGATCCACTCAGACCAGCGCAACACACACTAACACACCACCACCACGTCAGTGTTACTGCAGTGCTGAGAATGATCCACCACCCAATAGTACCTGCTCTGTGAGGGTCCATGGGGGTCCTGATCACTGAAGAACAGGGTAAAAGGGGGCTAACAAAGTATCAGAGAAACAGATGGACTACAGTCTGTAACTGTAGAACTACAAAGTGCACCTATATAGTAAGTGGAGCTGATAAAGTGGACAATGAGCGTAGAAACAAGGAGGTGGTCAGAATGTTATGCCTGACCGGTGCATACACTCATTGGTTGGAACATGCAGCCACTGTTGCTCTCACTGGATGTCGGTGATCCAGAAACTGTGTTCACTCTGTGGAAACTGTGGAGTTGAGTTCAGATTCTACATTCAATATAATGTTACTGTATTTGTTACATTAAACATAATAAACACATTCTGATTAAGCCTATTTTGTCCATTCAGACAGCTGTAACAAAATACACTGCAGTTTAAGTCTGTTATGTTACGTATTCCTTTGAGCAGCCAGTACATCTTAAGTGGCTGACCCAGACTGTGTTGTGGGTCAAAGGTCACTGCCGAGCGTCAGTTTGGCTGACCCTCCACTACCTCACCCTAATGCCCACCGACAGCAGGATACACAAGGCGGCTTTAGCCGCTATAAATACACACATATGCTCAGGCTGAGGTGGGAGGATTATGGGATATCTACACTGATTTAATTCAAAGGAAATAAAACAAGTAAAGTCAGTCTTCTATTCTAACGCAGCTCCAACATCACCTGTCCTGCTTCCTTTATACCGGTAAACATTATTGATTACTCTGGAGTGAGTTACTGGCTTTATTTATTTATGATCTATTGTTGGAGCTGATGAATACTCAGCTACGCTGAATCATTACTTTGACATAAATCATTTTAGGCGCATTAGAAACAGTGTGAAACCGTTTTTTTACCTTTTTTTGTGTATTATTTATCAGAAAGGCTTCAGCCTAAATACAGCACTGCTATATCATCATAATAAGTGTAGCAAAGCTTCACTGAGAGGTGCAAATGAAATCATAACTAGAGCTCCCTCTGCTGGACACACGAGGAACAGTCACAACTGAGGTGAGGAAAGAGTTGCGCAGTTCACTACTGTTTCTATAGTGCAGTTTGGCAAACAATCAAATTCCCTAATTTTTCAATACTTTCAATTTTAGTAAAAATAAGCTAGCACAGTATTTTACCTACATTCTTAAAAATAATGGTGCCAAAAACATCTGCTTCCCAAAAGAACTTTCCGATGGGTGGTTCTTTAAAGAGGAATTCCACTGATTTTTTTTTATTTCTGCATGATTAAACGGTTATGATGTAAACAGGGTCATTCAGAGTGGTTTGGTGTGAAACGCTGCGTTCTAGAGAAACTCATCAATGAGAACTGTTCACAGTGGTGGTGATAGGAACCAGACGTCCACCTCTAAAAGCTTCTTCACAGAAAGTTACTACATGAAATGGTTATGAATTCACTGCCTGATGACTGAGACACTGTTTTATGATAGTTTTGGCCTTACACATCATGCACAGTGAAGGGAAAAAAAGGTATTTTTTTAGATTGATTACTATTTTCACCATCATTCATATTATATATAGAAACTCAAAAGACATGCATAGGTTCACTGGTGGTTCTGGATAGTAAATAAAATGTCTATATTAGTGTTGTAGTCATGGCGACCCCTGGTTCCCATCACCACCACTGTAAAGATATCTAGATTATTACTATTACTAACATGTACTACTACTTATTAATACAATTCATGTATTGGGTTTAAATAGATCATAACAATCACTGTAAATATCTAAAGTTTGAATTCTTTTTTTAAATATCTTTTTTTACTGTAGCATTGCAGTTTGAGTATTCAGTAGAATGGCCTATAACTGTACCTGGGAAGTTTCCTAATAGTGCAGTAGGGAAAAAACTGCTCCAGCTTACTATTCAACCAAAATATATACAACTTTGAGCTCAAAATAGGAAAAAAGTGTTTCTTTTGCACTGAACATAAAAGCTTACACAGAGTAAAATGTTTCATTTCTGTTTTCTGATGGCTGATTTCACATTAAAATGTATGTTTTGATTCTCCCAGTCACGAAAACATGAGACAGATGAATAATGACCAGAATAAAAAACTGATGACAGGTTGACTGAGCTGTGTTTAGATCTGAATAACTGTAGCTACTCTAATTATCTTATGATATTTGTTGTGCTTGGCTACTTTCAAACCTTTCAAACCTAAAAACCTGCTAGCTGGATGAAGCAGACAGAACCCAGAAGGCCTCACTTCTTGAGCTCGTTGTTGAGCTTCTGTTCGTATGTGTCCTCCATGGTCTTCACGGTCAGCTCCCTCCGCCTCAGCAGCTCCTCCACGCTCTTCACCTTCTCCTCATGAAGCTTACAGGTCCTACAGACACCAGAGATGCGTGACACATCGGTTACGAAACGCTTATCAACGAGGGCAGAAAAGGCGACCTCGTCACACTTCATTCAGTACGAAGTTAGCAGCTGTTCTTCGCCAGCCGTGTCTATTTATCTACTCACTTCTCGAAGGCCTCCATCCTGTGCCTCAGTTCAGTCTCTCTGTTGCGCACTGACTCGATCTCCTTTAGTAAAGCCTGTCGCTGGCTGTAGATTTCCTTTTCCTCAATCTAAACAGGACAGATGCTGTCAGTTTTCTAGATCGCATCTACACTCAAAGTCAAAGGATGGGTTTCTCAGAAACACAGTAAGCCTAAATGGAGACTAAACCATTGTACCTTCTGTCAAGGACTACACTAAGGTCCAGTCCCATTTCTTCTTTTCACCCTACCCCTTGAGTGTCACTCTAACCCCTTGGAACTGAGTTACAGGGTAGTGGTTGAAATCTTCCTCTGAAATGGGACCCTCAAATAAAAAGAGCATCACTTCATTAACAGCTACCAGCGCTGCTCTGTAGGAGACCCTGCCAGTCTGCAGTGACAGCAGAGGAGGGTAAAGTTCAGCTCCTCACTGCTGGGCTTTAGTTACATTTAGGGGGGCAATTATTTATTATTGCCCACCGCTAATTCTTCAGTGATATGAAGCTGAAGTCAGATATTCTCCAGCTTCTTGTTTGAATTTTCCCGTTCCACCTTAAATGGTGCAGCGGCAAACGGCCTGCTGGTTAAGGTGCAAGTGGGAAAAGCTCCCCATCGTTATGGAGATAAGCGGAGTGACCAGAACAAGTTGAATAATTGCGTTTTTTCACTGTTTTTTGAGCCAAATGCTACAAGTTCCTTATGCCATTTTTTGTTAGGTTATTAGTGATTTTAAATCTGTTTTTGAAATGTTAATGAGGCTTATTGTTAATGAGTTCTATAAAGATTTCTGATATAAGTTATATTTTGTTTACTTTTTTTAGTACCAAAATACAGTATGATGCTATAAAATACCATTTTAAAAACTCAGTCTGAAACCGGCTGACAGGAAGTGTAGGGGGCGATATGGCTTCTACTGTTTCATTTAAAAAGCTCTATAATGTTCATATGATCCACACAGTCACTCTGACAGACTGTAATACACTACAGGAAGTGTAGGGGGCGATATGGCTTCTACTGTTTCATTTAAAAAGCCTCTATAATGTTCATATGATCCACACAGTCACTCTGACAGACTGTAATACACTACAGGAAGTGTAGGGGGCGATATGGCTTCTACTGTTTCATTTAAAAAGCCTCTATAATGTTCATATGATCCACACAGTCACTCTGACAGACTGTAATACACTACAGGAAGTGTAGGGGGCGATATGGCTTCTACTGTTTCATTTAAAAAGCCTCTATAATGTTCATATGATCCACACAGTCACTCTGACAGACTGTAATACACTACAGGAAGTGTAGGGGGCGATATGGCTTCTACTGTTTCATTTAAAAAGCTCTGTAATGTTCATATGATCCACACAGTCACTCTGACAGACTGTAATACACTACAGGAAGTGTAGGGGGTGATCAAGTGCATTAACATGACCTCCTGCTGTTTCTGTAGTCGCTCAATGGCGTTTTTCTCGCGGCTCATCAGAGCTTCAGCCTTCAGCTCGTAGGTTTTCTCCAGACGGTGTCGGAGCTCCTGGATTTCTCTGCGATTCTTCTCCTGCTCCTCCATTCGGACCCGGGACACCTCAACCTCCTGAAAATGCTGCAACTGGACAGAAATAACAGAGTCTGGCTTTAGCATCATGAAGACAGCAGCAATCTACTTTGCACAACATTATACTACACTGCACTACATTTCACTACACTGATTTACTGTGTATGTAGTCATGCATGACGTCATCCATTCAAATACTGCAGTGTAGTGAGTCTAAAACTTTGCAATTACAAGTGTTTTCATAAAATGTGTTGTATTTTTTCTAAATTGTCTGAAAACAGATTTTGATCCAATCGTTTCAAAATTGGTTTTGAATCTGCAGGTAAATAATTATCAAAAAAGTTTTTTTCCACATATTAATTAATCATAAAAATTTTAAAATTGTTTGTCTCATTATCTTAAAGTGTAAACCAGTTGATTGAGATTCAGGTGAGGCACGCAAAATCTCACCCGTACTGGCCTTCAGAAGACCCTACAGCACACAACGAGACTTAATTAGAATCTAACTGCTGTTATTTTCTTTGTCCTACAGATAAATAACAGGTCTAATGTGATTCGAGTTTTTTTTTAGGTAAGCAACTTTTCAATTACAATTTACATCAGAAATTGGAAAGCTTGTCTGGCATTTTGACTTATTTGTTCAATGTCTGCAACTTTAGTATACCAATGTCAAAAGTTCAATCTGTACTAAACTTGATCAATAATCATAACATATGAAGGTCTTCTGATAAAGTCTGACTCTTGTCTTTGCAAAAAGGCCCCAGTTTGACATACCAGACCTCACTGAGCTGATCTGTGCTTGGAGCCCGCAGATTGCCGCTCACTAAAATATTTTGGTATTTTGGAAATAAAGTCTGCCCTTATTTTTTGACCCAATTAAAATTCTCAGGCTAAAATTCTGAGTGTATTTTCACAGCTTTATCCATATTCAAGATGCAACCTCTAGCTAACTGCCTCACAGTTATGAAGCCTTAGCTAGGCTAACAAACGTGACATCTGCGTGGCGTTTTGACGCACAACACGCCTCTTGCAGTTCTGTTAGAAAGCGGAACATTAGTACAAAGCGTTGATCAAAATGTAGTTGTAATTTCAGCTTAAATGTTTAAATAAGATCCATCCAGGCCTTTTTATTAAATATTTAAGCTTTGGTTTGCTTAGTTTCTGACATGTATTTACTGAGATGACAGTCCAAGCCCAGTGCTTGTTAGCAACATTAGCGTAGCATCTCTCGTGATAAACTAAAGAAGCACACGCCAGATATTAAACATATCTTGACTGATTGACTGTATCTGGGGTAAGAGATAAGGACCACTTTGTTTTTGAGTTTGATTCCTTTAAGGTCACTGTCAGGCACGTAGATTACCAAAATGCATTTCTGTCTTAATCCACAAGATAGTGCTGTTTCTTTCTGGTGAGAACAGGGTTTCAACCAGTGGAGTCATTATTAGGGACAGTTAGACAGTGTAGTGGACAACACGCCTGCAGACAGTCCTCCTGCTCAGACAGGAATCAGCAACACCACTATAATATGTTTATGAAAGTGAGGTTTGCTTTCACCTGCCAATGTAAATTGCTCTAATATAATGCAAATATATAATGTTAATTATGCAAATATAAGGCCATTTTTTGAAAGTCATTATCCTATTTTATAATTATGTTTTAACAAAACATGATGTGAAATAAATAAAACTTCTTTAGACAAAATAAATCACAATATATCACAATATCTATTATCCCACAAACTTTAAACATTATGATTATTGCAATTTTTGGCTCAAGTATGGTTATAATATTGCATTGTGGGGCCTGTAGTGATTCCCACTCCTACTATTACTGTATCTAATAAACCACACAGCACACAACTGTTGTTATCAATAACAGACACTTCAGCCGATCAGAATGTGTTTTGATCATAAGGTTGAAAGGTAAATGCAGTACCTTTGCTCTTAACTCAGCCTGAGCATGCTCCTCCATCTCCTTCCTGTATTCAGCCAGCTTCGCTTCCACCGACGCCCACCGATTTCCCTTCTGCCTCAGAGCTTCGTACTCCTCGTCGATCATCTGCAGCTTGTCCACTTCAAGATAATCAACACACAGTGTTTCGTCATATTTGCACTCAAAACACTGCCCAGCTGAATAGTGTGATATGACAACAATTAGACACAATTTAGCTAAAAATCCAATTTTCCTCTCTTAGCCTGAATGTAGCTGATCAGTCAAGACATGTTTGGTGTCGAAAGTTTGCTTGTTTTGCTTTAGTGCTGGAACTGCAAGGCTAATGTCACAAATAAATACACAGAAAACAGCTAACTTACCAAAACCTTCAACTCATCAGACCTTTCTTTTGAGAAACGGCTTCGCCGTGCCCTTCTGAGACAACTCGTTTAGGTTTAACCTCAGAAAAATACTGCTATTTTAAGCGTGCAGACATTTTATATTTCCTGTATATAAAACTACTGTTCAGATTAAAAGGCCAGCATTTCATATCATTTAAATACCAGGCAGAGTTTTTCACAATTCAAGCTCAAAAGCATGAAAATAACACCTGCTAGAGGAAATACTATTTACATACATCTGTGTTAAAAAGGCTCTTTTACTGCCCTGTTGTGGCTCCACAGCTGAATCAGATTAGTAGGTAAAAATAAAATAATCCTCCTTTACAGTAAAATAAAGCTCTGCTGATCGTTCAACACAGTTTAACAATAAATGGTCATAAACTCTGGAGTTAATGTAGAACTGCTAATTCACCCTTTAACCCTGAAGATCAGCGCAGACTGCTGGTCACCATAGTAACACAGACAACAGTCTCGCCTAGCTAGTAGCTAACAAAACGGCAAAGAGAGAGATTTAAGATGAACATCGATAATTTGGAGACGAATGGACTTATTAGTGTTTATAATCACTCCAGCTGGTTTCCTGATACGTTTAATCTGCAACGAAAAACTGACAAACACTAAAGTCATGAGGCTGAATTCAGCTTCTCACCAGCTTCTCATTCGAATTCTCCCGTTCCACCTTAAATGGTGCTGCAGTTACATTCTGCCACCTCAGGCACCATTTAAGGTGGAACGGGAGAATTCGAAACAAGAAGCTGGGCGAACGAGAAGCGACTTCAGCCTCGTCAAAAGTCGAACGCTGAGAGACATTTTACAAGAAACTGTTCCACTTTTGAGGAAAAGTTTCCTGCTGGAGATGTGAGAAAAGCAGCTGTAGCTGAGCTAAAGCTTAAAGCAGAGCAAAGTAAGTCTGCGCCTTCGTTTATATTATATTTTTAGTCTATACTAGAACATTAACACATACTGAGACATATTCACAGCCAAGACGGTAAAATGGACATAAAGTGTTGTGGCTCCCAAGGTGGTTTAATTTTTGTTGAAGGGACAAAATGGCTCTTTTTAACATTTGGGTTGCAGACATACATACTTGATTTTTTTTTTTTTTAGCAGAATGGGCTGTTATGTAGTGTCTGCGTCTTTGAGGGACACTTCCTAAATCAAAAATGATAACTACTCCTCTGCGTCTTCCTCCTGATTTCTCAGCATTAAATAAAAAAGTGCATCGGACTTGATATGAAACTTTCAATTCATTAAATCTGTAAAAAACAACTCAATTCTAAAAGACCTCACAACGACTAAACGTTAATTATTTAACTTAAACATTGCTTTTTATGCTGTTCTCCCTGTGTGGCAACATTGCTGTATGTGTAAATGAAGTAAAACCAGGACTGGAGTTTCGTATAATGGACTGGGAGCGCAGAACACACAGGCATACAAAACTGATAAATGATTCTGATTTTGTTAGCTACATCAGTCTCATAGTTCCAGAGTTAAAACTAAAGAAGCAAATTTCAGACACCAAAGATGTTTTGGTTGATCAACTATATCGATATTTCAGATAATTCGATTTAAGATGGAGGTTAACGGAGTATACCGAGCGACTGTCTGTAATCCGGCGGTGTGGTGGAGGTCTGAGTATCAGCATCACGGAGCTCCGGGTGAACATGGTGGTCGATTAACTCTGAGAGGAGATTTATTAACAAACCTGCAGAGGAAGTGTTTATTATTTAAGATACAGCCACTATAATTCTGTATAATCCTGTAATGAACAGAGCAAAATCTCTGACCTCCTAACTACAACTCTTTAGGAGACTATCAACTCCACCTCCTTGTTTCTACACTCACTGTCCACTTTATCAGCTCCACTGACCACACAGCTTGTCTCTGTAGCTCTACAGTTACAGACTGTAGTCCATCTGTTTCTCTGCATACTTTGTTACCCTGTTCTTCAGTGGTCAGGACCCCCATGGACCCTCACAGAGCAGGTACTATTTGGGTGGTGGATCATTCTCAGCACTGCAGTAACACTGACGTGGTGGTGGTGTGTTAGTGTGTGTTGCGCTGGTGCGAGTGGATCAGACACAGCAGTGCTGCTGGAGTTTTTAAACACTGTGTCCACTCACTGTCCACTCTATTAGACACTCCTACCTTGTCGGCCCACCTTGTAGATGTAAAGTCAGAGACGATAGCTCATCTGCTGCACAGTTTGTGTTGGTCATCCTCTAGTCCTTCATCAGTGGTCACAGGACGCTGCCCACAGGACGCTGCCCACAGGACGCTGTTGTCTGGATGTTTTTGGTTGGTGGGCTATTCTCAGTCCAGCAGTGACACTGAGGTGTTTAAAAACTCCAGCAGCACTGCTGTGTCTGATCCACTCAGACCAGCGCAACACACACTAACACACCACCACCACGTCAGTGTTACTGCAGTGCTGAGAATGATCCACCACCCAAATAGTACCTGCTCTGTGAGGGTCCATGGGGGTCCTGACCACTGAAGAACAGGGTAAAAGGGGGCTAACAAAGTATCAGAGAAACAGATGGACTACAGTCTGTAACTGTAGAACTACAAAGTGCACCTATATAGTAAGTGGAGCTGATAAAATGGACAATGAGTGTAGAAACAAGGAGATGAAATGTGTGTGTGGTGTGTGTGTGTGTGTGTGTGTGTGTGTGTGTATAGGAAGTAAAAATATTACACAGCCTACCTTTCTGTCCCCTCTGAACATTTGACACCTGTATAAAGTTTAACAAATCAAAATACAAGATTAATTTTAAAAATCAGCTTCAACGTATAAATTACTGTGTGCTTAATGAGAAACTCATATTCACCACAGATTTATAAACAGGTGAATGTGGACTGATCCTCATCAGCTGGAGAAGATCTTTCATCGAAAACACCTGTAATAAAATATAATAAAACAATAATAAAATATAATTAAAAAACAACTGAAAACTCACGATAAACATGAAATTGTAGTTTTTTATTTTTATTTCTACTAATGCAAAGATTTTAACAGCATTACCGTTATAGCTAATTCACAGAGAGCTGTTTTCAAATTACTGTATAAAATATTGAACTTAAATTATTGAACATAGATTCAATACAGATTTTGACAGTTTGGATAAACTGTAAATTTAAAATTTGGAAATATGAATGTTGTGTTTTGTTACTATAGGTTGTTTAACTTCATCAATAAGTATCACAATACGTACATTTAGAGTCGGTTATTCATTCAGCCTAATGAGAAACTGTAGAACAGACTCGGTTTATATCACAATACCTACATTTAGAGTCGGTTATTCATTCAGCCTAATGAGAAACTGTAGAACAGACTCGGTTTATATCACAATACCTACATTTAGAGTCGGTTATTCATTCAGCCTAATGAGAAACTGTAGAACAGACTCGGTTTATATCACAATACCTACATTTAGAGTCGGTTATTCATTCAGCCTAATGAGAAACTGTAGAACAGACTCAGTTTATATCACAATACCTACATTTAGAGTCGGTTATTCATTCAGCCTAATGAGAAACTGTAGAACAGACTCAGTTTATATCACAATACCTACATTTAGAGTCAGTTATTCATTCAGCCTAATGAGAAACTGTAGAACAGACTCAGTTAAAGCTGTGTTGGTACCTTGTCTTTGCTCATCCCGCACTCTGGGTGGAACACAGATAACGTGTATTCATAACCAGACGTCTGTAGATGATCTATGACGAGACTGTTGGACGCCAGCAGCGAGACGGAATCCACTTTAGCCGAAAGCGGCCTGGGAACCGGTTCACTCGTGAGTGGACTCTGCAGCTCCTGGATCAGCTGGTTCCGCAGTTGAGTCTGGACCAAAGAGAAAAACACTGTTACACTTTTATAATAACTATTATAATAACAGGCTCTAATAAATAAAAATGTTGTTATTTAATTCTCATATTATTCAAGGAAAACAAATACACACACACACACACACACACACACACACACACACACACACACACACACACACACACACACACCACCGAATTAGTGCTTTTGGCCAGCATTGATAAAATTCAGTATCATGCTAATCATATTTTTCAAATATATCTCTGTATCACATTTAAATTACACATTAATAAAGCCAATAAGTCAGCATTAACAAACTTCATATTAATAAATCTAATAAGTTAATATTAATATAAGTAGTTAATTCGCAATAAAACGTAATAAGGTTGCATTAGTAAAGTTAATAAAGTATTATTAACCTCTTAATTATTTCCACTCGGTTTGGAGCTTTTTTTTCAAGGGAATATATTTCAGTATGAAATGTTTATGATTTACTAAACCGGAACTGAACTGGATTTTCCTCTTTGTAGGTGAGAGAGCAAGTCAACATTTATAAAGGTGTTATTACTGTGTTTACATGCTGTTTTACTGTCCCAGCTGTGCAGGACTGTCTGATATGAAGAAAGCTGCTCCATTTAATCTCAGCACAGCCGTCTGTGTGGAGGGGTGTGAAGTGCTTTCACGTGAGTGAGAGTGAGAGAAAGAGGGAGAGTGAGTGAGAATGAAAGTGAGAGTGAGAGTTAGTGAGAAAGTAAGTGACAGCAAGCGAGACAGAGTGAACAAGAGAGTGAGTGTGAGAGAGACAGTAAAAGACGGTGAGTGAGAGAGAAAGAGAAAGAAGACTTAGAGTGAGAGAGTGAGAATGAGTGAGAGTGAGAATGAAAACGTGAGAGTGAGAGAAAGAGTAAGTGACAGCGAGTGAGAGAGTGAATAAGAGAGTAAGTGTGAGAGAGACAAAGACAGTGAGTGAGAGAAAGAACAATGTGAGAGTGAGCAAGAGTGAGAGAGAGTGAGAACGAGTGATGTGAGAGTAAGCGAGAGAGTGTCAGAGAGACAGAGTAAGAGACAGTAAGTGAGACAGGAAGAGAGAAAGAGTGACTTAGAGAGTGAGAGAAACAGAGAGAGAGCGTTTGAGAACGAAGGTGAGAAAGTGAGTGAGAGTGAAATAGTGAGAGTAAGTGACAGCGAGGGAGAGAGAGTGAACAAGAGAGTGAGTGTGAGTGAGACAGAGTAAGAGAGAGTGAGAATGAGTGAGAATGAGTAAGAAAGTGAGAATGAAAGTGCGAGTGAGTGAGAGAGTAAGTGACAGAGAGTGACAGCGAGTGACAGAGAGTGACAGAGAGTGAATGAGAGTGAGTGTGAGAAAGAACAATGTGAGAGTGAGTGAGAGTGAGTGTGAGAGACAGTGTGAATGAGAGTGAGAAAGTGAGTGAGAGTGAAAGAGTGAGAGTGAGTGAGAGAGTGAACAAGAGAGTGAGTGTGAGAGAGACAGGGTGAGAGAGAGTGAAAGAAAAAGTGATGAGAGTGTGTGTGAGAGAGAGAGAGAGAGAGAGAGAGTGAAAGAAAGAGTGATGAGAGTGTGTGAGAGAGAGAGAGAGAGAGAGAGAGAGAGAAAGAAAAAGTGATGAGAGTGTGTGTGAGAGAGAGAGAGAGAGAGAGAGAGAGAGAGTGAAAGAAAGAGTGATGAGAGTGTGTGTGTGAGAGAGAGAGAGAGAGAGAGAGAGAGAGAGTGAAAGAAAGAGTGATGAGAGTGTGTGTGTGTGAGAGAGAGAGTGACTTTTAGCATTGTGACTCTTTCTGACTCTCAGATCTGCTGGACGAAATATCAGAAACAGTTCAATGACTCATATAAACAGATTTATTTTTGAATCAGAATCGGACCAACTGATTCATTCTGCTCGAACATTTGAATGATTCAGAACGAGCATCACTAAACAAACCGCTCGGAAACGGCGACAGCGCTAATTTATGGGCACCACATCATCAATACAGCGCTCAGTATCGATCAGATATCTCACTAAAATATCTCTGCAACTGAAGCACAGCGATTCACTAACGTTATATCAGTGTCACGGTCGGACTTGTTGAATGTGTGTGTAAACTGTGTCAGAGACCTTCAGAGTGTCCAGAAGTCCTCGGCTCTTGAAGGTCTGGTAGAGCCTCTTCCTCAGCTCGTCCGGAGATAAAGTCTCTTCTTTATGCGCGGACATTTCTGAGAGCAGATCAGATGACCGTGTCCAGAAAACTCACAATCCCAGAATCCCCGCTCTGTGTCAGTCTGGAGCTTTAATTGCGGTTATAAAGCAGCATTTTTAGGAGCGAAGAGTTACAGAGTTCATAAACACAGCCACTGTGCTCTCATTCTGCCCTTAAAGAGTCCCAGAGGAGCCGTGAACGACGAGCAAAACGACCAAACAACACAAATCATCAAAACAAAAACAGTAACTATGGTCGTTCCCGCCGCTGTGTTTGGTTACCACCGGCTGTATCTCAAACCGACGCCAGCTCCCTGCGTCCTAAACGCCGTTTTAACCGCGTTCACTCGTTCACTTTTCACTACATGGCGTTTGCTGTTCAGTCAACTGACTGGTGAACCGACAGATTTATCGTTGAGAATTAACACTGTAATGCGACAATTCTATGCCAGTTACAGAGGTGCTACACTTTATAGTGTGAATATAGGGCACTAGGACTCATTCCACTACGTAGGGGACGAGAACTCGATTTGGGACGCTGCCAAGGCAACTGTCAGAGACGTTACAGACGTTATTTCCGGTATCATATTTTTAACTGCCCGAGATTATTTTTATTTTATTTTATTTTATTTTATTTTATTTTATCTTATTTTTATTTTATTTTATTTTAGGCTTCATTTTTGATCACTGTGGTTCGTGTGTTTGATTTTTACTGTTTGTTTATTGAATAATCACGATCCTTTCGTGTGAGAATGTCATAAGAATTGTGATTAAAAGATGTTCTTGACTCGATTTAAAAAAAATATTAAAAATAACACGAAATAACCGCATTTAATTTAATTTTTAAAACCGCATTGAAATTAATTTTCAGATTAATTGTTTTTTGTTCTGTTATTTATTCTTTTTTTAAAAAAACATTTTTTAATTGAGCTTTATTTAAGAAATTAAAATGCACATTAATTACATTATCCGACGTGTTCTTCTTTTTTATTTTTATTGATTGTTTTGTTGCATTACAAGCAGGGCCTTCTCTTTCATTTTATTTTTTTATTGCTGCGTTTCTCGCCCACATTCTTTTATTTTCAGATTAATAATTTTGCTTGTGTGACTTTTTTAAAAGCTTTTCAAAACGTTAAAAAATCAAAAACATATCACATTATCCAACAATCAAAATTTTTTTATTTATTTTTATTGCAGTATTCGACAATAGTGTCCATATTTTTTATTTTATTTTATTTTATTTGATTTGATTTTATTGTATTTTATTTTATTTTATTTTATTTCTGCGTTTCTCGGTCACATCATGCTTCACACTCTGAGGTCAGAGGAACTCGCCCAATCCTGCTCTCCCATTGGCTCCGTCGGCCACATGACCACACTGGCTCCGACGGAGACACAGACAAATTAAAAACATTCAAAATAAGAATATTAATTAACAAAAACAGTTAATTATTCCCGCACAGATTAACGCTGCAGCCTCGTTCTTCTGGATGTGAGAGCAGTGGAGCGAGGTTCTCCTTTAAAGCGGATTCAGCGGAGCTTCGGTTCGTAAAGGTTGGATTATTAACTGACTGAATTCATGTTTACATTATTATTACATTAATATCGCTGTTTATGTTCACTGGGCGCTCTCAGATATGTGCGCTCTGAACCTAAAGGCTTTATTGGCAGCGTTTTCCGCTCATTTGGTGTCGGAGCAGTGCAGAGGAACCTCATCCTGAAGCAAAACTCTCAGTAAAATAATCCAAACCAAACCCAAAACCCAGCCTGAGTGCAGAAAAGGCTGAGGTCCTGAACTCTCGGAGCTCTGAGTTCTCCTGTAGAACTGCAGTGGAACCTCTTGGTGCGTCCAGCAAATGTCAGCACAGAAACTACGAGGCTGAAATTGGCTTCTTATTCGGAATTTCCCTTCAACCCTAAATGCAGGAGGTGGAACTGAAAATTTGGGTAGGAAGTCGTTTAGAAACTGGTTTGTTAGACTCGGTTCTTCTGCTTTTGAGTCTTTGGGCCTGAAACAAAACCCCAAAGCTCTGAAATGAGACATGAGGACAGCAGTAAAGTGAACAGAATGAAATGAAACCCCAAAAAAGAGAGTAAGGTACTTTGCATACCTGAAAAATATGGTTCTTCGAAGGTTCTTTAGTATAGACATTGGTTCTGTTTAGAACTATTAATTCTATACAGGACTATTTCATGCTTAAATGGTTCTTTGCATGGCGACATGGTTCTTCAGGTTTGTGGAGAACGTGTTGTATGTGGTTCTGTGTAGAATCATTTGAAAATGCTTCTATATAGCACCAAAAAGGTTCTGCTATTGTAACGAGCTTGACGTCATCACAGTAGAAGAATCCTTTTTGGTGCTATACAGAACCATATACAACATTCTCCATCAATCTGAAGAACCATTTCGCCATACGGAGAACCACTTAAGCATGAAAATAGTCCTATATAGAATTCATGGTTCTAAATAGAAATGAACCCTTGAAGAACCATATTTCTAAGTGTGTTCATATTAATGACTGAAATGGAATCGAGGAAAAAGTAGATTATTCACTAATATACTGGAGTAGAAAGTATCAAATCAGAAAAGTGGGAATTGAACATTTCCCTGTGATTGTTTGTCTGATGTATGTTATTATCTGACATTTCTGAACTTCTGGTTTCCACGTTCACAGCGTGATTACGGACGATAGACGATGTCGGGCAGTTTCTACTTCGTCATGGTGGGTCATCATGACAACCCTGTGTTTGAGATGGAGTTCCTTCCAGCTGGGAAAGCAGAATCGAAGGTACGGAGATCCGTCCACGTGGCCCGTATTCATCGAACTGAATTGAATCTCAAATGCTGGGTTTTATGGAAGCGAATAAAGAAATGAATGAATGTGATTCAATCCTGTAACAGATCTATTCTGATCGCTCACACTGTTTGATGTGATGTGGTAATGAGTGTAGCATAGCAAAAAGGAGATGGGTCTAGTGTTACCATGGAAATGGGTGTAGTTCCACAGTGGAAATGGGTGTAGTGTAACCATGGGAATGAGTGTAGTGTAACCATTTAAATGAATGTAGTGTAACAGTGGAAATGAGTGTGGTGCAACCATGGGAATAGTTATAGCGTAACCATGGAAATTGATGTAGCGTAACTATGGAAACTGGTCCAGCTAGAGGTCTGCGCAGGACTGTTTTTTCAGTCCCGCTCCCGCCTGCAACCGAAACAATTTGTCCCACCCACATCCAATATCTGACGTAGTCTACTCACAAATACAAATACTCCCGCCTGAAGGGATCTGATTTCCATCCGCTCCACTGGAATGCAGACCTTTAGGTCCAGCCCAACCATAGAAGCGCGTGCACTGTAATGATGGTAACAGGTGTAGCCTAGCGATGGAAACGGACGGTGTGTAACAGCAGAGATTGATGTAGTGAAACTTCAGAAATGGAAATTCTACTTCTGTCATCTACACTCTTAAAAAAGACGGTTCTTTAAGGGTTCTTTATCAGAACATTCGGCCATGTTCTCCATTATCATCCTCAGTTTTTTATTTAGTGTGTTCTTGAGAAAGGCCTGAGAAAAAGTCTCCGTCAGATTCATGACGGGTTCTTAAAGCGCAGAACTGAGAGAACATTGGTGAAAACTGTGTAAGTGGGTTAAAGAAGAACTTTCTTCTTAAGAACGGAGAGAGATGGAGAACGAGGCCCACTATTCTTCATCACAATTCTTGAAAAAACTTAAGAAAAAAGTAAGAAAATCGTAATTATTTCCTGAATATTTTCTTAAGAAAATCATTGTTTTCTTGTGTCGGCTGTGTTGCAGTTTACAGCTTCCCTTTAATGACACAAGATACATTTAGAATTTGTTTTAACTGTTATTTGCATTATTCAGTTTAATCGACTCAGAGGAGCGAAATGGGAAAAATGATCCTCAGAAAATATGATAATTGTGGGGTGACGGAGGAAAGCGAGAGGCGAGGATGAGGAGCAGCAGAGGCAGCGCTGAGTTTGATGAATTTAGATACTGACCTTGTCACTCACAGCCTGAGACGACTAAGAGTCTGTCGTAAGATTGAGAACATGTTTCGGAACGTAACACTCATTATTAGGATTATTCTGAAGAACATAGGAAAGAAATAAGAGAATTCTTAAGAGGTTATTTGAAGAATTGTTCATAACTTTTCTTCTTGAGAACGAACTTCAGAAAAGACGATTTTCTTTCTTAAGACGCTTTCGTGAGTCTGGTCCCTTGTTCATCAGTCCTCATTCACTGTCTGGTGGTTCCTTTCTTTGCCGTGTCTGTAGAAATGTATATTTTTGATGCTTTAACTTTCTTCTATTATTATTTTTATTGTTTCTTTAAGGATGACCACCGACATCTGAACCAGTTCATTGCTCATGCAGCGCTTGACCTGGTAGATGAGAACATGTGGCTGTCCAACAGCATGTACCTGAAGACTGTGGACAAGTTTAACGAGTGGTTCGTCTCTGCGTTCGTCACTGCAGGTCATATCCTTTCAAAATAGACACGTGAAGCACGTCTGTTATAGGTGGAATGGAGACATTCAGCCTAATGAGAACAGACTCAGTTTATATCACAATACCTACATTTAGAGTCAGTTATTCATTCAGCCTAATGAGAAACTGTAGAACAGACTCAGTTTATATCACAATACCTACATTTAGAGTCAGTTATTCATTCAGCCTTATGAAAAACTGTAGAACAGACTCGGTTTATATCACAATACCTACATTTAGAGTCGGTTATTCATTCAGCCTAACGAGAAACTGTAGAACAAACTCAGTTTATATATGTAATATTTAAATCCACATATTATACTATATGCTATGGTACATAACATAATATAAAAGTTGTTGTTATGGCAGGTGATTCCAGACTTTTCAGTGGTGCTGTATAACAGTTCTGCATTAACTCTCTTCCTTAACGATGTCACATATGAGGTTCATCATGCTTCACGACGTGCGGCAGGAGGACGGAATCAAAAACTTCTTCAATGATGTTTACGATTTATACATCAAGGTAAGCCTTTGGGACTCCATAGTAAGTGTGTTTACATGCATTCAGTAATCCGATCATTATCAGATTTCTGCAGTTATCTGATTATTCGAATTTTCATGTAAACAGCACACTCTGATTTCTTACATCGGAGTAAGGTCTACAAATCTGATGAAGAGGCTGGATTTTAGCTCAGTAATCAGATTTCTCAGTGCATGTAAACTCTTACTCTGATTTCTTTCGGAATTCTCAGTCTGAGCATGTGCGGAAACAGACTGAAGCACCGGAAATAAGTGAGCAGCGTCGCCGCGAGACACAGCAAAACACTTTTTAGCGGCACTGAAACCAAAAACATGCTTGACGAAATCAAGGATTTAAATATTCTTCATCTTCTAGATGATGTTTGTTCATATTTTCAGGTAAAGCGGCGCGATGTTTAAAAAAAGCAGCAGCATTAAGTTTAAGTTTTATGTTACGTTTATGTCTCGTCTTCTTATGTGAGTTTCTTGGCTGGTTGTAAAGCAGAAATCCGATTACTGTCTGACTCATGTAGACCTGGAGTTTGATTACCGACAAAATCTGATTTTCTGCAGTTATCGGATTATTGAGCGCATGTAAACTTGTTGATTGGTTACTGACAAAATCTGATTTTCTGCAGTTATCGGATTATTGAGCGCATGGAAACTTGTTGATCGGATTACTGACAAAATCTGATTTTCTGCAGTTATCGGATTATTGAGCGCACGTGAACGTGTTCATCTGATTACCGACAAAATCTGATTTTCTGCAGTTATTGGATTGTTGAGCGCATGTAAACTTGTTGATCGGATTACTGACAAAATCTGATTTTCTGCAGTTATCGGATTATTGAGCGCATATAAACTTGTTGATCGGATTACTGACAAAATCTGATTTTCTGCAGGTATCGGATTATTGAGTGCATGTAAACACGCTCACTGTTTTTATTGTGAAGTAACCTCGCCGTTTAACCTGCGCACTGCTCTGTCTTTTCCAGTTCGCTATGAACCCTTTCTACGAGGTAAACACGCCCATCCGCTCCACGGCCTTTGACAGGAAAGTGCAGTTTCTGGGGAAGAAACACCTCCTGAGCTGATTCCCGACCGACGTCTGTGGTTTTCTGACTTATCGATTGTTTTTGCGTTATAAATGTCAGATGTACAAATTTGATTTCACATTAAATGTTTATGCACCCTGACTAGGAATTCCTCCCTCCGCCAGCTGTGAGAGTGAAAGTACGCGTCTCTTCAGAATTTCAGCTTGTGTAGTTTGTTTCATATGCACACTTAAAAATGATCTTCAAGGGCTCTTTAGTAAAGAAAATGGTTCTAGATAGCCCATGAACACTCAAAGAACCTTTTGCATGATTAAGGGGTTCTTTGCACAGTGAAAGTGTGCTTCAGATTGACAGAGCATGTGCTATAGATGGTTCTATATAGAACCTTGTTGAAAAGGTTCTATATAGCACCAAAAGGGTTCTGCTATTGTAACGAGCCTGACATTGTAACATAAGCAGGCCCTTTTCTGAAAGAACCATTTACAGCACATTCTCCATCAATGTGAAGAACACTTTCACCATGCATACAAAGAGTTATGTGAGTGTTCATGGTTATATTTAGAACCATTCTTTATTAAAGAACCCTTGAAGAACCGTCTTCTTTAGAATGGGCTTTATTTGGAAATATTAACACAGAAGTATCTTGAAATTTGACTTAGTATCTCAAACAAACGGCTTTTTCTCTTGAGATTTTGAGCCTTTTGAGATTTCTTAAGACAAAATTGACTCACTGTGTTGAACTAACGAGCTGTTAAATTGCAGCAAAGTAGTTGTTTCAGGATACTAAGTAATTTTTTTGAAAACCTGGCTTCAGAAACAGTACCTGGTGGGAATGGGCCTCTGTTGTTTCCTCAGCGGCTGAGTTTGTTTGTTTGTAATATGCATGTATCTTCTGTCTATATCTATTAAAGAATCAACAAACATACTACTTGAGTGTTTGCACAGTCAGCTATTAGAAAACTGCCTGAACGCTGAAACGGTGAACGTTGGGAATTCTTTAACATTCCATTAAATTTATCCCATTTTGGTGGAAGTACACAGAGTCCTCACTCGGATGTATTCACGTGAAAACATTTTAGTAAAAGCTGGAAGACATCGCCTGTCATCTGTTGCATCACTCATTATAAAGTTCCAAACCGTCTCTGGAAGCAACATCAGCACAAGACCTGAACATCAGGAGCTTCATGAAATGGGTCTCCATGGCTGAGCAGCTGCACACAAGCCTAAGATCACTATGCGCAATGCCAAGAGTCGGCTGGAGTGGTGTAAAGCGCCGCCACTGGACTCTGGAGCAGTGGAAACGTGTTCTCTGGAGTGATGAATCAGCTTCTCTATCTGTCAGTCTGATGGTGAATCTGGGTTTGGTGGATGTCAGGAGAACGTTACCTACCGGAATCCACAGAGCCAACAGTAGAGTTTGGTGGAGGAGGGATGATGGGCTGGGCTGTTTTTCAGGGTTTGGGCTCTCAGTTCCAGTGAAGGATGATGTTAAAGCTACAGCACAGACATTTTACACAGTTATTAGCTTTCCAGCACTTCACTCACAGTCAGAATGACAATTTCAAAATAAGAGTCTGGAATGATTCTACTGTTAATTGTTTACATAATTGAACTTAATATTTAAAGTACTATTTATACTAATAAAAATTATTATTACTATTAAGTAGTAGTATTTAGTTGCAGTGGTGGCAGGAGAATTACAGAGATGCAAACTAGAAACTAGATGAAAACTTTATATATTTAAAATTCACACTTTTTTCAACTTTCCACCCTTGGAAAAGACCACCTGCCTAGTGGCTCCCAAGTAATTTGAGTTCGAGACCCCTGGATTAGATCCAGAGTTCCTGATACGGGCTACTGAACGGACACACAAGTTCAGAGGTCTGTCTAGGTGACATCATAGCACACTGTTTTGGAAATCTTGAGGAAAATGTTAAAGGTGAATTCCACCAATTTTTAAATATTTCTGCATGATCCCATTTTTGAGATGTAAACAGAGTCATTCAGAGTAGTTTGATGTGCATTGTAAAGAATCAGACTCTGGTGGTGGTGATAGGAACCGGGGGGGTATTTCACAAAGCAGGATTAGCCAGATAACTTAAGCCCAAAGATGAGGACTGTCCAATAGGATTGTCCCTTCAGGTCTCATTCTGTTGGACAGGCTTGACTTTGGGCTTAAGACATCTGGCTAAATTGAGAAATCCTGCTTTGTGAAACACCTCCCAGGGGTCGCCATGACTACAACACAAATATAGACATTTTATTTTATTATTAACATTCTGACCACCTCCTCGTTTCTACACTCATTGTCCATTTTATCAGCTCCACTTACTATATAGGTGCACTTTGTAGTTCTACAGTTACAGACTGTAGTCCATCTGTTTCTCTGATACTTTGTTAGCCCCCTTTTACCCTGTTCTTCAGTGGTCAGGACCCCCATGGACCCCCACAGAGCAGGTACTATTTGGGTGGTGGATCATTCTCAGCACTGCAGTAACACTGACGTGGTGGTGGTGTGTTAGTGTGTGTTGCGCTGGTCTGAGTGGATCAGACACAGCAGACCTGCTGGAGTTTTTAAACACCTCAGTGTCGCTGCTGGACTGAGAATAGTCCACCAACCAAAAATATCCAGCCAACAGCGTCCTGTGGGCAGCGTCCTGTGACCACTGATGAAGGACTAGAGGATGACCAACACAAACTGTGCAGCAGCAGATGAGCTATCGTCTCTGACTTTACATCTACAAGGTGGACCGACAAGGTAGGAGTGTCTAATAGAGTGGACAGTGAGTGGACACAGTGTTTAAAAACTCCAGCAGCACTGCTGTGTCTGATCCACTCGCACCAGCACAACACACAATAAAATAATTAATCATTAGCTAAGATTTAATGATTGTGACAGCCCTACGCATAAATAAGATGGTTCTTCAAGGGTTCTAGCATTATGAACAATCAAAAGACTCCTTTGCATGATTAAAGGGTTCTTTGCATCATGAAAGTGTTCTTCAGATTGACGTAGAATGTGCTGGAGATGGTTCTATATAGAACTTTCTTGAAAAGGGTTCTTCTATTGTAACAAGCTTGACATTGTAACAACAGTAGGACCCTTTCTTTTTCGCTATATAGAACCCTTTTTCAAAAAAGAAGAACCATTTCACAAAGCAAAGAACCTTTTCATCATACAAAGGGTTCTTTGAGTGTTCATAGTTCTATATAGAACCATTTCCTTTACTAAAGAACGCTTGAAGAACCACAATTTTTAAGTGTGTTGGTAAATCTGGAAAAACGCATTTTCACTGGGGACTATTTTGTCTAACAACACCCTGCATGTCTTTGTGAGGTAGCTGTAAGAAACAAACACTCCAGACGTCTGGTTCTATCGCCACCACTCTAGAACGGAGCACTTCACTCCAAACCACTCTGAGTGACTCTTGTTTACATTTCAATCTCTTTTAGCATATCAAAAACATCAGGAACTGCCCGTCCCACAAAGATATGATTCAGGGGCCGTATTACAAAAATGTCTTAACTCTGAAATCTGATGTTTGGTCTCCATGACAACTTCAGTAAGGACCAGATTTCGGATAGCAGCTTTTCCAGAGTAACAGTTCCTGACTTCATAATCTCATCATTAACTCCAGATAAGAAAACAGCATCACACAAACATCCTAACTAGACTGAACCTCCTAAATCCTGTCCTAACTTTAGGATGAACCCCAACAGGGTCCTCACTTCTGTTTAAGGTCCGTTTCTATGGTTTTCAGGCAGCTGAGTCAGCAGCATAGTTCACTACCAGCATAATGAGCTCCATTTATCTCTACTGTAAAACGCTGCTTTCACTGTGAGATGATTTTCTTTTCTAACTCTGCGTTTTAAAGATCTCAGACGCTGCAGACTCGATCTCCACCGCCCCTCTGATCACCTTCGTGTGTTAATGTTGATGATGAAATATTACAGTGATGGTGGTGAATAATGAGGAGACGGAGCTGAACGTGTGTCTGTTTATTAGGAGGAGTAACGTTAGCGCGCTCGGCTAAAGCGTTTGGGAAATGGAGACTGAAACTGGGGAGCGGCAACGCTCTGATAAACAGCAGGGGGCGCTCTCACAGTATTCACAGCTTACAGTTTATCACACTTCAGTTTTTTCAGACCTTTTTACATCAGTAACGGTATCTAGCATTAGCTGCCTGGCTAACTAGCCTGATTATTTTGATATATGTTTACGTTTCAGCTGTGCGCGTATGGTCGGTTGCTAGGTAACAGACATGGCAGTTGATTGTTGACTTCGATCGAGTAGGTTAAGATTTCCTAACTGGAGATAAGATGCTGTAAGATAAGATTCCTAAATTAAGATCAGATTTGCTTCTGTAATACAAATTTGTGAAAAATCTGATTGTCAGATCTTAACTTAAAACAAAAAGACAGGAAGTTTCTGTAATACGGCCCCTGATCTCAATGAATGCTGGTGTATCTTCACATAAATTCATAAATATGTTGTCATGTGCACCTGAGCAAAACCACAGACCATCCATAAAAAGTAAACATCACAACGTCATCAGGAGAGCGATCAAAAAACAAGAGGTCAACACTGCTTGTTATTTCTACTTTAATCTTCCCCTCTCAGCCCATGCAGCATCCACAGCTTACTGTTAAATAATGTTAATTCCTTTCAGATTAAAACACTTAATTTAGCTCTGAAAAGTCCCGAATAACTACTACTGATGCCTTTTAAATCACAAAAATCAAAGATAAACAATATCCATTAATTCTGCTTCAATTTAATTATTTATGTAACTCAATAAGATTTTAGTGCTTTTGATTAAGATTCAGAATCAAGTGCTCTACCTTTTTATAAACATTTCAATTCAACAGTGGTGATACAGATAATTATGAATCTCAACATTTGGCACACTCTACACGCTTCTATAATGTTAATAGGTTAGAAACAACTCTCTCCAAGACAGCGCCTGCGTTAAGTTAATCATCGTTATAGGAAGCTACACTCTCATAAAACAAATTTATTGCATCACTCTCAGTCTCAATATTAGAATATAGTGCTTAATATATCAAAGTTTGCACAGGAGAAAATGTCTGTTTTCCACGACCTGGAGCTTCACGAACTCAGCCAGGCGTCTACAGTGGTACGAACCCAGTGTTTAAGAGTTAAGTGCATGTCTAGAGTTTATACAGCCTCAAAGACAACTGAGACTCGTCCTGTTCAACGGCCGTTGTGATTAGTTTGTTACGCTGTGTTTTACGTCAACAGCAGGGGGCGCTGTTTATTTATTTATCTTTTTCTTTTCCGTCAACGTTTCGGTGCCGTTTTCCGTCAACAGCAGGGGGCACCGGTGCGCGGTTTCCTGTGCAGGTCGACCGTGTCCGTGGGGATGAGGTGATCAGCCCGCTCCTCGGTCGCCAGCACCCTCCGCACGGCCTCCTCGAAGGCGACGCTGACGTTGGTGGCGTCTTTAGCGCTGGTCTCGTAGTAGGCGTAGTCGCCGTTGTCGCGGCACCACTGCTGCGCCTCGTCCCGCGAAACCTGCCGCTCGCTCACGTCCACTTTGTTGCCCAGCACCACGAACGGGAAGGCCTCCGGGTCCTTCACGTCAGCGTAGTACACAAACTCCTTCTTCCAGTTGTTGAGGTTACGGAAGCTCTGGCCGTCGTCGACGCTGTACGTGAGCAGGCAGCAGTCGGAGCCGCGGTAGAACGGCGTCCGCAGGCTCCGGAACCGCTCCTGCCCCGCCGTGTCCCAAATCTGCAGAGTCACCGTGCGCCCGTCCACTTCCAGGTCCTTGTTGAGGAACTCCACACCGATGGTGTGGAACAGGTGGCTGTCAAACTTGTTGGTGACGTAGCGGTTCATAAGCGAACTCTTTCCCACACCGCCGTCCCCCAGCAGGATCACCTTCAGCAGGGACGACTTGGCAGACATGGTGGTGGTTCTCCGCTGGTTCTGAGACACCTAAGAACTGGGAATTAAAGCGACAGTTCAGGAAACAGTTCATATGTACACTATTTAGTTGATCATATAAGTCATACTTGGGTGTCTGAAGTTTTAGCACTGGAGCTACAAGGCTAATGTAGCTAACGAAAAAGCTTCCAACCCACCAAATAGCATGGTGCCTAAATCATCTCATGTTCGCCTCAAGCTGTATGGAGTTGTTAAGAAACATTTAATAGACTTGCTAATATCTGACATTGTATGATATATTCTTTTTATGTTCTTTAGTCCATGATTAGAAACCTGCCAATTAGATTTTTCACTAAACTACCTTCTAAAGGGTTTGAAGCTCAGAATCAGAGTAAATGTGAGGTCACAAAACATTTAAGAGGTAATAAGTCACAAACGTGATAAGTAACCAAATTCATTTGACTCAGTCGCCACTATTAATAATCAATGATCACATATTTTGTCATCATTTTCATTGCCAAGAGATCTGTACCAAGCAGTGCAGGATACCAAGCATACCAAATTGGTACATATGGTTGGTATGGTTGGTATAGTGTAGTGGGTAACACCTCTGCCTTCTACACTGTAGACTGGGGTTCAATCCCTATATCCCCTTACACTATACCAACAAGAGTCCTTGGGAAGACTCCTAACACTTCCTTCGCCTACCTGTGTAAAATGATCAAACTGTAAGTCGCTTTGGATAAGAGCGTCTGCCAGATGCCGTAAATGTAAATGTGGGTGGTGCTAGAATTATTATAGACCACTGATTAGTCACAGAAAAAATATTAATTTAATGCCTCTAAAAGCTCTTTTACAGAACGTTAGCACATGGAATGGTTATGAATACACTGAATAACGTCCCAGACATTGTTTTACAGTTGTTTGAGATCATATTTAAGCCTAAAACTTTTTTTTAAATCCATTTATGGTAGAAAGGTATATGCAACGCACATACATTCCATATAAACTCAGAAGACTCGTGTAGGTTCACTGGTGGTTCTGGATAGTAAATAAAATGTCTATATCTGTGTTGTAGTCATGGCGACCCCTGGTTCCTATCACCACCACTGTAAAGACATCTGAGTCTGTTAAATTCCATTTGACCTCAAACCACTCTGAATGACTTTGTTTGCATCTCAACCACTGAATTATGGAGAGATTCTGAAAAATCTGTGGAATTCCCTTTTAGCACTAGCATAGCTGTAACGCTGAAACGGACCCAGGTACTTTAACAGGGTATGTATTATGAACCGCAGCCATACCTGCATTGACTGGGTACTGAATTTCCAGCACTGATCATGAAGAACTACTTTTCATTGCATCGAACACTGTTAGGCCCAGTCCCATTTCTTCTTTTTACCCCTACTCCCTTGTTTACGAGGGTCACCCTAACCCCTTGGAACTGAGTTACAGGGTAGTGGTTGAAATCTTCCCTCTGAAATGGGACCCTCAAATAAAAAGAGCATCACTTCATTAACAGCTACCAGCGCTGCTCTGTAGGCGACCCTGCCAGTCTGCAGTGACAGCAGAGGAGGGTAAAGTTCAGCTCCTCACTGCTGGGCTTTAGTTACATTTAGGGCATCATATGCCTTCAAAGAGGGGGGCAATTATTTATTATCACCCACCCCTAATTCTTCAGTGATATGAAGCTGAAGTCAGATATTCACCAGATTCTTGTTCGAATTTTCCCGTTCCACCTTAAATGGAGCAGCAGTGACGTTCTGGCACTTCAGGCGTCAGAACTGCTGGACTATTTAAGGTGGAACGGGAAAGTTAGCTAGCTAGCTACCGAGATATTAGCATGCTATTAGCCATTTTTTATGCTTTGTATGAAGAAAATGACCAAAATACACTGAAACGCCATTAAACTAAGATAATACAGTCGTTATTGTGATTTTTTATCAGAGAAATTCTCACATTTGTGGGTTTCTTTGGTCTCTTGTTCTCCATCTTTCCTGTTTTTCTTTTTTTCTCAAATCACTCTGTTTGGAGTCTCTGAAAAACCTCAGTTTGGAGGGTCATGTAGCCCTAACACTTCACTCCACCCCTCTATCTCAACACAAATCGGAACACCCTACTCCTAGACATGAACACGTAAAACGGAGGGGTAGGGCTGAGTGGTAGGGGCGAGGGGTGAAATGGGACTGGGCCTTAGATTTGAAGATTTTGAACTTTAAGACAGAATAAAAGTTCAGTCTGGTGTTCTTACCTTCAGCGCCCTGAGCAATTCATCATTCAGAACCTGGAACAGAAAGTTACACATATGAGGTCATTGCTGAATGAGTGTACTAAAGTGACCAATCCTGGACCCAAAAACAGAAACGTTCATCCCCAGAAATCCCACACTCTGAAATGACGGTTCCTCAAGGGTTCTTTAGTTAAGAAAACGGTTCTATATAGAACCATGAGCACTCAAAGAACTCTTTGCATGATTAAAGGGTTCTTGCATGCAAGGGTTCTTGCATCGTTTCTTCAGATTGATGGAGAATGTGCTGTAGAAGGTTCCTTTCTGAAAAGGGTCCTGCTATTGTTAGGCTTGTCACAATAGCGGAACCCTTTTCTGGTGCTATATAGAACCCTTTTCAAACACTCGCACACTCAGTATGCACTCATACACTATGCAATTCTTCTGTCGCCATGACAACCAAATACCGTTTTGAAAAGGGGTTCAACACAGCACCAAAAAGGGTTCTTCTATTGTTACGATATGAGCTTGTAACCATTTTTGGCGCTATACACAACCCTTTTCAAAAAGGTTTTACATAGAACCACCTACAGCACATTCTCCATCAATCTGTAGAACGCTTTAATCATGCACAGGGTACTTTGAGTGTTCATGGTTCTATATAGAGCCATTTTCCTTACTCAAGAACCCCTGAAGAACCATCTGTGCAGGTTTTGTTCCGTTTTCCTCACTGTAGTCGTTAAAGTCCTTCACCATCAGTGGAACCACTGAAATCATTGTCCTCCCTGACCGCAGAACAGCTCCTCAGAGATGCCTGGAACAATCTGATCGTTATGGTTCTAACTGGCCGTTCTTACTCAATTGGCAGAACACAGACCGGCTCTGTGAGGCCGCAGGTCTGCTGAGACACGCGAAGGCAGAAACGCAGCGTTAAACCGCCACTTAACAACGGCCAACTTACCATCATCTTAATGCGGCCAAGAACGTTTAAGATCATAACAGAACAGAGTTGGTGTGACTTAATAAGGAACTACGTTAAAGTCCTGCCTCAGAGGGGCCTGGTCACATGTGCAGACCACATGTGCAGGTTGAGCATCACTGATTAATAAGAGCATTAGGAGTGAGGTCATTATAAAGAGGACAAAAAATATTTAAAAAAGCATTTAGATTGATGGGAAATTATGTCAAAGTATTTTTTTTTTTAGTTTATAACAATATTTACAGTCAACTGCAACGTATGCCATTTGCTGAGTGCTTCAGAATGTTTTGAAAGAACAGTTAAATACAGAAACTGTACGGTTCCTGTCTGTAAATGTGCTTTCTGCCTGGTTAACGTTTACAATACTAGGTAAGCATTTTAATCATAAACTCTGTTCGTGAGACATTCTTTTAGTATAGCGTTTCAGGAAGCTCATTAACTTTATTAATGCTCATTTATCAATGTTGTAAATTGTAAGTATTAACTTTATTAAAGCTGACACATTAACTTCAGTAATACTAATTATTAATGTTGTTAATACAAGTTATATTAAATGTTTGAGTATATTTTACTATATATTTTTTCTTATTCTATTTATGCATGTGTAAATAGCGTACAGCAACACTTTTGATCATGTTTCGCTCTCTAATATCGCTGCTGACGGAAGAAAACCTCGTATCTCCATTTTTGTTGTTTTTCAGTTTGTGACATAATTTGAAAATGCCTATTGTCCTTCACATTGTGTGTTAATTTCATGATGAACGGGCCAAAAGAAACGGCCCAAAATGACTTGGAAAAAATTCTGGTTCCATTGACTTACATTGAAAGTAAAGTATGTTTTTTCCTTCTCCTGTAAAGTTACCATTTTGGAGATACGAGGTTTTCTTCCGACAACAGCGAAATACTTTGTGCTGCTGTAATAGACGGATTAATAAAGTGATCTATCTATCTATCTATCTATGTAAAGCAAATGTTTTAACCTTAAAACTAACTCATTAGATACTACACAATATTTGGAAAATATTGCAAAACTTAATTTTGTCAACATTGGCCAGCTCTGTAATGGAACATGGTGATATATGTGAGCCATCCTTATGGAAAATATCTACAATAACACTACCTGGAGTTCTACAGGATTACTATGTAAGTCTTACAGCAACTTTAGACAATTACAGATGATTGTAAAACAGTCCCAAATAGATGATATACAGAGAATAAAACATTACAGATTATTATAGACAATTACTATTTAGTACAGGGCACCACACAGGTATTACAGACTGCTGTAAGACTACAGGGATGTGAAACAGAGAAGTAAATATCGCAGATTATTATATTTCTATACTTCCTCAGCTGTTTTTACAGGACTGTGTGAACATTTTTCGAGCTAAAACGTGGCCACGCAGAGATATAAGTGGTGATATCTTAATCTGCCCCATGTTGCTCTCTGAGTTCATTTAATATCTCAGCTATAAACTCGTTAAAACTGAGTCTGTGTAAAAGTAAACAGACCCTGACAGCGAGAAGACCGAGCCCACAGTTGGCTGGAGTGGCTAACTTACAGAACAACAAACCAGCCGCAAAACCGCCGACTCGGCGAATTAAAGCTCCGGAAAAAAGACTTTAGAAACAGAGAAAATGCAGAAATGTGTTTTAAACCAGTTTCTCTCCTTCTTTCTCTCAGAAACCGACCGCTCCGGCGCGGCGATGCTAACCGCTACTGTTAGCCGGCTCTCTGTTCAGTTTAACCCAAACGGTGAAACGTTTACCTGCTCGGAGCCTTTAGAGTCCCCCCGGTGAGGGTGTCAGGTCTGAGTGGTGCGGTCCCGGTTCGACAGAGACGGATCAGCTCCACAGAGGCCGGTACACGGAGCTAACGGGCTAACAGCACTGCTAGCACAGCTGCTAATGCTAGCGCCGCCGCGTCACGTGACCGCAATCATGTGACCACCGATCAGAAATGTTTCCACGGAATCAGATTAAACAGGGGAATTCCGCAGATTTTTCATAACGTTTGCATAATTCAGCGGTTTCAAATGTAAAAGAAAAACATTCAGAGGGGTTTGATGTGAAATACTCCGATCGCTATATATATATATATATATATATATATATATATATATATATATATATATATGGGTCATTCTACAGAAACGTCTATTTCAGTGTCCCCAGCGTTTACACATATATTACACTTGTCAGGGTTACAATTTATTTATATTTATTTTAAACTAAAACAATGTTATTTTAACAATTACACCTTCTTGAGCCTCAGTTGATCAATATTGGTTTTTTAAATCAATTATCTAGAACTCCAAGCACCACAGAAGATGTGTAAGTCATGTGTGAAGGCTGAGGCCATATTTTGAGGTAAAACACATTTTTCTGCAATTTTAACTGCAATAATCTCCACATGACTATGAAATACATGATTTAAATGACATAAAGAAAACAAATGGCAAATAAATATTATAAAATATGTAATGAAAGTTGAGGTCCCCAGGAGTCGTCACACTGATGACATCACTCGACTTCCTTTTACCTGTTTTCTGAGGATCTATGAAGAAAAGCTCATGGTGAGTCCACTGTGTCTTTCAGTTATCAGAGATTTTCTCATTTAGCTCATGATTTCATATGAAGCTTTTAGCTGAAGTCACTGGTGTGACCCACTTTATTCTGAGGTAACTGTGAAATAATAGAATACAAATGGATTAAATTCCATATTTTAGTGGATATTCCATGATTGACAACATTTGGTTTGATGTTCTGTAGCAGTTATTTAGCAAAATGTATTTTTCATTAAAAATGTCTCTGGTGTTCCTTTATTATGTGGAACACCGATGAGGATCAGTAACACCAGTGACTCCTATGGAGAGATAGAGAAGTGGACGTTTATGTAGAATGACCCAAATATATATATTCGATCATAGTGGTCGTGTAAACAGCACACTCTGATTTCTTAGATCACAGTAAAGTAGGGTTGCCACCTTCGCCCTGTAAAATTCCTGGACACTCGATCAGTGACTTGATTTTTCATTAAATTATTAATTTATTATTTAAAAATCTCATCAAATCTGTGGGCCAGAAAAAAAAGGTTTTTATTTCATTTTTAATTAATGTTATGCTGTAACCCGAACCGACCATTGTTTATTCAATATATGCACAAACCTCAACAGAAAAATACAGACACTTATAACAGACCTTGAAATATTCTAAATGTAAATGTTCCCAGCAGCTCAGTCTGTTAAACCTGCTTGAATTAAACACCTGACATTTTTCTCTGCTGCAGGTTCATTAAGACTGGTGTGGAATTGCGTAGAATTGTGTAGAATTGAGGATTAACCGCTGTCCCATAGACTGTTGTTGAGGTAGGAGAGTCGGAGTGCACAACACGTTGCAGTGCATGCTGGGGACTGTAGTGCAGCGCATTGTGAAACAGGCTAATATTAATGGAAAATTAGAATACTTTTGCGGGCCGGAAAGGATCGTGTCGCGGGCCTGATCTGGCCCACGGGTCCTAGACAATCCAGGGAAATCCTGAACATGTGGCAACTCTAGAATAAGGTCTATAAATCTGATTAGTAAATCTGATAAAGAGGCTGGATTTGAGCTCAGTAATGGGGTTTCTCAGTGCTGTAAACTCTTACTCTGATTTCTTTCGTTTCTCTCAGTCTGAGCATGTGTGAAAACAGCGAGCAGCATTTAATACAGCACCCACGAGACGCAGCACATCGCTTTTGGAGCGATGATGAAACCGACTACATGCTCAACCAAATGAAGGATTTAAATATTCTTCATCTTCTAGATAATGCATGTTCATATTTTTCAGCTTAAGTGACGCGATGTTTAAAAACAAGCCTAATGATGTTTGACTTTTATGCTATGTTTAATTGGCTGGTTGTAGAGCAGAAATCTGATTACTGTCTGACTCATGTAGACCCGGAGTTCCCCCATTATCTGGTTACCCAAGAGCATGAAAACATGTTGATCATATTAGATATTAACATATTAGACTGTACAACCAACACTGCTCCCAGTAGAACCTCCTCCACCCCCATTAGACCTCACATATCTACAGAACATACTGTGAATTTATCACCTCTTCCTGTGTGCAATATAATCAACACTCCGTGTGCAATATTTTAAAAAATATCCCTATAGTGTAAATATTGTTCAGCTTTCTATTTATAATGTTTATATTGTTCACTCCTCACCATCCCATGTGTGATATAAACCAGTACCTCATGCGCAAAACTCCATGTGAATTTCAGGCAAAATATCCTTACACTGTAAATATCTTAGCTTTTTATTTATTTATAATTCTTTACATTGTTATTTTTTGTGAAGGATAAAGTTTATATTTTTATCTTATTTTTTTATGTTTAGTATTATATATATTGTTTATATAGTAACAAGTAACAAACTATTAAAACCCTATTAAGTACTTAACAAAGTTAATTACTTGCTTGTTAATTCTCTTCTTGTTACTTCTTTTCTTTTCTTGAGTGTCTTGCTCTCCCTTTGCTGCTGTAACACTGAGAATTTCCCGGTTGTGGGACTAATAAAGGATTATATTATCTTATTAACGTGTTGATCGTAGTTCCCGTCGCCACCACTGTGAACAAGACTGATGTTTCTCTATAATGGAACGTTTCACACCAAACCACTCTGAATTCACTCCATACAGCAGGTTTTCTTCTCTTTCATCTGAAGTTGCGCGTGTGAGTGTCAGTCACAGAGAGTTTGAGGATATTTTCTGGATGTTTTGTTAGAATATTTGCATTTGATTATCATAAACGTCCTTTTAATGCATTTCCAGCTGCTGTATTATTGTATAACTGAGTGATGGCTCATTGAACATCTCCATAGAAACCGCTGACCAACAGAATGGGACGCTCTGAGCAGCTGCACATGATCCTAAGGTCACCATGTCCAGTGCCCAGCGTGGGCTAGAGGGGTATAAGGCCCCCCAGCATTGGGCTGTGGAGCAGTGGAACTGTGTTCTCTGGAGTGATGAAGCTCCATCCAATACCTTTGGGATGAGTTGGAGTGACCCAGAACTGACCATCCAACATCAGTACCTGACCTCAATAATGCTCCATCAAATCCTCACAGCAATGTTCCAGTATTACAACAGCAGAGATGATAACAAACTACATCTTCTGCTAAAATGTTAGGTTAAAAATCCTTGTATAGCATCATGTTCTTTACTTCTTACGTTACTAAGTGTTTATAAAAGAGTTTTTTCCTTCTAAACACAGTTACAATACAAATACAATATAAATTTGCTGAACAATTTATTTTTTATTTTATGAAATAGTTATAATTATTGCCAAAACAAATTCTGTTTACATGTAAACCTATAAATGGTTTTAAAAGTCTTACTAAAATCTTTTTTTTTAAATAAAGGCTTATATTACTGATTGTGGCCTTTTATTACCTCTCGTTTTACTTTGGGTAAAATAAACAAAGAAAAGAATGTTTAATAATGATTAAAAGAAATAATAATTCTAATAAACATTCTTGCCTGGTGTATTGACTATTGCCATCTGTTCTTTCATTGGGGGGGGGGCTCTTATTTTGTAGTGTGAGTGATCCAGAACTGACCATCCAACATCAGTACCTGACCTCACTAATGCTCAATCAAATCCTCACAGCGATGTTCCAGTTTTGCAACAACAAACTACATCCTCTACTAAAGTGTTCGGTGAAAAATCCTTGTATAGCATGATGTCCTTTAAAAACTGAGTTTACAAAGAGTTTTTCCTATCAAACATAGTTACAATGCAAATACAAGACAAATTAGCAAATTATTTACTTTTCTAAAAATAGCTGGAATTATTGCCAAACAAATTCTGTTTACATGCAAACCCATCCATTGTTATTTACTAAAATCTTTTTTTTTTTTTAAATATAGAGGCTTATTTAACAGATTGTGGACTTTTATTATCTCTTGTTTTACTTTGAGTAAAATAATATGTGATGTGGACAAGCTGGGAAAAGAATGTTCAATAATAATAATTATAAGAAATAATATTTCTAATAAACATTCTTGTCTGGTGTTATTGAATGTTGCCATCTGTTTTTTATTTATATATATTTTTTTTTATTTTAGTTTTGAAGGGCACTCTTATTTTGTAATCTGTGATTTAAAACAAAACACAAGGCTGTTTTTTCCAGTTTGAACGAGTATAGTGCACAGTGCTATTAAATGGCTTAATGGTGCAGTTTTCTGCATTTAATTTCAGTTAAAAATGTGACAAATGTGGAAAAAAAAGTAAACAAATGAGAGGCAGCTTTAAAAAAACAACAAAATTTTAATATGTGAAGGCAAAATTTACAGCAGCTATAATTTTACAGTTTTGATGGTACAAACAGTGGATATTTATCTTATAACTTTCAGGATGAACGAAGAATAATGTTGATAATCATATTGCAGATTAATTTATCACAGCAAGCTTTTCATGAAGGCTTCAGTACTTTTGCTACTTAGTGTCTTTGAACACTGAGCGACAGCAAAACGCTGCTTTGTATGATTTTAAAAAATGTAGTTGTTACAGAACATGAGGCTCATTGCAGCTGACCATCGCTGGACACCTCATTCTCCACAACGAGCACCATTAAAGGATAAAGCTCAGAAAAACACACACAAACACACGAAGAAGCACCGTTTTAACAAACATCATATCATACTGTACTCATACTGTACTGTATCAAGCCAGTAACGCTGACATTCCGGTATGTTCTTTCTTTATCTTTTCTGATATCTCCTCTAAAAGATGACGGCTTCATCGTCCTGACAGCTTCCTGAGATCAGCACCACGTTGTCCAGCCCAATTTCTCCAGCGACCAGCTTCCCACGCGTTCCCTCAAAGATGATCTGAGGGAAACAAAACAAAACAGAAACATTCCCTTCAGTTTTAAAGAGTGTCACAAACATCTAATGAAACCACTGATCTGCAGTTCTTTCAGTCTGCACTGGAGCCAGTGTAACTAATACGTGACGCTGCATGATATTCTGTCCATACTGGAACACTGTGACGTTGACATACCATAATATTGTTTTTTTTAGCCATATTTTTAGGGATAGTTGATATTATAATAAGCATTACATCCACAATACATAGCATTTATTTATTTATTTATTTATGTATGTATGTATGTATGTATGTATGTATATATGTTCTGTTTTATGGTCTGTACTGATGGTCTGTATCCAGGACCTGACTGTTAACTGTAATGTATGTAATTTACTGGGAGCTTCAGACAATTTTTAAAAAACAAAAACCATAAAATCTAAATAAACAAAAGTCTCCTTTTCTTTCTCCATTCTGTGTACAGTTTCCTTTTGTGTGATTTAAGAGCGCGAAATAAAACAAAACAGTCAAATCAGAACAAACATTATAGAGTATCAACACTTAGGAAGCTTATTAACTTTATTAATGTTAATGTATTAACTTTATTAATAATGACCTATTCACCTTATTAATACTGACTTAATTACTGTATTAATGATAAATTATTCACTTTATTAATGTTAACTTATAAACTTTATTAATAATGACCTATTCACCTTATTAATACTGACTTAATTACTGCATTAATGCTAAATTACTCACTTTATTAATGTTAACTTATTAACTTTATTAATGCTCTTATTAACTTTATTAGTGCTAACCTATTCACTTTATTAATACTGACTTATTTACTGTATTAATGCTCAGATATTTGCTATATTAATGCTAACTCACTTTAATAATGCTAACTTATTAACTGTATTAATGCACATTTCTTAACTATTAATGACTTTGTAACTTTATTAATGCTGTTTTAACTTTATTAATGCTAACATTTATATTATTGCTGACGTATTTATTAATGCTGATAACTTTATTGATGCTAACTTATTAATTAAATTGATGATAATTTATTAGCATTACTAATGCTAACTTATTAAATTCATTAATGCTGACTTATTAACTTCACTGACACTAACTTATCATCTTATATGGTGAAATATTTGGAGAAATACTGCAATACTGAATCAGTGTTGTCCAGCAGTGCTAATGTGTCTGATGTAGCTGACCATCTCAGGTGCTCTGTCCTTCCAGGTGATGGTGACGCTGTCGGTCTGCCAGTCCTCGTTACGGCTGTGTGCTTTCTCCCACACGGCGTGGTCACTGTGGTCCAGCATCACGCGTAGGGTTCCCACCTGCGGGCCTGCGATTCGGAAACTGAATTTCAGGCAGAATGGGCCCTGCTGGACGAGGTCGGTGAGGAGCAGCCGCAGCCTGGCACTTTCTCTCCGATTACCCACAAGCCCACTGAGGGCCATGTAGTACTGCAGTCCTGAAGAGAACACAAACGTCCAGCTTCAGCAAAACGGAACTCAACTCTGCTGCTAACCAAATCAATAGAATTCATCTTTAAGTAAAAAAAAAATCCAAGCTGTTCCAAACAAATTGTTACAAAGTAACCAAGGCAACACAATCTTTTGTAAATAAGTGTTCTCAAACTCTCTTTGGGAGTCTTTGTTTACATGCAAAGATTTTCTCCAATCTAATTGAATTCAGTCTGATTACAGATTCAGACTGAGTGTTTATTCTCACTCTACTCAACACTCTGATGAAAATCTCCATTTACATGCTAACTACAAGTAATCAGATCCAAAATTATGCACATGCATAGAGAACCACTTAGTGCTGATGTTACCATGACAACCAGCATCACGTGAGTCCGGTCAGAGTGAGATGAGCAGCAGTGAGCAGTGCTTGTGTTTTTAATCACTTTAAAATGATGTCAGACTCAGGAAAACGTCCTTCACATGTCCTTATTAAAGAAGGCCGAGAGGAAGACGTCGTGTTCTGAGACACATAAGCTGGACGTCCGTCCCACCGCCGTCTTTTAAAGACCAGAGCATAAACTTCGTCTCCTCTGCAGACCAGTTTCTGCTCCGCCATGTTGAACGGTATAAACTTTCACTATGACGCGACGAACATGATCAGAACGGACTTAAACTTTCCGATAGGGAATGTAATCAGATACAGGCATTTACACGGATATTATTCTTCTATTTAACGGATTATTTACAGGATTACCCACCTCGATCAGTCGGATAGAAAATGTATTGCTAATGGCTTCAATCAGACTAGACTATTCCGACTGAGCTATTATTCAGATTATTAACGGATTATTAGGCTGCATGTAAACATGGCTAGTAGCTCCAGTAGTGTTGCACAGTTGGCATGTAGAGAGATTTCACTTAACATGAAGTTTTTGGTGACCAACTACAAAGGTTACCATTTGTGAGATGATCAAAGTTATGAAATATATAAGCAGATATTGATGTAAATACCCAATATCCGTACACAGTACCGTTCTCGTGGTATTGGACGGTCCAGTCCAGATCATCCTCCTTGTCCTGCACCCACTCACATGCTCCCGAATCAAAGTTACAGTCGGTCAGCAGTCCTGTTCAGGAACATGTGTGAATATACACCACACTCGGACTGTAAACAGGACGACACTCATAAAGCTGAAAATCAATCTTACTTTCCTGTAGAGGAGCCGCATTGATCTCCTTAAACTCTGCACTGTAGACGGACTCATCTGGAACTGAAATGAAAAACATTTGAAGGGTGTCAACTTGGTTCCTTCTTTAATGTCAAATAAAAAACATTGGGCCTTATTCACCAGCTGTTCTTAAACCGGGGTTACACCACACGACTGTTCCCTGATTTTAGCCCTGAGTCTCAGTCTGAGTCTGAGCTGTTCGGCTCTAGTCTGCAGATTTTTGGGTCAGTCGGAGTCGACAGTTGGAGAGAGAGTCGAGTCGTATATGAGGGGCGCAGACTCAGATTTTTGGCCTCCTGATCGCGTTTCAGACCAGTCAGAGTTTATCAAATGTTTGATTTTTTTGACCCGACTCTGAGTGTAATCTAGTGTAAACTGGTCAACAACTCAATCTGAACAGATTCCTGCAACAACCAATCAAAACTGAGAGTGTGAAAGAAGAAAATACAGCAAGTAAACAAAGAAAAAGTGGTGAAAAGTCTCTCACGTGTGGAGCGAAGCTTTTTAGTGAGCTGAGTTTAAGGCACAATCGAGTTTATGTACATTTAAAACTCTAAAAAATACCAACAGATCTCATTTTTAAATCCATGATCCACTTAAACATGTTTTTTCCTGCTGCTTCTTTACTGTTTCAGCGCAAACAATCACCACCGGTGGGCCACCCAGAAAACACTGAGCAAAACGCCAGTGGACCACCAGCTTTGCCATCAGCGGGCTGACCGTGGTCTACTATACTCTTGCTATCAGGGACTGTACTACAATAAAAGCTAAGGCTAACATTGTTTACATGATGCATTGGCCAAAGTCTTGCTTGTGCTACTGGAACTAGAAACTGGCTTGCATGTAACTTTGTCTCCATAATCCAAAATCTCTCACAGATTTATAGTCTAGTTACTGTAAAAAGTCCTGATTAGGCAGAGAAGTTGAGTTTCTCTAATCTTTAACTCTATTATTATATTTTTACAAATCTAACAATCATCAGCACAAGCCAGAAATATGGCACCAAGAGCTCTGCAGGCAAGACTGACCGAGTGAAAGGCATCTGAGCAACGTGTTAAAGGAAATACCCCTGACTAGTTTGCAAATATTTCCACATAAAAATGCAGACGAGGGCTTTGAGAGTGCGAGTGGCTGCTTGCCCATGTGTCAGCCCCCCCTCCCTTTCATTTCACCTGAGACTCAGGTACGCCTGTTCTCTGGCAGAACCAGGTGTAGCTGAGCTTGGCTGAGTGAAACAGCTCTGGCAGGGGGCTTTTGTTAGCAGTGGATTTAAATCCTGATGACAGAGCCTCCAGCCAACAGCTGTTCTGGAGGGCGGTAATAAAAGCCTCGTCGGGTGGGCGGGTGGGGGTTGTTTCCTTAGGTGCTTTTTCGCCTCAGGTGTGGAATTTCCCCCCCCCGTGGCTGATGGATGTCTCAGGCCTGTCTCCTCTTGCTCAAGGAGACCGACATAAGCTCCAAGACAAAGACTTGAACCTCTTTAAATCGTGGAGCGTCTCGCAGAAACGAACTTAGTAATTCCGCAAAAAAAGCAACAGTTTGGTGAATTTTTTTCTGAATTCCCTCCTTTATCCCAAATGTAGTTGATCAGCAAAGGCATACTTGGTGTCTAAAGTCTTTAGCTTTGCATTGGAGGTACAAGGCTGATGTAGTTAAGTAATGCAACCACACTAATTAGCATTGAGAGTTGGGGAAACCATCAGAAACCACATAGAAAGCACAAAAAAAGACCAAAACATGACATTTTTGGTTAGGCTAACTCAGCTAAGCTAAAGACTGAATGCTGTATTCTGTGATTTTACTTACAGCTCTAATCATCGCCCCGGTTTTAACTCTGAACGCAAAGCTAAACCCGCACAGCTCCAGCTCAGTGCGACTCAGGAGATGCAGGAACGTTTACACTAAGCTGCTGTTGTGTCCATAAATGATGCAACATTTAATAAAGCTGCATATTTGGTTGCCACAAGGAAATATTAAAGCATAAGCCGACAGCGGCTTCAGGTTATTCAGTTAAACGTGTAAACATCGTGTCCTTCTATACTAGATATTTTTCCATGGAGACTGCGGCAGGTAGAGGTGGGAATCGCTCGGCACCTCACGATTCGATTCGATTATGGTTCAGAGGCTGCGATGCGCTTATAAATCGATTATCGATGCATCTTTTTTTTTATACAGGATTTTTTCTCATGGTACTTTTACAGCAAAGTGTTTGTAATGATCCATAATGAATTTACTTCTTGTATCTTTTATTAATAAATCAAACGGAAGTGATGTGCCAAGTGAACTGGAAGGCTCTCATTCACTGCTCTTGTTTGGAGACGCTGCTGCCACTCATCTGTGATAAAATACGCCGCTACGGTGAAACAATGGATGGTAATGGATGTCCACGCAGCCTATCACAGCTATTCTACCAGTTTTATTCAGTGATTTCTTAATCTCGGTTTTGGTCTCGTTGTAGAGAGCGGGGGGGGGGTCGCTGTGTCAGTAAAATATCTTTGAGACTGGACGATGTATCTCGGCTCCAATGTGTGCAACACAGCACGAAAGCCCTGGTTCTTAAAGACTGGACGCAAATCCTTGGCAATAAAAGTTGCGATAGAGTTTGTAATTCGCTTCCAAGTTGGGGGGAAGCTTTGACATCACTTACTCAATGGTCCTCTGGTTGGCAGCAACTACAACCGGGTGGAAAACAGGTGGAAACATGTAATATGGCTTCTTTTGTTTATCGTTTCCAAAATATTTTGGTTTAGTGTGACACAACTGGCATATAGTGTGGCTCCCGTCCAGGTCCTTTTTCCCTACATCTCCATAGAAGCCAAAGTGCTTCCATACACTAGCCTTTAATGCAGAGGCTGGCGGTCGGATTTCTCGCTCATCCGTTTTGTCTTTATGTGCCGCCACAGACTGTCCGGGTGCTGCTCTTCCGCACTTCCAAGTTCCGCCTTTTGCGTTCCATCAACGTTATGTTATAAATTAAATATTTAGAAAATCGATTTTTAACATTTGTGAATCGATTCAGAATCGTTCATGTCCGCATCGCGATGCATCTATGAATCGATCCCCCCTCCCCCCCACACCCCCACCCCTAGCAGCAGGCTGCTGTTGCATTTCCATGGCAGCAGGTTTATAGATTGGCTCTGAACATGTTATGGTGAGGGGCACATTAGTCAGTTGTTTCTAGTGACTTGATTTGTGGTACGACCAAATTTAGCTAAATTATGGTTAACTAGTGGTAACTAAATACTTAAAGACTTTTAAGACGTACAAACTTACGCAAAACCGGTGCAACCCAGTCCAGAACCTCAGATTGTCAGAACATGGGCAAATCTTTTACTGTCACAGCTGTTACGTTTTATTATTACAGCCAATTAATCAATTATTAGTCAATTAAATCACATGAATAATCAACCATGTATAAAAAACCTGTTTGTTTTGGCAGCCCTGTTTGAACGGCCCCACTGCTCTAAAAAAAGGCCCGGCTAGGTCCTCTCTGACAGGTTGACGGATCAGTTCTGCCACTCCTTGGCTTTCCCAGGCCTCTGTCTCTTTGGTGAGCTTGACCCCACAGACCCTCTTTTCCCTGCAGTAGCTCACGCTTGCCTTCACTTGCAATTTAGAGGCGACAGTCTAGAGTTTCCTATAATGAGGAGGATATACAGGGTGATCCTTTTACCCTCACAAAAGAGAAAAGGGTGCATTTAAGAGGCTGTGAACACCACGTTACATCGAAAGTGTCACAGTGAATTAACAGGCAGAACATAGAACACTTGTTGTACTTTTGGTTTGCTAACACCTGATGATTATTAGACTTTAAGGTAGAATTTGAGATGTGAATGATTCACCACTGACTGACAAATAAACAATAGTTTGACCAAAGCTATCAGTTAAATTATTTGCCGTAATGTTTATTTCATTTCCAATAAACAGCACTTCCCATTTGTATAGGCGAGTTTATCATTCAAGAACTTTAGAATATAGAACTTTCAGTGGCTCATTATACACTGGTCAGGCATAACGTTATGACCGCCTCCTTGTTTCTACACTCATTGTCCATTTTATCAGCTCCACTTACTATATAGGTGCACTTTGTAGTTCTACAGTTACAGACTGTAGTCCATCTGTTTCTCTGATACTTTGTTAGCCCCCTTTTACCCTGTTCTTCAGTGGTCAGGACCCCCATGGACCCTCACAGAGCAGGAACTATTTGGGTGGTGGGTCATTCTCAGCACTGCAGTAACACTGACCTGGTGGTGGTGTGTTAGTGTGTGTTGCGCTGGTCTGAGTGGATCAGACACAGCAGTGCTTCTGGAGTCTGTAAACACCTCATTGTCACTGCTGGACTGAGAATAGTCCACCAACCAAAAATATCCAGCCAACAGCGTCCTGTGGGCAGCATCCTGTGACCACTGATGAAGGACTAGAGGATGACCAACACAAACTGTGCAGCAGCAGATGAGCTATCGTCTCTGACTTTACATCTACAAGGTGGATTGACAAGGTAGGAGTGTCTTCGGAAGGCAGCATAAGGCAGCTGCCTTCTAAGGTGCCTTATTTTGACCAAATCTGAAGGCAGCATAGCATTAACCTTTACTTGTGAATTCTGAAATACACATAAAAATGGTTTCATGATTTTTCGTATTTAAATTTTTTTGGGGAAAAAAACTGAGCAAGCATACTTTGCATTTTGTTGCCTTAAGGCAACAGCATGTGACAATAAAACAGCCACATTCATCATCCAGGTCTGAAAAAAAAAAACATGCATAACAGCTGTTTACCAGCGTTTTACCAGCAAATGTTTGGGTGACCCCAAAAAGTAAAATAAAGTTTAAACAGATTTTCTACAGAAAACTGCAAATTTTATTGCACAATTCCAATTTATTTGCCAAGTTTAACATATTTGAAAAAAATTACATATAAAATATAAAAGGTGACTTAATTCTTTTATGTTATGTTGCATGTTTTTGTTTTTTTTTGCAAACATGTTCAACTCAGCAAATAAACAGTGGACCACAGCGAAAGCCCCCCGTACCTCCCACATTCAGCCAGCTAAAGATGCGTTCACGTCTGTTGCCGCACTGGAACAGTGCTTTATAGAACACAGAGATGTATGAATATAATTATGATAAAAACATTGACTTTAAATGTAAAAATGTTATAAAAAAGTGCCCAATTTGTCTTATAGTGGTGCATTAATTCACTCTCATTATTAGCACACTGTAGTTCCATTGTCACATGCTGTTGTCATATGGCAACAAATATATTTTATTATTTTAGATAGAAATATGAATGAAATATGAAATTGTAACATTCACACAGACTGTGTGTCAATTATTTCTTGTAATTGTTGTGTATAAAACAGGCTTTGAGAGTGTTTCAGACGCCAGACCATGTAATGCCTGTGTGATATATGAGAAAAGAGGCACAGGCTGCAACAGGAAGTCATGTGAGCAGAACAACGTGTAACATTTTACACATCAGGCCTTTTGGTTCTTAAAAGAATTGAAAAATTGACTTCAATGTTGTAGCTGAGCGAAAAAATACAATAATGCAATTGTTACCATACGGCAACATCATGCAGGGAAAGGTTAAATCCAACAATAGTCCAAAGATCTATTCTATGATCAGGAGAGGGAAAGAGTTCTGGCAGGTGCTCAGTATATTTCAAGATAGTCTCCTGCACTGTTAGAAATAAAGGTTCTGTTCAGGTACATTTTTCGTTCATCAAGGTACAAACAGTGTAAATGTTCCCTCAAAGCTCCAACAGTGGTTTTAAGGTCTGATTGTGAACCTTAAATAAGTGTTTTCCAGGTGAAAAGTTCGTATTTGTACCTTTTCATAACCGAATGTTTTAAACAGAACAGTAAAATAAAAGCCTGGAGACGAGACGGGGTGTGTGGAGTCAGTACAGCTTAGAACATATCATTTCAGTGGATTATGGTTCAGTTATGTTCCCTGACTAAAGGTACTGAGATGAACCCTTGAGGGTTCCACTCCAGTGATAAGAGGGGAACTGACCCAGAGACATGTATGTGCTGCAACACTGTCTGCTAATGTAATTAAATGTATTTCCTGTAGTCTTTGGCTGGAACACTGTCCTGCTCTGATCCATAGCCGGCTGTGGTGGTGCATGTAGTGACATGTCCTTAACACGGTAGACCAGACATCCTGACTGACCTCTGACCTTCTACAGAGAAACAGCAATCTGGAAGTTAATGCTAAATCCCTGGAGGGCCTCAAAACAAAGCTAGCCCTGAGAATCTTTCCCTCCTTTTCCTTTGTTGACTCCAAAAGTACTAGACAGCTCTATACTGAGCCAGGCTGCAGTAAATCATGCAATCCCGTTGATAAATGTGGCGGCGGAGGTCGAGTTTCAGTGCTTCCTGGAGGAGCCGAGCCTTCTCACCTCACAGATCTGGAAGTGCTCGCTTAACCCACATCTTCTGCCACAGTTTTAAACAGGAATTCAAAATCTCTGCATAATTAAATGTTTAAGTCCTTCAGTAGTTTCATGTGAAACGCTCCATTCTAGAGATTCAAGTCAGAATTGTTCACAGTGATGGTGATAGGAACCAGACGTTCACCTCTAAAAGCTCCCAGAAAGTTATTAAAGTTACATGAAGTGGTTATGAATTCACTGCCTGATGACTGAGACACTGTTTTATGATGTTTTGAGAAGCTTTTGGCTTTACAATGCATTCATGGTGGAGGGATACATAATATGCAGGGCGTTGTGAGGCAAAATAGTCCCCAGATGTATTTTTTTAGATTTATAACTATTTTACCATCATCAACATTCCATATAAAAACTTGGAGGACATGTAGTTCACAATAAACCACTTGAAATGGCTTTGTTTACATTTCGACCACTGAATTATGGGGTAATAAAAACAAATAAAAATCCCCTTTAAGGTTATTAGAGGTACCTGATGATTGAAATGTGTGAAATTATTACAGTGTAGACTTTTAGTAAACTGCCTTTGTGCTTGGCCACACATTACATCCAGTTAACAGCTAAAAATATTATATATTAATTATATTAGACGGTTATTGGGCACCTGTTAACATGTAAGGCCGATAACATAACTGAGGACAAATCCCAACTCTTTGCTGTCTAATCAAAATCATTATCAGCAAACTTCATTGATCACTCACAGAACACATCTCCTCTGGGGTTCAACTTCTCACCATCCACTTGGTTCCCCTCGTTCTCACCGTCGTCCTCCTCCTCCTCCTCTTCCTCCTCTTCCTCCTCGTCTTTTTCCTGTGCTGGGGAAAACTGGAGCGTCTTCCTCAGAAGGCCCGATGTACACTTCTCCATCGTAATCAAACGGCTGCAGACGAAGCCTGGGTAGCTGGGTCACTTTGGGCTCCGGGATGGTGTTGTCAAACTTCCCGAGAATGCGAGGCCTGGAGGGAGTATCTGGGATCGCTGCAGGGGGAGCCCAGAAGATTACAAATGCACAGTCAATTCCAATACTTGGAAGAAGCTTCCTCTACTTAGCTTCTGTATCACCAACCTTAATTAAGGCTGGGTGTCCCAAAAGCATCGTGTTACAAAGATCAGTTTGAACAGAAATGTTGGAAAGAAGTGATTGTGACCGACTTAATATAAGGCTAAACTATAAATAATGAAAGAAACCAAAACATGCGTTCATCGAGACGCATCATGAGTTTTAGGAAAACAGTAAAACTGCTAACACGTTCGTTTATCTGATGCTTGTTAATGACGCCTTTAGAGGGCGGCGCTGAGCGGCGTTCGTTTGTTTGATGGTTGTTAATGACGACTTTAGAGGGCGGCGCTGAGCGACGTTCGTTTATTTGATGGTTGTTAATGACGCCTTTAGAGGGCGGCGCTGAGCTACGTTCGTTTATTTGATGGTTGTTAATGACGCCTTTAGAGGGCGGCGCTGAGCGACGTTTGTTTATTTGATGGTTGTTAATGACGCCTTTAGAGGGCGGCGCTGAGCGACGTTTGTTTGATGGTTGTTAATGACGCCTTTAGAGGGCGGCGCTGAGCGACGTTTGTTTATTTGATGGTTGTTAATGACGCCTTTAGAGGGCGCCGCTGAGCGACGTTTGTTTGTTTGATGGTTGTTAATGACGCCTTTAGAGGGCGGCGCTGAGTGACATTTGTTTGTTTGATGGCTGTTATTGACGCCTTTAGAGGGCGGCGCTGAGTGACGTTTGTTTATCTGATGCATGTTAATGACGCCTTTAGAGGGCAGCGCTGAGCGGCGTTTGTTTGTTTGATGGTTGTTAATGATGCCTTTAGAGGGCGGCGCTGAGCGACGTTTGTTTATTTGATGGTTGTTAATGACCCCTTTAGAGGGCGGCGCTGAGAGACATTCGTTTGTTTGATGGTTGTTAATGACGCCTTTAGAGGGCGGTGCTGAGCGACAGTTGTTTGTTTGATGGTTGTTAATGACGCCTTTAGAGGGCGGCGCTGAGCGACGTTCGTTTATTTGATGGTTGTTAATGACGCCTTTAGAGGGCGGCGCTGAGCGACGTTCGTTTGTTTGATGGTTGTTAATGACGCCTTTAGAGGGCGGCGCTGAGAGACGTTCGTTTGTTTGATGGTTGTTAATGACGCCTTTAGAGGGCGGCGCTGAGAGATGTTCGTTTGTTTGATGGTTGTTAATGATCTGTATTTTTACAGTTTGCTAGAGTTTACCAAGGTAACACTGGTGTAAATAACACTAATGTTATTAGCTTGAATGCTAACACTGCCCCATTTTTGAGAACTGCACCATTAAATTTGAGATGCTCTTGGGTTACAGCAGTCTTTACAATGCTTCTGAGAAACCCCCTCATGAAGGGTGGTCTTTTTTGTAAATTTACAGGTAATACTTAAAAAGTATTACTTTGGCATCTCATGTAATGCTTTAGGGTAATGCTTGGGAACAGATCTGGTCTCCATGCTATATGTAGATCTTGATTTTAAAGCCAGCAAATTTAGTCTTGATTTAAATCATGCCAGTTTATCATGACACACCAAGTAGAGGAGAACAAAAATGCTTATGTTTTTTCTCTTTCTCAGCTTCTGGCAGCTAAATGTCAAACTTTTGACTGTGTATTCTGAAATAATTACTTGTTTCTTCAAAATTTCGACTTAGCAACTTGAAATAAAGAAATGTCAGAAATTTTACTAAGTATCTTAAAATAATTACTTATTTGTACCAAATTTGGAAATAGTATCTCAATATGATGACATTTTCTCAAAAAATTGTCGTAGCATCTTGATATAATTACTTATTTTCACAAAATAGTATCTCAGAATGATGATTTATTTTATCTAGAAATTTAACTTAGTATCATAAATAATTACTTAATTTCTCTAGAAATTTGACTTATCATCTCAAAATAACAACTTTTCTTGCTCAGAAATTTTACTTATCTTGCAATTTTGTTATTAAGACGAAATCTCGACAATTTAAAAATAAGAAATTATTTTAACAACAAGTAGTTATTTTCAGGTAAAGTCGAAGTTATATGTCATTATTTTGACACAGTAAGTCAAATTGTTGACAGGCTGCTACCAGAAACAGAGAGACAGAGAAAACACAGGTGTGATTTCTGTTTCCTCTATCTGGCTGGAATGGGCTTTCTGTAACAAGCAGTGCAGTGTGGAGGATCTGCGGTGCAGTGTGGAGAGAGCGGTGCAGTGTGGAGGATCTGCGGTGCAGTGTGGAGAGGATCTGCGGTGCAGTGTGGAGGATCTGCGGTGCAATGTGGAGGATCTGCGGTGCAGTGTGGAGAGGATCTGCGGTGCAGTGTGGAGGATCTGTGGTGCAGTGTGGAGGATCTGCAGTGCAGTGTGGAGAGAGTGGTGCAGTGTGGAGGATCTGTGGTGCAGTGTGGAGGATCTGCAGTGCAGTGTGGAGAGAGTGGTGCAGTGTGGAGGATCTGCAGTGCAGTGTGGAGGATCTGTGGTGCAGTGCGTAGGATCTGCAGTGCAGTGTGGAGGATCTGTGGTGCAGTGCGTAGGATCTGCAGTGCAGTGTGGTATCATGCGATCACAGAGCAGAAAGTCAGCTTTGGATGAAGCACATACTAAACAGCAAGCTAGTGTTTGGCAATGCTGGGTCTCGTGGTACAAAGCAGCAACACGATCTGCTAATGTGAGGTCAGTCTTGCTTTCTGCCCTGAGTTAGAAACGGCATAGAAACTGTTCTCAAGCCAGAACGTGGGGTTAATATCTGCAAAAGGAGAACTGGACCCAGACGCAGCAATCAAGCCAGAGTCTCCGTGCTGCCTCACCATTAGGAAACTCGTCTGCACTGCCTTTGTCTCCGTCCCAGGAGCTGCGATAAAAAGGCTTTACTACAGAAAACAGAGAAAGTCTTCATTCACACAGAGCTCCTCTGGTGCTCGAGGCATTTCTGAAAGAATCAGCCGTCTCCTCTAGAACACTGGGAGAACCGAGATAACCGGGATGACTGAGGTTCTTGCTGGGACTCTCTCTCGACAGATAACACGGACGTGTCTTTGCCCACGTGCTCCCATCACTGGGTCGGGCACAGAGCAGATATTTACACAGGTGGGATTCCAATCGCGGGCCTTTCCCTTCCCTCCACATCTGCGGAGTTCAGGAGGCTCCAAAAACAGGAAACGGCTTTTGGCAGCTCAAACTCGCTGCGTCCCTTTATGAAAAATATAGCCTCTACAGTGAAGGATGTCAGAGGGACCGCTGAGAGAAAAGAAACTCTCACTCATGAAAGTACCGTTTATAACATTTACTGTAACAGTCACTTCACTGTCATCAGCAAAAATCAGCAAAATCATCCCAAATCTGTCCATTTCTTATTTTGAGATTTTGTAAAAAATATTATAAGACTAATTAACTTATTTCTAAACTTTTTTGTCCTTGTTTTAAGTATTTTTTCTAGTGCACGTCTTACTCCATTAGCAAATAATTTTGCTTGTTTCATTATTTTTTTTTTTAAAAAGCAAAGATATTTGCATTAGGCTACATTATCTGCATTATTTTTGAGAAAAAACAAACATATCTGCATTATTTCATGAAAAGAAGCAAAATTATCTGCATTATTAAAAAAAAATAAAAATATCGGCATATTTCCTGATAAAAAAGCAAGCATATTTGCATTATTTCTGAAATGAAACATTATATCATTGAAATGAGCAAAATTATACACATTGTTTTTGAAAAAACAAAAATATCTGCTTTATGTCTTGAGAAAAAGTCAAAATATTTGCATTATTTCTTGAAATAAGCAAAATGAATCTGCATTAATTCTTGAAATCGGCAAAATTATCTGCACTATTTCATGAAATTAGCTAAACTTTCTGCCTTATCTTTTAAAATAAGATATATTATCTACATTTCTTGAAAAGAGGTAAATCATTTGGCAGTGGTATACAACGCTATATAAAACGACTTTAAAACAAGTAAAAAAATGTCTAGAAATATATAAAATTAATCTTATAATATTTTTACATCAATCTCAAAGTGAGAAATATTAGATATTTAGTCTAGATTTAAGATGATTTCACTTGCGAAGGAGTGCTTTACTTCCTGCGTCGGTCCAAAATGTTGGCGGAACCCTTACCTGAACAGTCGAACCCGCTGCCGCGGAACCCCTGCTTGCACTTGCACTTGTAGGACCCCTGTGTGTTTATACACTCTGCATGGCGGCTGCATTTATGCGTGTTGGACACGCACTCGTTAACGTCTGAAAGGTAAAACACGCTCAGATGAGTAACTGACTGAATATATGCGTCGTACACTCAGAGAACACGAACACGGGTTCTTCTTACCCACACAGTCGTATTTGCCGTTGACGTATTTGAGGTCGTATCCCCCCTGGCACTTGCAGTAGTAGCTCCCGAAGGTGTTGACACACTGCCGGTTGTATGGACACTGGTTCTTTCCGGTCACGCATTCATCAATGTCTGACAACAGAAATGGGTTTAGCAGTTGCCTCATTGCTGGGCTGCAGGTTTACAGCCTCCTGTCACTTTTTAAACAGAAATCAGGCCCATTTATGTAAGAAGTTTCTACTGAGCCTTTGAATTATTTGAGGTAGTATGTTCTCCATCTTCCATAAACAGCTTTGCTGGCTCTGAATCTTAAGGGGAACCTATTATGCTCATTTTCAATGTTCATAAGTTTATTTTCGGGCTTTACTAGAATATATTTACACTTAAATGTTCCCGAAAATACATGGATCCGGTCAGCGTCTTTGCCACACGCTACAACACTGAACACACTCCTTCTCCTCCAGTAGCCGCTGTGCACTGTGTGAGGGGGCAGAGCAAGCCGGTAGGTGGGCAGTAAGGACTGTGTTACACGATTGAGTCATCCTGTAACGAAGGAAAAGGGCTGGAATTCCAACAAGGCGTTTCAGGCAGCTGAGAAAAGTGGGTTCTGTGGGAGAGAGGTTCTCCTTCTGGAAGGAACGCTGGGCTTTGGGACTTTGCAGAACGTTTACATACACAAAAAGCTACATAACACACTAAAGGAAAGAGAAAAACCGGAAAAGCATAATAGGTCCCCTTTAACTGTTGCCCTGACACCATGCTTCCTACTAACTTTAAAGGAGAACTGATTTCTGGGTAAGTCCTGGATAAGAAATAGATTGGTAAGTCATTCAGAGTAATTTGGTGTGAAATACTCTGTTCTGGAGAACCAGACGTCCACCTCTAAAAGCTCCCTCACAGAAAGTTCCTACATGAAATGGTTATGAATTCACTGCCTGATGACTGAGACACTGTTTTATGATAGTTTTGAGAAGATTTTTGCCTTAAACTCCAACAAGGACAAACAGTGCAAAGAACATTGACGAAAAGCTATTTGGGTGCTAATGGCACCCCCTTGTGGATAATTTTCAGCTTGCTGAAGGTGAGTGAGTGAAGGTGTTGCAGGCCAGTTCCTCAAGGTGCTTCACATACGAAAAAGCACCATAATACAGTTTAGCAGTATATTGAGCAGCTGGAAATGTATTCATAAATAGAGATTATAGGCTACCAGACTGTTTTAGAGACCTGATCTGTGAATAATGGCAAAATATTGTCACTGTTGTAACAAAACCTCATATTTCTGAAATTACAGCTTAATAAGAGGAGAAAAAATGTACTTCCATGTAATTTAAGCTAATTTCTGTGGGTATATTCACTGCAACGTTTACTCACAATGTTAAGGAAATGGAAATGGGTTATGAGGTTTAGATTTGATGTGGATGTGAAAGCCGTGTTGCCAGGTAAAGTAACGGGTTGTCATGGTAACGGACGGATTTAAGAGGTGAATGAGTGCTGCCTCTGTAACAGGGCTGAGCTCACCCGCGCAGGTTTTCCCGTCTGGGCCGAGCTGCAGGCCAGCAGAGGGACACAGGCAGCGGATTTCCCCCTCAACCTCCTCACAGCCGTACTGACAGTGAGCCAGAGCGCACGTCCTGGAGTCTGTACAACACAACACAGCACAACACAGCACATTAACACACTGTCGCCGCCGACCACAGCACTGAGAGGCACATTCACCTCAGACCTGGCCTGAAGCAGAGGCGGGCAAAGTACACTAATCCAGTACAGAGTGAAGCAGAGATATTACTGCAGGAGCAGTGAAAGTGCTCTGTTTACATTTTTACCTGGGTGAAAGTACAGAACTTGATTTTAAATTCACTCAAGTATCAAAAGAAAAAGTATTGAGAGATATTCATACAATCTGGCATTTCTATTCATGCGTGTTTAGTTTAGTTAAAGAGTCAAATTTTACTTCCTATCCAAACGTCTGTAATATTCTAGTTAGAGTCAATATGATTAAGCTATTTAAGCAGTAGAACACAGAAGGAGTGTGTTATCGCCAATAACATCACAGCCGTGATGTTATTGGCGATAACACACTCCTCGAGTGTTCTACTGCTTTAATACAACAGTTAAATAAATACAGTAATAAATTAATAAACTGGGCCGTGAACGCGGCGTTTAATATGTTTTAATGTTCGCAGTTCCTTCACCAAATTATAGTTCCTTAACGAGCAGCTTGTTGCTACGTCAGAGTAACGAGCTCCCCCCACTCGCTGCTCAGCCAGCAGTTCGTTCTCCAGCTCCTTACACTAAATTCCCAAACTGTCATCACCACTGAGCAGCTTTTCTGTTTCTTATTTAGGCAGTTTTATGGCTCAGTCTGATTTGGTCAGACTCTGAAGATCAGACTACACGTTTGGCGAATGGTATTCGGTTCATGTCTGGCTGATTCCAGGTTGTTTAGGTGTTCTCGTTGCTTAGCAACGCCGTCTCAGCGGAGTGATACAGTGTTTGTGAAAAAAAACGTGATGTTATGGTGAAATAACAGCACAGTTAGAACACTTCTCAACCAATCAGCTCGCATGGCCGAAACTAACTGTTGTATAAAGTGGAGCTAAAACAAAGTAGAACCTTATACGCATGAATTAGCATGGTGCTAATTGTATGTTAAATCATCACACACTTGCCTCAAACTGTAATGAGTAGTCTCTTATGGACTGATTGGACTTCAGTTTTCAGGGTAGGGCTTTAGTTACAGGTGCGCTATGATTGGTTTAATTTATTTGTGAAAGAGCTTCGTATTCTTTCATATTTCATATTTTTTCTACTGAATTAGTTCAATCTTTTGTCCCATAGTAAAAAAAAACAGTTAAAAAACTCAATAAATTATTCATAGCTTAGATGTGTATAAAGATTATGTTATGATCTACTTAAACCCAAGGTATTAACTGGGATATTAATAAGCTAAATATGTATGAAATCATCATTTTTATGATTTTACTTTCTATCTGGAGGTGGCTGTCCCAAATGCTATACCCCTACATTTCAATATGTAAAAATAATATTTACATTTTCCTTGTTTTTTCAGTGTTTTTTTTAAAGGTCTTTTTGATTTAAAGTGAAGCTGAAATATTTATTTATTTATTATATAATATTTATTTATTTATTATATATTTAAACTTTAAAAAGAGTTTTAGTCTGTAGGCGGAGCCTTATTTTAGCCATGGCCCTGTATTTAAGAGCAGGAAGTGAGGCTGCATCCTGGAGGCTGGTGAGCAGTTAGATCCCATTGTTTTGGAGTAAATGTGTCCCAAAGTCTGAAAATCAGTGTCTAATATGAAAAACTGTCACTATCAAAACACACTTTTATTGCAAGTAAGTAAACTTTTTTGTAGTTTAGTGATTTTGTCTGTGTACAGCCGTTTAAAGTTGTGTTTACCAGTCATGTACTGGTTAGCAGTTTTGAGTTATGATCAAAATTAGCAAAAATTGTCACTACCGAAACAATAATGACTAAAACATTTGGTAAAGTCTCAGTAATGTTATGATTGTTTTGGTAGTGACAAAATGAAATGCTCGTTTGTTTCATTTGTTGGAATCATCATTTGTTTAAATAAAATTAGGTATAGGGTCACTCAAAGCAAAAAGATTTTAGTCTAAAGTCCAAAAAGGTTAAAAGTCTGAAATGTGTTTTGAGCTCTGACTTTGAACCGATTCAGAAGAATGAGCCATACTGTGAAAAATATAGCTTTTACTCCACAAGATCATGCAGAAAGTAGGAGAGTAAAAAACAGGATATTTTACTGTAAAATCTAGCGGGTGAAAAGTTTATATACTACAAGGCTACAACTACTAAAGAGATAGTTTAGCAAAACAGAAAATGTACAAAATCTTACACCAAATGCAGTTGATCAACTACGACCTGTTTGGTGTCGGAAGTTTAGTTTTGCTAAATAGAGTTGACACGTAATAGAACCTTATGCGCTGGAATTAGCATGGTGCTAACTGCGCGCCTAAATCATCACACACATGCGTCAAACCATAAGTCTCTTATCAACTTGATTATGTGGTGTCTGACCCTGTATGACACACTGTTGTCTATAAACATAGACTAAAGTACAGTGAACTCTCCATGTCTGCAGTTCTACAAACCACCAGTTGGGCCGTCAGTGTGATAATAACGGCCACTTTATGGTGGTTCATCTTCATATGTTCACCTTCCATGTTGAGATAAGTGGGCACTCACTTGCACAGGAGCCGTCGGGCATGAGGGTGTATCCGTTCAGGCAGTAGCACATGTAGCTGCCGAACGTGTTCATGCAGCGGTGTTCACACGGCCGAGGCTTCAGACCGCATTCGTTCAAATCTGCAGCCAGAAAGAACAACAGCGAGAGGTCAGTAACAGAATAGAGAAGAAGAGAGACGAACATGACCTCAGAGAACAGGACAGGAAACGGGCAAGTAGGTGAATTTCAAACTAGGAATGAACTAAATGACCATTATATTATAATTTATAACATTATACTTTTAAATCCATTTTTATTTAGGTTTCTTTCATATTTCAGCTTTGTTTCAGTTCATTTTAAGGGCGCTTTAAATGGTCCATATCATGGGAAATAAAGGAGTTTGAAGAAATATGTAAACATTGTAAACAAAGGTTTAACACACACACATTCACTCCCCTGTCCATACCGTCCATATGGGGTCACTAAACTGCAAAACCAGCCCGTTTTGAATTCACTGTTTCTGTGATGAATCAACTTTACATACACCGAACAGGCGTAACATCATGACCACCTCCTTGTTTCTACACTCAGTGTCCATTTTATCAGCTCCACTTACTATATAGGTGCACTTTGTAGTTCTACAGTTACAGACTGTAGTCCATCTGTTTCTCTGATACTTTGTTAGCCCCCTTTTACCCTGTTCTTCAGTGGTCAGGACCCCCATGGACCCTCACAGAGCAGGTACTATTTGGGTGGTGGATCATTCTCAGCACTGCAGTAACACTGACGTGGTGGTGGTGTGTTAGTGTGTGTTGCGCTGGTCTGAGTGGATCAGGCACAGCAGTGCTGCTGGAGTTTTTAAACACCTCAGTGTTGCTGCTGGACTGAGAATAGTCCACCAACCAAAGTGTCCAGCCAACAGCGTCCTGTGGGCAGCGTCCTGTGACCACTGATGAAGGACTAGAGGATGACCAACACAAACTGTGCAGCAGCAGATGAGCTATCGTCTCTGACTTTACATCTACAAGGTGGACTGACAAGGTAGGAGTGTCTAATAGAGTGGACAGTGAGTGGACACAGTGTTTAAAAACTCCAGCAGCACTGCTGTGTCTGATCTACTTGTACCAGCGCAACACACACTAACACACCACCACGTCAGAGAAACAGATGGACTACAGTCTGTAACTGTAGAACTACAAAGTGCACCTATATAGTAAGTGGGGCTGATAAAATGGACAATGAGTGTAGAAACAAGGAGGTGGTCAGAATGTTATGACTGATCGGTGTATATCCAGCAGTGTAGCCCCGCCCACTCCCAGCAAAGTTATAAGGAGTGTTTCAGCTCTGAGTGCTTTCTGAATGAGGCACAATACAAGACAGCCAATCAGAACAGAGCTACATGTGTTGTAAGTATGCCTGCTCTCCTCCTACAGCAGTGATGCAGATCTCTGAGTGAGATTTTCCATTGTCCCTGATAGCAAGAGGACAGTGAACCACTGTCGGCCCACTAATGGCAAAGCTGGTGGTCCACTGGTGTTTTGCTCAGTGTTTTCCAGGTGGCCCACTGACGGTTAAGCAGAGTAATAGACAAAATTCCACTTATCATCACTCATTTTGCACTCACAGTCCAATTTACTGATTTTTCCTTCCTTCCTTTCTTTAGTTATGGGTCATTCTACAGAAACGTCCACTTTTCTATCTGTCCATAGGAGTCACTGGTGTTACTGATCCTCATTGGTGTTACACATAATAAAGGAACACCAGAGACATTTTTAATGAACAATGCATTTTACAAAATGGCTGCTACAGACCATCAAACCACACGTTGTCAATCATGGAATATCCACTAAAATATGTAATTTAATCCATTTGTATTCTATTTTTTCACAGTTACCTCAGAATAAAGTCGGGTCACACCAGAGACTTCAGCTAAAAGCTTCATATGAAATCATGAGCTAAATGAGAAAATCTCTGATAACTGAAAGACTCAGTGGACTCACCATGAGCTTTTCTTCATAGATCCTCAGAAAACAGGTAAAAGGAAGTCGAGTGATGTCATCAGTGTGACTTTTATTTCAAAATAAGAGATTTTTGTTATTTTGCAGTAACACCAGTGACACGACTCCTGGGGACAACAACTTTCATTATATATTTTATAATATTTATTTGGCATTTCTTTTCTTTATTCATTTAAATCATATATTCCATAGTCATGTAGAGATTATTGCAGTTAAAATTGCAGAAAAATGTGTTTTTACCTCAAAATATGGCCTCAGCCTTCACACATGACTGTGAGGACGAGCTCTTCTGTGGTGCTTGGAGTTCTAGATAATTGATTTAAAAACCAATGTTGCTAAATTGAGGCTCAAGAAGGTGTAATTAAAATAATGTATTGTTTTATTTTAAAATATAAATAAATTGTAACCCAAGTGTAATATATCTGTAAACGCCAGGGACACAAAAATAGACGTTTCTGTAGAATGACCCATATACTTTGTAAATTAGTTTAGTAAATCATTTTAATCCAGGACAGTGTCAGCAACGACATTTTCCATAAAATCATTTTATTTTAGACCTAGTCATTTTTTCTGTCAGTTGTTTGTAATATTTTCTTTTATTTTCTAAAATAAAAGTCTCTGTGCATTTAAAATCTTTGAGGAGATTAAAAACTAGTTAGAGCTTGTATGCAGGACAGTAATCTGGGTGGTCCGATGGTGGACCAGCAGCTGCAAACAGGCAATGGTGTGCCGACCTCATCAAGCCAGTGGACCAACATATGCTGCTATCTGGGGTAGGACAAATTGTTAGAACACTGTCTCACTGATGCTGCACTGAGGCAAGTTTAGAGGACACAGATTTAAATCAAGCTGAGTGAAATCGAGTGACTGGAGCTGCAGCAGCAAAAAGACAATATTACTAAACTTACAGTGGGAGCTTATTTTTATTTCTGCTTTGCTTCATAATTCATACAGACGGTATGCAGGGTAGTGGGGGAAAGGAGCGTGGTTTATAAATGGGGAGCAACAATTTATACTTTGCATAATCGTGCATATTCATAGATCTTTACATTCTTAATGAGCGTTGAGGTTTGTTGGGCATAACAATAAAACGTACAAATATTCAGCATAGATTGATTTGTTGTGTGTTAAATCATGACTTTAAAGACTGCTATAGAATGAATCTGCTTCAATTTTTGATTTTTGTGTTTTAAAAACATATTTTATGTAGTATTTAGTAATAGTAATAGTAAAACTCTGGTAAGCTTTTCTGAGGATATGATGACAACAGCTCAGTGTTCCAGAACAACTGACAACTCATAAAATAGGCCAAATGAAGGTGAGTTATGGAGAACCTGCAAACAACAATAACAAGGGAATGAATAACTGCATGAACAGGAAAGTAACAAGCACTTTGCTGCTGTCGGTACAAAACCTCATATCTCCAAAATGGTAACTTTACAGGAGAAGGAAAAACATACTTTACTTTTAATGTAAGTCAATGGAACTTTTTTCCAAGTCATTTTGAGTCGTTTCTTTTGGTCCATTTATCATGAAATTTACACACAATGTAAACAGTAACAGCCATTTTCAAATTAAACGACAAAAATGGAGATACGACAAAAAATGAGATACGACAAAAATGGAGATACAAGTTTTTGTTCTGACAACAGCAACTTGTTTGTTTGTACCTATATTATAGTTTAACAGCATTTCATTAAATTTGCTGTTGTGCTGGTGCACTTTGTCAGTTCTAATGACCCCATTAAATAAACAAATAAAATATGAAAACAGTATATTGTGTTGTGTACTGTGTATCACATCAGGTATTGCAACATTACATTTCTGCCACATCGTCCACCCCTAACCACTTATGCTCGTTGGTATATTTTGGTTTGTCCATCTGAATTTACATACCCAAATCATAAGACAAATATTCAGTAACTGAATGAAATAAATGTAAATTTTTGTTTTTTTTGTAAAAGTTCCCCTCAAATTAACAGAACGTGTTTTATGATCTTTGTTTTTTCTTATAAAAATAATTTGTACAGAGCAGATCACTGAAGAGACGCCGTCTGAGATCCAGTTTACAGCCCAGATTTGTGGAAGAAAGGGTCGACTTTCAGTAGAAAAAAAAGTTGCGAGTTCAGCTTCTTATATTATAAAGTTACATTAAAAAATTACATCACCCATCTATTTAGACTGGAAAGAAGACAGTTACAGCCTCATACGACCCCCACCTTTAGAATGTAGCTTATGAAATATGAAAGTTATGAAGTAAAGAATATGACAAAGTGCATTTTGGAACCACCGGTAGTCCCAAGGAGTTAAAGACCTTCTCACTGACCTTGACTGCACGTCTTTCCAGTGTAGCCTGGGAAGCACTTGCACTTGTTTGGACCGACACACTCTCCATGCTTGCAGCCGAATTCACACTGGGCTGGTAAAGCATTCAAACGAAGAGAGAGAGAGAGAGAGAGAGAGAGGGAGAGAGAGAGAGAGGGAGAGAGAGAGAGAGATATTAGGAGGATTTAGAGCAGAGGGTTTACAGCGAGGTCAAGCTGGTCCACAGACGTAAAGCGAAAGCGCACGTTTGTGGAAGCCCAGGCCAATTAAATCCGGTCCCAACGATCGTTTTTCCTTCATATTTCTGTGAAGTTTGAAAGCACAGAACCACAGAAAGGCTTTAAAGCTCATAGCAGAGTCTGTGCTCAGTACACTTTCCCATAGATTATAATAGAAAGAGGAATGAAAAAGTCTGTCAGATGTTTTTAATAATGTACCAAGATTGATCTGTTCGAAATGAACCCGCAACGTAACACAGACATAACCATGCAATTAAAATGACATGGCAGACGTCGAATGTTCTCCTCAAGAAGATCCCATCATCATTCCATTTACTTAGTACCAAGTTTTTAAGAGTCTCATACGCTTAAAAAGATGGTTCTTCAATGATTCTTTAATAAAGAAAATGGTTCTATATAGAACCATGAGCACTCACAGAACCCTTTGCATGATTAAAGTTCTTCAGATTGATGGAGAAGGTGTGTATATGGTTCTACATGGGGTCTATATGACACCAAAGAGTGTGGTTCTTAAATGGTTCTTTGCATCATGAAAGGGTTCTTCAGATTGATGGAGAATGTGCTGTAGATGGTTCTATATAGAACCTTTTTGAAAAGCGTTGTATATAGAACCAAAAAGTGTTCTTCTATTGTAACAAGCCTGACATCATAAAAAAATAAGAACCCTTTTCAAAGAACCATCTACAGCACATTCTCCGTGCAATTTCTACATTTCACCATGCAAAGTTCCCTGTGATCATGTAAAGGGTTCTTTAATTGTTCATGGTTCTGTATAGAACCATTTTCTTTATTAAGGAATCCTTGAAGAACTGTTGTTTTTAAGTGTGTTGTTTAATAAAGGCAATGGTTCTATACAGAACCATTTGTATGCTCAAATGGTTCTTCAGATTGATGGAGAATAGCAACAAAATAGGTTCTGCTGTATTTACGATGTCAAGGTTATAACAACAGAAGAACTGTTTTGGTGCTAATTCATGGCTCTACGTAGAACCACTGCCTTTACTAAACAATGGGAAAGGTAATGGTTTTACAAAAAGAACCTTTAAAGAACCGTCTTTTTGTGTGCAGGGAAAAGTAAGAGGGAGATCCGTTCACTTTGAAATGATAAGGAACCATTAAATGGCTCGAGCAGAAAGCCGATGAGAAGCTGTTTACCTTCACAGTGGCCTTTACTGTTTTTCTTCCAGCCGTAGCAGCACTCCAGCCTGCTGCCATAGCGACATACACCTGCCAGGTTCCCGGCAGAGATCTGTCTGATTTGCCTTGAGGAGAACAGCAAGAGAACACACATTTTCTAAGCTGTATTGACTCCACACACCCCCATGGACCCTCACAGAGCAGGTACTATTTGTGTGATGGATCATTCTCAGCACTGCAGTAACACTGACGTGGTGGTGGTGTGTTAGTGTGTGTTGTGCTGGTACGAGTGGATCAGACACAGCAGTGCTGCTGGAGTTTTTAAACACTCACTGTCCACTCTATTAGACACTCCTACCTTGTCAGTCCACCTTGTAGATGTAAAGTCAGAGACGATAGCTCATCTGCTGCTGCACAGTTTGTGTTGGTCATCCTCTAGTCCTTCATCAGTGGTCACAGGACACTGTTGGCTGGATATCTTTGGTTGGTGGACTATTCTCAGTCCAGCAGCGACACTGAGGTGTTTAAAAACTCCAGCAGCACTGCTGTGTCTGATCCACTCAGACCAGCGCAACACACACTAACACACCACCACCACGTCAGTGTTACTGCAGTGCTGAGAATGATCCACCACCCTAATAGTACCTGCTCTGTGAGGGTCCATGGGGGTCCTGACCACTGAAGAACAGGATAAAAGGGGGCTAACAAAGTATCAGAGAAACAGATGGACTACAGTCTGTAACTGTAGAACTACAAAGCGCACCTATATAGTAAGTGGAGCTGATAAAATGGACAATGAGCGCAGAAACAAGGAGGTGTATAAGTATGAACAAAAAATAATCATAAGCATAAACAAAAATATGTTTACAAAACCAAAACTGATTAATTAATAACATCAGTATTTTGGTGCAAAGGCATTATTGGCAAACACAGCTTCGAGGCGCCTACGGTAAGAATGAATTAGCTTCTTGCAGCCTTGTGGTTCTATTTAGACCCATTTCTCTTGGCAGACTGTCCCCAAAAGTTACAAGCATCCTTCTGAGGGGCTTCATACTCTATACATTTCCAATAGGATTTAAGTACGGAGACTGACTAGGCCTTCACTCTCTTTCTGAAAGCCAGTCTTTAAGTATTTGCCTGTATGTTTGGGGTCATCATCTTGTTGAAACATCCATCGTCTCCCCAGATTCAGTTTGTTGGCCGATGAGATTGAAGTCTCGTCCAAAATCTTGTGGTACATCGCTCCGTTCTTCCTTCCTTTGATGACGTGTTAGGCTAGTATCACGTGCAGAGAAGCAGCCTCATATTGTGATGCTCCCACCTTCGTACTTCACTGTGGCCTTTTTTGGGATCATATCGCTGCTGTCAGAACAAAACAGTGGATCTCCAAAATGAGAACTTTACCGGAGATGTAAAAAACATACCTTACTGTTAATGTAAGTCAGTGTAACCAGACTTTTTTCCAAGTAAATTTGGACCGTTTCTTTTTGTCCGTTCATCATGAAATTTACATACAGTGTAAAGGACAACAGGCATTTTCAGATTATGTCAAAAACGGATGAAAATGGAGCTCCGACAGCAGAGATATGCTCAACTCTTCTTTCTCCAACTATGACGAGCTATATTATCGCCAGAGTCCTATTGTTTGATGCTGAGTATGTTGTTCCGACAGAGTTCTGATTTGTTTAAATGCATGTTTTTCAATGCTTCTGTTTTAGCAGAGAAGTTTTGCGTGGGGTGGGAAATGGAGATGACTGTGGCGCAATTCATGTTGGATCACAAACACCTCTCCAGTTCACCCCAAAGGTACTGGATGGAGTGCTTTCATTCCAGTTAATGCAGTTTCACTTCTCCACAGCCCAATGCTGGGGGGCTTTATACCTCTATGCTAGAAGGACTGTCGGGATACTGTTGGATCAAACTGTATTAAGCAGATAGTATAGTACCACAAATGCCCCACTACACACAGTCTGTCCTGTCCATGCTATTGACATATTGACTAATGGACAAACGGACTGTTGCTGGTGGTTTGTTCATTTGATGTTTACAGCTGTCGACAACAAACTAGCGTCTGAAGGTAACTTAACCCAGCTATGGCCATTACAGATGCCGGCTAGCTGGCCTTCAGGCTCTCCAGGACTAATTACAGCTTTAAACGCTGTGAAGTGGGTAAATGAGCAGGCCAGGACAGGATGTGGGTCAGTATGAGTAACCAGCCCACCATCTCGCCTGTGTTTATGGTATGGAGCTCAAGTGTTCAACAGACGCCTCCAGCGGGAGCCACCATATCCTTTCTTCACCGGGCTTCCGCTGTAATTAAGCCGCGTGCTATACACGGCCACCGTAAATCGCAGGAACAGATGGAATGTGAGCGCGCCGGAGAGGGCTTTGAACAACAGGGTGCCGGGTCGAGCTGAAACCACAAAGGAGGTCTGGGGAAAGTCCAGAATATATTTCTTCAGTAACAGCTACTCTCAAGAACTTCTCAAATGAGAAGAACTTGTTTCGAGGAAAGCATTTTCTCTTCCTCTCCATCGTTTCATACTGTGACTTGGCAAAGTTGTAAAATCTTCCCAAGATTTTATTTAGAAAGATTTTATTTCAGCTGTTTTTGAACTGCTTCTACCGATGTTTAAAGTCAATGAGTGCGTTTACATGCATCCGATAAAGAGGCTGGATTTTAGCTCAGCAATCAGGTTTTTCAGTGCATGTGAACTCTTACTCTGATTTCTTTCATATTTCGCAGTCTGAGCATGTGTGAAAACAGACGGTTGTACCAGAAATAAGCGAGCAGCGTCGCCGCGAGACGCAGCAGAACACTTTTAGAGTGACGCTGAAACCAAATACATGCTTGATGAAATAAAGGATTTAAATATTCTTCATCTTTTAGATCATGTAGGTTCATATTTTCAGGTCATATTTTCAAGTGATGCAATGTTTTAAAAAAGAGCCGCAGCATGAAGTTCGAGTTTTACATTACGTGTACATCACGTCTGATTCTGTGAGCTTTGGCTGGTTGACTGTCTGACTCATGTAGACCCAGAGTTTCCCCATTATTTGATTACTCAAGAGCATGAAAACACACTGAACCAGTTACAGACACAATCTGATTTTCTGCAGTTATTGGAGTTATTAAGTGCATGTAAACACACTCAATGATACTGACAGACCTTTCAAATGATGTTTACTGTGATTGGCTGTTTATTTCTAGATACAGTACTAGATACAGTACTACAGGACTGTTGGGTTTCCAGTTGGTACAGATGAGCAGTGAGATCACTTTCTCTTAGGAAATAATCAGTAAAGTAATCCAATTACAGTTGGAGTGGACTAATTTGTAAACTGTAATGCATTACATTTTTTTGTGTAACTAACCCAACACTGGCCTGGTTTTGCACAGCACTGCATCCCTCAGCCTTATTCGTTTGACAGAATTCACAATTTCATATCAATGCTCATGTTTTTGTTCATCAGTGTTCTCTCACTACACTAATGTAGTACTCTTATTGGACTAGGCTTGATGTCGTAATGAGAATACACATCTGGGGACAAGTTGTTGGAACTGGATTGTGGTGAAATCAGCTGCTAAGAAGGCTATGCTGCTGCTACACCCACCAAACTTCCTCAAGTTCAGCTTTTTTAATGTCTAGACAATCCTTAACACAAACAAAACAAGCTAGTGAAACGCTAACGTTAGCTAATTTTCATCCTTTAAAACTCGATTCTGGGCTCCCGAGTGGTGCACCCGTCTAAGCGTTGGCCCATATTATCAGGAGGTCACAAGTTTGTTCCCTGGTGATGCTACAGCCGTTCGTGCCCAGGAGTCTAGGAGAGCACAGTTGACCTTGCTCTCTCTGGGTGGGTAGGATGGCCCCTCCATTACCCCCGATCACTCAGCGTGATGCTAGCCAGCACAGGTGTCTGTCAGCTGACATAACAGAACTGGTTGTTAGTGTCTCCTCCGAGCGCGTTCGGCTGTCCAATGACGTTGCATTAGAGGCAGTTCGAAAAGATGCTCCACAGAACTCGGAGGAAGCCTGTTTGCTTTCGCTCTCCTGTCATTGGTAGTACTGTGTGATTGGGGGAGTCCTGACTACTGGGTGGAGTTGGATACGACTAAATTGGGAAGAAAATTGGGGAAAAAAAAAAAAACTTCGCTACATCGATGAGCTCGCAACAGCCTTGTTATCTGTCAGACAGTGTTGACAAACCATCGCTTCCTATTTTGATCTCCAAAGAAGTGCTCAGAAATTTGACCCTCAGCTTGTTCCCACCCTCATAAGTCTACACTTATCATATTTTCTCATGATTGTCCCCAAACATTCTAGTTACAAGGCCACATCTGGCCAGAGGTGGGTAGTAACACTCCACATTTCACTGCTGTTGGAACAAAACCTCATATCTCCATTTTTGTTGTTTTTCAGTTTTTGACATAATTTGAAAATGGCTGTTACTGTTTACATTGTGTGTAAATTTCATGATGAATGGACCAAAAGAAACGGCCCAAAATTACTTGGGAAATAAGTCTGGTTCCATTGACTTACATTAAAAGTAAAGTAGGTTTTTTCCTTCTCCTGTAAAGTTACCATTTTGTCGATATCTTCCGTCACCAGTGATTTACTCTGTTATGTTTCCTTAAGTAACTTTTTGAACAAATTGTACTTTTAAAAGTTGTTTTCAAGGGGATACTTTATACTTTTGAGTACATTTGTGAGGCCAAAAATGTACTTTTACTTCTGTACGTTCATCTACATCTCTCCTGTTACATTTTAAAATATTGTTTCAGTTCAACACACATTTTGGGTGCTTCTTTCAAAAGCATGTTACGTAACTCCATTCGCCAGTCAAACGCAGTCATATTATACTGTAAACTACAGGTAGGGTTGTCATTAACAGTGGTGGGCACAGAGGTAGAACCACTGATATTACAAGCTTGACACTGTCGCAATAGAAGAACCCTTTTTGACGCTATATAGAACTCTTTTCAAAAAGATTCTATATAGAACCATCTAAAGCACATTCTCTATCAATCCAAAGAAACATTCATGATGTAAAGAACCCTTTAATCGAGCAAAAACTTCTTTGAGTGTTCATGGTTCTATATAGAACCATTTTCTTAACTAAAGAACCCTTGAAGAACCCAAAATTTGTGTAGCTAAACTAAGAAACCCTGCTTTGTGAAATAGCCCCTCCCCCAGTGTTATTCAGGCTTACACTGCTGTTTATTGCTGCTTCATTGTTTACAACTAACTTACACATACTTGGTACATTAAACTGCACCAACCCCAAACCACTTGCGATGGCAATCAAGAATTCTGGATCCTGAATCTTAACCTACATCCCCCTCCCGCAGGGCTATATTCAGTGGCCAGCTCAGATGTTTCCAGTCCTGAGAGCTTCTCCGCCAGGTTCCTAAAAGCAGACCGGGCTCCAAAGGGCTGGAGGAATCTGAGAGCTGATTGAAATAAACCAGAACAGTCCAAACAGGAGCATGTGAGAAGCTCGACTCAGCTAACAGGTGGCCCACCGGTTATTAACAGTTACCGCGCCACATTTAGCCCCCACCATTCACAGCTCTCACAGCGGCACTGGAGCCGGATTAAGGCTGTAATAAAACCCTAATGATAGGAAAGTGCACGGTTTAGCTGGTGGTACGTGCAGCATTAGAGAATCTGTGAATTCTCTAATGAACAATGCAGGAAACCCTGAGTACAAGGCCAGCCTGCAGCTTCTCAACTGAAGCACTGCAGACAGACAGTGCAGATTATTCTGGGAGCTCAGTGGTGAGACATGCTGTTAATGTTCTCCCCTTGACATTGTAGGAGACGCATCTACTCGAGCATGAAATACTCCCGAGGGGAGTTTATGAGTCAAGTTATCTTGCAAGGGCTCAATAAAAGAACCTTAAAGCCGTCTATTTCACTGTTGTCGGAAGAAAACCTTGTATCTCCAAAATGGTGACTGTGATGTGGTGGGTTTAACATCTTCACAGTAACTTTACAGGAGAAGGAAAAAACCTACTTTGCTTTAAATGTAAGTCAATGGAACCAGACGTTTTTCCAAGTCATTTTGGGCCGTTTCTTTTGGTCCCTTCATCATAAAATTTACACACAATGTAAAGGACAACAGACATTTTCAAATTATATAAAAAACTGAAAAAGGACAAAAATGGAGATATGAGGTTTTCTCCCGACAGCAGCGATATGGAAAAAAGTACACTGACATACAGTACTGTTACACAGAAGCCTCAACGACTAAATACGGTATCATTTATTTCAGTATTTAGTGAATCCGCACTTTGACTTCCATTCTTTTTGGAAGACTAGCTTTCAGAAAGTTCAGTCTTAGTAGTTGGTTTAGCGTTTTTTGCTAGTCCCAATCCTAAATACAGTTGTTTTTTAGTTCTCCAGTTTTGGCACCTCCTGTTTTTTCACATATTTTGTGGATAAAGTGAATTATTTTATATTTGATGATATATTTGAAAAATAAAAACTTTTACTTCATGGCTGTTTTCTGACTTTTGCACAATAGTGTATATACAGCAAAGGAAATATATGGCAAATGCCTTGTAATATACTCACAGTCTTATCTAAACGCATTGTTTATATTGAAATATACTCTCAAATACTGGCGGAAATATATGTTTTCTGGAAAATGCCCTAGAATTGCAGTAAAAATTACATTCACAGATTGCATTTTGCAGTTAAAAGGAATCACTGACGTCAAACAATCTGTGCTGTAATGGATTCATAACTCTTAAAATATATTTTTATGCCACACAGTGTGCGTGAACGGCCTATATTTGTTGGGCCCATTTCAGATATTTGCAGTACCGTATGGTCCTCATAGAACATGCATTAGCTTGTCACCTGTAGAACTTACTGTGGGTCAGTTTTCTGGACTGAAGCCTCGGCCCTGAACTACAACAGATCTGATCTTACTCACCTGTGCTCGGCTCTTCCAGGGCAAACGAACAGCAGGAAGGACAGGGAGCTGATCCAGGTGAAGGGTTTCATGTTTGCGAGCGATCCCGGGCTCAGACTTCCCTCTTTCTTTCCCCTCGTCCTGCGCCGACTCTTCTTTCCCGCAGTCGCTTTCCTCTTCCTTTGGGTCTGGTGAAGGTAAATGCACTTTGGGAAGCCAATCAGAGTCTCAGGAAAGTCTGAAAGCCTTCGCGCTGACTTGCGTTTGTCCCTGTGGTCTCCCCTGCCTACACCTCTCTCTCTCTCTCCCTCTCTCTCTCTCTCTCTCTCTCTCTGTCTCAGTGCTAGCTGTCCCACAAGTGTCTCCCCTCACTGGGCTGAAATTCCAGAGGACGGCTGTCAAAGCATGGAGCGGCTGAGTGTTGGGTTTTAAGCATTGGGGAGTGTGTGTGTGTGTGTGTGTGTGTGTGTGTGTGTGTGGTGGTCGGGGGGGCCCGTAGATGTCTTCTTTTCGAAATTCCACCCAGGAAGCTGTGATTGATGGACTTGCTAGCTGCAGGGAAGGACAAATCCTTTCTTCAAGCTCCTTAGCTGATCTCCACTGACACAGAGCAGCAGATTTTATCTCAACCATGTTAGCATTAAAGTGACTCTCTCGTCAAAATGGAAGACGTAACCATGGATATGTCCGTTGTAAACATGCCTACTCTCCACCTACAGCGGTGCTGGAGCACCTCTACAGTGATATTTTCTAGTTTAAGGACTAAAACCCACCTTCCGATGATGTATCTTGAAGGTGGGATGAACTATGACTACTTTGGGGTGGATTTCTGATTTTTTATTTATTTTCTCCAGATTTTTTTCTTGTTTTAGGTCATTTTATCAAGTAAAATTATCTCACTGTGCTGGCAGATCATTTTGCTGGTTTCAAGCACATTTCTTAAAACAAACAAAATTATCTGCCACGTTAGTGAGATAATTCTACATAATAAAATTACTTAAAACAAGTAAAAATAGTCTTGAAATAAGTTCAATAATCTTAATCTTTTTAACTCCTTGAGACCACCGGTGGTTCCAAAACGCACTTCGTCATATTCTTTACTTCATAACTTTCGTATTTCATAAGCTTCTTTCAAAATGTGGGGGTCGTATGAGAGCTGTAACTGTCTTCTTTCCAGTCAAATCGATGGGTGATGTAATTTTAAACCCTTATAATAAAAGAAGCTGAACTTTTTTTTTAATTGAATTTTTATAAAATAATACAAAGAGCGTCTAAGATTTTTGGCTTTCAGCAGTAAATTGTAAACATATAGCAATATGTATGATCATAAAACACGCGTTCTGTTAATTTGAGGGGAACTTTTACAAAAAAAACCCAAATATTTACATTTATTTCATGCAGTTACTGAATAATATGCCTTATGATTTGGGCATGTAAATTCAGATGAAAAAAACGAAATATACCCACGAGCATAAGAGGTTAAATTAAGCTTACAACAATCTGAACAGGAGAAATATTAGATTTACTGACTATAATTAAGATAATTTTACTTGACAAGATACCAATTCTGCAGTGTTGGTGAACAAATAAGGAAGGAATGAAAGAAATGACTCATCAGACGAGGAGGACAACATGCTAAAAGCTAAAGTTAGCCGCTCCTTTTGTCTGACTGAAAAGGTAAAAATTCATCTCTGGTGTTTATTTTGTGCTGAATAAAGACAGAATCTCTGTTTTCTTTACTGTTTTGTTTGACGGCCGAGTTAAGGGTTACACTAACGCTGGCTGGGCTGTATTTATTAGCCTACAGCTCAGTGGCCAGACTAGCAGTTAGGATTGGGTGACACCACACGGGATTCCCAATGGTGGTATGATGTAAGATGAATTTGCATGCTGGGTATTGTAGTGAGAGAGTTGGTGAATGGAGACATAAAAACAATACACAATTATGAATTCTTTCAAACTGATGAGGCTGAGAGATACAAACACTGACCCGCCATAACATTATGACCTTGTTTCTACGCTCATTGTCCATTTTATCAGCTCCACTTACTATATAGGTGCACCACTTTGTAGTTCTACAGTTACAGACTGTAGTCCATCTGTTTCTCTGATACTTTGTTACTCTCTTCTTCAGTGGTCAGGACCCCCATGGACCCTCACAGAGCAGGTACTATTTGGGTGGTGGGTCATTCTCAGCACTGCAGTAACACTGACGTGGTGGTGGTGTGTTAGTGTGTGTTGCGCTGGTCTGAGTGGATCAGACACAGCAGTGCTGCTGGAGTTTTTAAACACCTCAGTGTCACTGCTGGACTGAGAATAGTCCACCAACCAAATATATCCAGCCAACAGCGTCCTGTGGGCAGCGTCCTGTGACCACTGATGAAGGACTAGAGGAGGACCAACACAAACTGTGCAGCAGCAGATGAGCTATCGTCTCTGACTTTACATCTACAAGGTGGACTGACAAGGTAGGAGTGTCTAATAGAGTGGACAGTGAGTGGACACAGTGCTTAAAAACTCCAGCAGCACTGCTGTGTCTGATCCACTCAGAGCAGCGCAACACACACTAACACACCACCACCACGTCAGTGTTACTGCAGTGCTGAGAATGACCACCCACCCAAATAGTACCTGTTCTGTGAGGGTCCTGTGGGGGTCCTGACCACTGAAGAACAGGGTAACAAAGTATCAGAGAAACAGATGGACTACAGTCTGTAACTGCAGAACTACAGAGTGAAACTATACGGTCAGTGGAGCTGATAAAATGGACAATGAGTGTAGAAACAAGGAGGTGGTTTCAATGTTATGACTGATTGTTGTATATGCTTTATAGAACACTGTATAACATGACAAATAACATAATAAACTCTAGTTTTAGGTCAGTGCTACTGGCTAAAAGTCTTGCGAGAACCTGCATGTATCACTGCATGTAGAGCTCTTTTCCTCTTACTCGAACGCTGATGTGCCGTCACTCCCGATGTCCTTGGTTGTAATTAGCTGGTTTGCTAAGTTGTTTACGTGGTCTTGTCATTAGCAGTGGGGATATTCTTTGAAGTCTTTCTCATGATTAGCTTCCCGAAGCAAAGCTGCTCATTAAAAGATCAAGAAAATATAATATCCAACAACAAAAGAGGTACTTTTCTCTTTTAAAGCAACATCTGGTCAGACATGGCCAGTCCTGGTCAAGCAAGGTCCATGTGGCAACGACTGAAACATTATTTACTGAAACACTTCATTTCTCGTTCTATTTCTGTGGGGTCAAAACACTTTACTGCATGAAATTATGTCTTAGTGAATCTAGAAGTAAATTAAATTCAGAATACAGTAATAATTAATACAATAAATGAATTTAGAAGTAAATTAAATCCAGCCAATAAATCTAATATTTCTCATTATTTATTCCTTTGTGAAAATAAGCTTATTTTATTAATTTGATTTGTTGATTTTATCTAGAGAAACTGTCTTATTCTTTTGGCACATAATTGTGCTTATTTTTTTTTAAAAAACTCTTAAAGCAAGCAAAATGATCTGCCAATAGAGTAAATCACTTTCTTTAAGTCTTTTAGATCAAAAGGTAAACATATCTAGAAATAAATTAAATGAGAATAACTTTCTTTCAACAATCTCATAATGGAAATATTAATATACTGATTTATTTCAGATTTTTTTGCAGATATTTAATTTTAATATTCAGCATTTTTTCAACAGCTTGTAATTTCTGTGACCTTAACAATTCAGAATATAACTATAAATCTGACTGTACATTCAGAACAAATGCCTTCTGTTTTTTGAAGGAATGGACTAAAAAATCTTTCTAAAAACATTTTTTGACCCTTAGACAAAAATGACCATTCAGTGGTTATTGGTTTTAAATGTGTTAGAAGCTCATATGTTACCCCCAATCTAACGCTCTAGCCAGGAGCTAATAACCTAGCCTCGATCTAATGAGCTAGCCAGAAGCTAATGTGTTACCCCTTTGCTAACGCACTACATATGAGCTATATCAGCCCCATCCATAGACATCCATACCGAGATGCCGCATTGTCTGTTGTTCTTTATGTGAGGCGATACGTCTGCACGTCCGCCATGTTGGAGAGGTCAAGATCCGCTTGTGAACAGATTCACTTGTATTGAGAGACGAAGAGTCTCAGGATTAAATCAGCCACAACTTCCTTATTACTCAACAGATTTTCACCAAATCTGTTTAGTTATAATCCTCAGACTCAGATTAATCCAGACTGCTCGGATCTGCTCTCGATAGCTTTATTACTTTAATAACTGATTATGATGATTAGCCGTCCGGACCAGCAGGAAAGTATTCAGTCTGCACCTGATGTTAAAAACCGAGTTTAGCACGAGAAACACAATCAGACACATCAGCAAATCCATCAGTGTGTTAGTGTGTGTTGTGCTGGTCTGAGTGGATCAGTCACAGCAGTGCTGCTGGAGTTTTTAAACACCTCAGTGTCACTGCTGGACTGAGAATAGTCCACCAACCAAAAACATCCAGCCAACAGCGTCCTGTGACCACTGATGAAGGACTAGAGGATGACCAACACAAGCTGTGCAGCAGCAGATGAGTGACTTTACATCTACAAGGTGGACCGACAAGGTAGGAGTGTCTAATAGAGTGGACAGTGAGTGGACACTCCAGGAGACATAAGCTAATATGTTAGCCCCGATCTAACATGCTAGCCACAAGTAGCCCTGACCTAAATAGCGCTAGCCATGAGCTAATATGTCACAATAATATGTATCATGCCCTCCACAAGGCAACAGTATTCTTGGTTAGTTTAGGATTAATGAGTTTTGATGACGACTGTGTTCACAAACTGGATAACAGATTAAGGTACAGGTGGCATCAATCGGAGAAGCCAATGATGCGCCAATCTAACAATGTAAAAAAGGTCATAGTATTTTTTTTACCCTGAGACATGAATCACCATTCAGTGGTCACTGTTACTGATATCAAACAAAGAAAAATCTAGTTTGAATCTCAACACACCTGCAGCTGTACTGAGGCTGCATTACAGCACATGGTGGCCTTAGAGGACACACGTCAGCATCTCCACTGTAGTTTGGCAAGGCTGCAAGGAATGGAAACTATCCTGAAATGCAGTTGCTGTTGAAATGTATGTCTTCAGGAGAAACATTTTACTTTCAGCATTCCAGCCTGTTTGGGAAGATGCAGCGCTGAAAGGAAAATATCTTCAGG